CGCTTTCCAGAGAAGTACAGATTTCGACGTTAATGTGAGCGTTATATCTTGCACAGAGGTATCGATTGTGGGGAACAACCCATCTATGTCCAACTGGACATGGTTCTTGACCACAAAATCACCATTGTTGCGACGACGGTATAACGGGTAGCCACTGTGATCTTCGATAGTAGCTTCATTGAAGGAGCGCGGGTAACGCTTTTTACATGAGCCGTTTTCCATGCAGGGAGACCTCGGATGCGTTGTTCCACACGGACCGTGCACCATACATATGCTGACGGTGTCGTAGAGATCAGGAAATCTTTCTCTGTCCGGAAGTTCCGCACACACATACGATCATAGTCATCAAGTGTTCTCGGCTTTTCCTCCGGATGTAGCACCAAAAGCAAATGAAGATGCGGTAAGCCTCGCTTCTGAAACTCGACCGTGTGTACATGGGTAACGTCTCTTTCCAAAACATGGTTCTTCTTTAGATCTTCCATCAGAGCTTTACGCTTCATGTTAAAAGTTCGAGCGCAAAGGTCGGACCGATCACAGCTGTCTGTCAACCAAGCATAAACATTTGTTTTTCAAAAATTACCCAATCAAAGCCGACAAATGTAGCAAAACCCAATGTGACTGAAAATTAGCGCGCATAACTCCCAAACATTTTAATAATGGTAGGTATTTCACACCTTGTTAGTACCTCTCAATGTGACGTGCCGGCAAATCGCCCCTTACAAAAAAAAAAGGGTCAATTGTAATGAACCAGTACAAGGTTAAAAAGCAGTCGTTGTGTTTTTTTTTCCTTTTCACGGAATAAACAACCTTTGATCATTCGGTCCTTCCGAAGGATCATCACTGCAATAACATGCAGTCATGTTGGACACTTGGTCGCTGATGGTTAACATAATAGGCATGGATTCAGTGGTCAATTATTGGACGTATTTTTATCAGGTGCAATAGACTTGGAGCTACTGGAGAACAATCCTGTGCATAAACACAGTAATGAAAAGCTAATCTACAGCTCGGTCGTGGTTCTAGAGTTCGTTTGCTGATCTTGAATACAAAAAAAACATTCCCCGGGAACTTTCAAGGAGTCAGGATTTTCATTGTAATTTTTTTTTTTCGTTCTTTTTTTTTTTATTCATATATAAAGCCGTAATGAGATATAGTCAATCGCTAATTTTCAGCATGACTGTTTCTCATCGATAACAACAGAACTCAGATTGCCAAACTTATGGTGTGCTCTAGTTTACTTGTGTTCACCAGTGAGGGCGAAGAATCACCATGACAAAGCAGGGCATGGAAATAATCCCACGCGACATTTGTGTACAAGGAGGGCGACCAATATACGATAAGACGAATATCATCCTTGTCTTATGTCTTGACTATCTGAACACGTCAAGATGCGAGACAAGATGTTTACAGAGATCTGTCCATGTGGTCATGTTGTAATGAGGTTGGACTCATAATGAGGGATTTTACAGCGATACTCCTGCGATTAAAGCGGGAGAAAAAAAATTCAAGGAGACATCAGCGTTTGAAAAAGGAGAGAACAAGATTATATGAAAAATAGGCACCCTTTTTTTTAGCGGGCAAACCATCATGTTTTTGCTAGGCCAGGCATCCTTAAAAATCACCACTCGGAAAGAAACCCATTCGTATTATTAAAACTTCATGGTCATAAACCGGATTAATCGCGTTCTTGTTAGAGTTTGCCGATTGCAACATACACCATCTCATAATACGGAAATACAAGGGCGCTTTTTTCCATCCTTTTCCACGTTGAAAGGATGAAATAAAAAAAACCTACGATTTGTTTTTTTCTTCTTGTCGCCATCGTGCTTGCCTAAAATGGCACTCATCAATTATCTGAGCTCACAGTTGAAAGTGGATGAAACATTGATAACAGTGTCAAAAAAGAAGTGACCATACATTGTTTTCTCATTTTGTATACTACAAAAGTGCATATCTCGAGAAAACGGTGGATGTGCGTCAATCAGTACACCCCATCAGCGATGTATGCAAAATCTGACACCATGCTAGCCGGAAAAGGCGATTGGAGGAGAAGATCTAGGAGAAAGTCACTAGTCGTCAGGTCCAACTCTAGGGAAAAAAGAAAAAAAGCACGAAATAACAAAAAAAAGTCCTTGGAAGGCATTTGCCTGTGCATACCAGGGTTTGACGTCATGCATTTATGAAAAAGGGTTCATGCCATTTAGCACTGACATATACAAAATATACGGCAAGGCAGTTGGTAAGGCTCCCGAAAATGCACACCTGCAAATGGGAGGGGATCTACCCGTCTCGGAAAAGAAGTCCACTGAGAAAGTGACGATCCATGTCTGGAAAAGCAAAGCCAGGTGTCATTTTAGGGAGTTTTGGTGACGCTGGCGATGGATTGCAGCTCGAGGAACCGATGTCCGTGATAAATCAGGGAGACGTGTACCTTTGTGCCTCTAACAGGAATTGGACCTGGTTGATCACCCACTGTGGCGAACGAGGTCAATATCTATAATTGAGAAATTAAAAGGCCGTGTCATTCCATCATCAGGAGTTTTTTTACCTGAATCTCATTTCTCATCCGATGACTTACCATGCCGCCTCTGTCAGTGGAAATGCTTTCAAACCCAAACATAAATGTCTAACGTGCGATGTCTCATTTGAGAAAAATAAAGAACCATTTGCCGATCGCTTGTATTCCCTCCCCCCAAGTTGCCTGACATGTTGATGTCTTGTTTCTTTTCCTTTTTGGTGGGACGCTAGACAAGAGTAGAAGTTGAAAGAAGGTCGGATAGGACTAGAAATAGGAGTCAAGGACCCCAAGTCGGTACAATAAGAGAATATGCCTCATCCCGGCAACAGCAGTGCTCCATGTCAATGTATCTTTTGGATCGGATTGGAAAGGGAAAAAAAAGAAAAGAGAAAAAGAGAAAAACAAGGTTGAAAGCTGCAGGGGGGGGGGGAATTTTTTTCAGAATTAAACACCAGTGAGGTAGAACATCGAATTTAGCATAGAAAATACAGTGGACATCAAAGTATTGAAAACATCCTGTAACCCCATCTTTGTCAACAAGGTATCCTTTGGTCCTATTTTCTTTAAACGTACCTTTTTTTTCATGACAACAAACGGATGCGCAACGGAAAACACCTTTGACAGCTTATGGGAAAATACGACATATCGATTCAAATGAAGTATAACTTTTTGCCTGAAACGTGTACAATGCGAGCTATATGAAATGCAATAAAACCGGTTTGGCTGAATTCAGGATAGTAAAACTTCCATGCTTCTTCCATTTGAGAAAAAAAAGTTTCCAGTATGGCATTTTCCTGACCAATCTCGCCGTTAGGAGCAAATCAAAAGTTTTAGATTACATGTGCCTGAGCAGTAGTTATACCAGCCTCATGCATGTGACGAAAGAGGATTTGGGCGGGCGCGGGCCCGTACACCAACCCCGCATATGAAGTCTGCAAAAGACAGTGGGTTATGCATAAACCGATTAGGATCAAAAAAAAAAAAAGTGGGAGCTGACCATACAGAGGGGAGAGCACAAGTGGGAAGTTGAACGAGAAAAGGGAAGACGGAGCCAAAGGGTCCAGTTTTTTCCGCTTCATGGAAGCGGAAGAAAAGGAAAACCGCGCCCTTGTTCATGGTACGTGACGAGGATGACCATCATACTAAAGTGAATAAGAAAAAAAAGGGACGCTGCAAAACAACAACAGGAAAGCAAGATGTACCTTTTGGATCCATAAATTACATTCCATTGGGTATACGTTAACAAAAAGTACATGGTACATGTACATGAAGAAAAAGTAAATAAATAAAATCAAAATAGAAGCACATGCATCCACACTGACCTCACCTACCCGGTGTGATCAACATGTCACATCCCACAATATCTAAAAGGCAATAAAGGACCCTAGCCCTCCCTGAGCATCTCCTTTCGTTACTTTTTCTTCTTGCAAAGAGCTTTTTTTTTTTTTTTTTTTTTGGTTCTTGCCTTTTTCTCTCTATATCGGTTTGGCTTATTGGCGGTGTTATCCATGGTACCGTTCTGCCCCTACCATATCTCAGACCTTTTTCGTTCCCCTTGACATGCACATCTTACTTCAGAAAGAGAGGAAAGAGAGAGTGGCTAACCAAGGGAAGATGGATCTTCCCTCATTGCCTATTTCAGAATTGGCTCTATCCTTGCCGTCATTAGGAGCCTTAGGTTATACCAACAGGTTTTGCTTCTTTTCAATAGTCTATGCTCACCATTGACATAATCATACCAAAACAAAGTTTTTTGACAATCAAGTTTGCTACTGTTCTTTAATCAGTGGATAAATTGATTTTTTTTTCTTTCCTGCTTTATTGAATTCTTGGGACCCCTTCTAATCCCCTTGTATTTTCATGAAAGGGTCCTTTTCTCATCGACAGTGGATTTTCTTTTTCCTTTCAACCCGTGTTCTCCTGTTTCATCCAATCATCTCGTCTGATCTCTTTTTTTTTTGTGGGGGAAGTTACATATGGTGTCTCCTCAGGCACAGTGGTTACGGTCCTAATACCAAGAAAAAAGCAAGCGTAAAAAAGAAGTAGTAGTGATGATCTTGTTCATGATCTTTTCCGATCTCCACATTACTGTTCTGTGCGTTTTCTTCATAGGATGATTCCCGATGTCAAGTTTAGAATATCACATATATGTATATATAGACCCTTATCTATTAATGCATATATCCATGCCTGAAAGAGAAAATTATTGCATTAGCCATATGCGGTATTATCCCTTTTTATGGGTATCTTACCCCATAATATATATAAAGTAGACAAGAGACAATGAAAAATGATAACTCAATCATAACAACATCTTAACTTTTTTTTGTTTATTCATTGTCTTTGCATCTTGTCTTTCTTCTTTTCTCTCAAATCAAGAAAAAGAATCTCTTTCTCATTCACCTCATTGCTCATTGATTATCCATTACTTTTTTTTTTTTATCATTTTTCATTCATCACTTATCTCATCATTGAACTCAAAATGAATAGTAAGTATTCCCGCCCCACGTGGCTACTCATATGCTACCATTTTTGAATGACTGCTGACTTTGGACTTATTTTTGCACAGTTGCCGACATGTTGAATCCTTCGTCTTCCTCTTTGGAACAGACGCGTCTGATATCACCTCCTTTGTCACCCAAACAACATCCCATTCGCGAATTTTGCCCATATCCTCGTCCGATACAAAACAATGGCAAACCACGTAGCCGATTTTCCGATTTGGAAGACGCTATTATTTGCGAAGGTGTGGCCAAAGGGTTGACATGGGGTCAGATCTCTGGTCAACTTCCTCATCGAAAACGAGCCACATGTTTCAATCGTTACCGTACATTGCAAGGCATTCGCAAATCTCGCAAGCGACTTTCTTCCAACGAAACAATGACTCGTTCCATGACCCCGCCTTCACCCGTGTCGCCTAGCACCCCTGCCAGCTGGTTACCCACCACCCCGCCGCCTTGTTCCGAAAGCTCTCCGCCTAGTTACAAGCAGCTGTTGCCTTCACCACGCCAAGTCCTCATGTCTGAATCCACCATGTTGCCTCGACTTCCGCCTCTACTGTATTTCAGCAAAGATCATTCTCGCTATACCCGTTGTTTATAATATGGTTCTCATCCATATTTTTTTCCTCGTACCATTCCCCTCCAAACCACATCTGAAGCATGCTTGCATACTTTCTCACTTTTAATTTCTTTTTTCTATCTATCGTATTTTATTTCTTCTGCTCTTGCAAACCCTTTTTCATTGAACCATATTTTTTTTTCTTGTTTATTTCATGTGTCTTTCTTTCCCTGATCATTCTGTTTTCTTCTTTTTTTGTTTTCCCTTGTTCATGGCTAGGGTCGGTCGATCCAGGCCTCCCATGTTGTAGATAACTCCATCCTATTGTTTCTTACTTCTAATTGTCACTCTCTATGGCCTTCAATTGTTCCCAAGCCTTTTAATTGTTTGATCCACTCAACTTTTGTCATGTACCATAGCATTTTCTTTAACTATCAAGCTCCATTCTATGCCCCTCTCATTTCTCAAAATTTAACCTCATTCGTCATATTTTTTCTTTTTCATCATCGCTCGTTCATAATAAAAAATCAAGCAAAAGAAAGAAAGAAAGAAACCAATTTCATTCGTCTCAAATTACCATTATGGATCGACGTCGATAGAATTGTATGTCTTGATTCGCATCAGACCATCAATCATTGTCACCGTTTGGCCGTACTCATGTAGTGACCAAGCATTTTCATCTAGCCGAGTGCTTCCATGCAGTTTTGGCCCAAGCATCTCAACAGATTTTTTTCCCAAGTCACTGTTATTATCAAAGCTTATCGGGCACACACAATCTCATTGTGAGGATTTTTTGCGATGGTTGCAAACTTGGCTGGGATAATTTTGCCAAGTTCCTTGGCTTTGTCTTTATGCCAGCCATTTGATATATCATAATTAATGTAGCAGTGAGTGGTATAGAGTAGAGCCATTCTATCTACTGAATGAGGCTTATTGGTCATGACAACATTGGATGGGGCCTTTAGAATATTCGAGAGCGATTCTAAAAGAAGCATTTTTCAGCTGAAATTCTATCTAACCGAAAATGATCAAAAACAAAGGGGTTGGAATAAAGTATAAAGGAAACAAGTTCTAACTATAGTATGACGAATCAATAACACGTTTAACGTTGACTTTTTATTTCGTTAACAGCGTAGTTACCCTTTTTGCCCAATAGATTGATGTCAAGTAAGGGACGCATCACGGCCGATTCGATGGGCACGTCCTTTTTTTTTTTTTTTTTTTTTTTTTGCGATGCTAACGATATTATTCCCTAAATTCCGATCCATTCCCTCAACATTGTATCCCTTTGATATGTTGTGTTGAGCATATTTCACCCGATGCATACGTCCGATCAGAAAAGAAGACAAACAAGAAAGGACCTTCACGGTAAGATATACCGAAGTCCGCCCAAATGTTTGTTACATCATCGACTCAATCACTAATAAGGTATGAACGGCGGAAACTTCATAATACAGTTAAGGAATATCGTGGAAAGCTCAAACGAAGGACGGAGGGAACATTCTTGTTTGGTTCCTGATGATACGATCATGATTTTCTCACTGTGGCTGATAAGTATCATCATGCAGGAGTCTTTAGGATTTTCTGAGGAGTAATCGTATTCAGGAAAGACAAACGTTCCTTGTCACTCCTAGGCTCGCTGCTTACGTGGAAGAAATGAACCCACAGTTGTTTTTTACCAAAAAAGTAACCCCTCTGCATTAGAAGAACTTTCTATGAGCAACAGGAAGCCATAGATACCAATCAGTTAGCTGGCTAGGGTCATTTAGGAGCATATGAATCCTATTTGATTTGTAATTTTGGCATAATGATTACATACGTAAAGTCAGTCTAAGAAAAACTCGTCGCTATTACGGCCACCTTGTGTTTCTTGCATCCTGACGGAACAGTGGGAGCGCCACAATTCAACTTGGAGTAAACTAGATCGTATTCCGCAACCAAATTGACAAACATGAAATCGATAGCCGTGAGGAGACTATTCATACACATACAAACTTTATTTTACTAATCCCGTGCCCGCGCAAAACTATGGCTTGACTTATTCTTGTTTCTTTTCCTTAGTAAACCTGAAATAATACATGTCTCCATGAACCGGTTTCTGTATTGACTTTCAAAACGAACAGCACACACCAGCACGCCAAGTCAATTAACAAGCATACGCTAAAAGAGCGGCATATCCTAAAGAGCAACCTACACATCAGATAAAATGCTCTACCTTATCTGTTGACTTATCCGGAAGAACAATATCAATCCAAGGAGCATTCTATCGGTTCGAGTAGATGGCTTTCGACCGGTGTACCTTCTTTTTTTTTTTTTTTTTTTTTTTTTTTTGCTTCCCTTGTTTATTCTTTGACCATTATTCAATATTTTCTTCTTCATATCGAATGATCATTCAATGATTGGTTTTTACGTGTAATGCACCCTATAATTTCTTTCCTTTTTGCTCTACAGTATAGGACGGAAGCTGACCTTTACACAACTAAAGATTTGAAGTCCAAATTCAGTAAACTGGAATGCGAAGTTTGAACTGTGGTTATTTTTGGCTCACCTGTGTATATGACCCGAATTCGGGGTTGGGTTCGCCAAAGATGTTATATGATCTAGGCGTCCGAAAAGAAAAAGTTCACTCCTCGTCCTCCTGGTCGCTTTCGGAACGAGCGAAAATTGCCGGTCTTCCCAGTCCTGCAATCTCTTCCAACACAATCGAACGCATGTTCCTGGCGGCATTGACATCTCGGTCCCAGAACTTCTTGCAATGGTCGCATTGGAGAACCTTGTGGAGTTCTGTGTTGATTTGACAACTTCTCACGTTCTTCACCGCTTTTTGCGCACAGAAAGAACAGACCTAAAGAGACCAATTTAGCATAACATCACATAATAATATTTTCTCCTACCCATACCTTTGAGGTGTTATATTCGTCGACTTTAATCAGCACCAAACGGCCTTCAAATTCTGCTCTTTTGAGGACTTTCGACAGCTTCCCAGACAAACCGCTGATCTTGCCTTTCATGGTCACAGGGAACGCATTTCCGAGTCCAACAACAGGAAGTTTCCAATCATTCGTTATAGGCTTTTTTCGCCATTTTCTAGTACATAAATTCTTAATCATGTTGGCCATTTGCTTTAAAAGTTTACTGTGCGGCTTACTCAGTTTGGACATTCTCCATTGAAGAAGACTGTGATCGTCGTTGGTGTTCCGCTATTTGACGCAATTTTTGCTCTGCAGTGATCTGATCGTATTTTTGTCCGCCAGTGATGAACACGTTGGCGAGTCCACTTAATGTTTGTTGGTTCTTTACAAAACGTCGGAACCGGAGCTTGGTGAACCTTCGGTCGTGAAAGGTGAGAAGACGCTCCATGCTTGCAAGCATACCGGTAATAAATAAGCGAGCTGAACGTAAGTTTATGGCTTTCGAGGTAACAATGTTCTGCTCCACGTCCGACACCTGGGAACGCATTTTCCAGTTCTGCACGCAGATCGTCGAATGCTTGTATTGCGCCTTTGTGTAGAACTCGACCGTGGAAAATTGTCGTACCTCATGCGGCCGAGAACGTTGAAGGGCGTTTTCTTCGTCGGGAAGAAACTCACCGCCATCCGAAGCAACAAACACGTCCGTCACTCCGGGATCTGCGCCCCATATGCGAAGGTAGGGACGTTCCCAATCGGCGAAATCGGCTGCTTCCAGATCAGGCAACACCTGTGCCGATCCCTTCGGGCCGGAAGAAGGACACACTACAGCCGTAGCCATCGGTCATGACTATGTCAGCAAAATTGGTGCCACTAAAGACGACGATAACCAGTGAATCACTCAGCAACAGAGAGCAGCAACCCGTTTGCAAACTTACCGTCCCCCCGAACCTTCGACAAATCGAAAGCGTATTCAAAACAGTCGGCCGTTCCTCTAGTGATTTCGCCGATGGACCTCAACATTTGTCGCAAGATTGGCTCCGTGATCGTAATATATTTGCGGGTAAATGTCGGGATCGGTATCAATTTGAAAAGCCTCTGCTGATTCACAACGAAGTGCAAATCCGGAATGAAGCAATCATCGCGGGTGACTGGGCTGTTGACCAGCGGATCAAGGTATTCGACAGAGTTCCGGATACGGCTTCTGGTTTCTTCTATAAACTGGTTCAGGTTGTTGCCCAAATCTTCAGATAAGGTTATCCCGTTGGGGATGATGAAAGCAGTGCCGTCGTTGATGCTTTTCAGAATAGCTCGAGCCAGCCGCCCACGACGTTTTTTACCGAGCAGCTTACTTTCTTGAAATTGCCTGATAATGGAATGAACAAACTGGATGGTCGCTTCGATTTGAATTTCTCCTGCATTCGCAATTTGGCCGTCGTTGTAAGCATCGAAATACTGGTTTACTTGATAGAGGATTCTCATGAAGTGCTGAGGGTTCCGAGTGATGCTTGCCAATGTTAACTGCTGATGGTAGTCGTGTAAATCGTGATCGACTACTTCTGAGATCTGTACAGCGGCTGTGTCTACTCTCTGATGGAGCTCTGGAGGAATGCCCGCCTTTGGCACTGTACATCTGTTTCTGCAGCAAAGGAATCATAGCTATGGCGAGCCAACTTGGACCACTGTTTCTTTGGTAAGCCCTATATAAGAGAAATTTATTGGTTAGTTAACTTATACATCCGGTGAACGTTCCCTTACTGTATCCATACCGGCAATAGTTCTCGAAATCGCAGTGTCAGATATTCAATGTAACGTGACTCGAAGTTCTCGACGAGGTTGTTTGCAAAAGTTACGGCCATGCTTTTTGCTGTAATTGAAAGTATCTTGGCTTCCATTGACGCATCTGATGCGATCGGTCGTCCGCCTGTCGGGAATTCTTGAAGGTATTGTTGATAAGCTTGAACGAGCCCTTCTTTTGGAAAATACCGGTTCTTAGAGCTGATCTCCCGGTTTAATAAAAGCTGGAAGACGGAGTAGAAGAATGTTTGATGAAAAACCATGGGCGACAGAGGATCGTCGGTAAGGAACTTGTGATGCAGATAATACAACGTAAAAAGAGTTGCTTTGAGCATCAACTCTCTGTTAAAGTCCACAATATGCTCGATTTGGTCGATCAGCTGCTGCTTTTTCTCCGTAGGAAGCTTGATCAAAGTGGAGAGGCGACATTTTCTAGTGAACTGCTCGAGTTGAGCACCGAGAATTTCCCGGTTTCGTTCCTTCTTGGATGGCTTGTGGAATGGGCAGATTTTCTTTCGATTTGATGAGTGTGGATTTTCGCGCAAGAAATCTGGGCGGAGTTTGGAGCAGCTTTGACACACGCGGCTGATTGGATCATGATGGTCTTGTAAGCGATCCTTTTTTGCCGATGCTTTCTTTGACTTTTCTTCCACCGTTTGCTTACGCTTTCGCTTCGAGCCTACGAATAAAAACGTTAGCATAGTTAGAGAAAAGAGAGAGAAGTTTTCAAGTAGTCTACCTGATACAGGTTTCCTTATCTTGCGTTGAGGACATAACGCCGATCGGGCATTCACATGACCAGTCTCACCACATTTGCTGCAAATGACTATCCAAAAAAGGGATGTCAGCGTCAAATCAAAGATAACAATCCAGATGATAAATCTTACCTTGACCTTGGCTGTGCTGTAACTTCCACTCTTTCCATCTCTTCTTGTAGCGGATGGCTTCAGGAAACAAGTGATCTTCATAAAGTTGCCGTAATCGTGTCTCCGAAACTCGTCCTCCGCAGCATTTTCTTCGGTGGAGCCGTCATCCGAATAGAAATCGCCATCGTCTTCAGTATTGGAACTGAACTCAGATCAGGATCTATGGCTGCGCGGCTTGAAAACGCCATTACATAGTCAATAAAAGGATGAACGAAAAATGAAAGAAAAAAAGAGAGAGGAGTCAAGTTGACCAAAAAAAAAGGTGCATAAAATTTTTATATGCCTTCACGGCGCAGTTTGAATAATGTGGTTTTATTGATCGATTCAAGGACGTCCTTTGAGTGCACCAGGTCGCCATGCCAGAAGTCAATACCATCAACCCTCCCATTGACTGCTGGAAGTATGATTGCTCCTTCCATTTACCACACTGTTACAGTCTCGCCAGCTTCTCGGGAGTGCGATCGGGCAAAGAAGTGGTCGATTCGCCTTGCTTTGGAGTGGCGATGAGTGACTTTACGTATTCGAAGGGGAAGTTCAAACAGACCGTAACTGACTCCTCTCCTTCGACAAAAGATCGACAAATTCCGATGCAAAAATGGCAGTTTGTTTTCCTTTCGATTCTGATAGTTCAAAGATTATTAATTTTGGGAGGTTGAACAAAACTTTCCTCTGCACAGCATTATCGTTGAGTTTCAACAACAGTGGCAAACAAAAAGGACCTTTTAAGGATTCGACGTGAGACCATGTCATAGTCGCCATCAATCAACGGCAAAAGGACCATTGCTTGAGTGTAAAAAGGTGATAATTCGAAACAAAATTATCCTAAGCTGTTCCATTTCGCATCACGTTTTGGAAACGGCGCACATCAACGTCAAAAGTGGAATGGTTGTTTGATGCAGAAAACGCTATATCATCGGTGAGAGTTCGATAGGCATTATCATCAACCATTTGCTGATCTTCATCGTCAAAAACGTCGGCCACTTGGCTCCATCCTTACTCTAAATAATTGCTGTCATTCTCCTTCACCCAAGCTTCCGCTGCCATCGTTATCTGATACGTTTTGTTCGTTTGGAGCATCAGGCTCTCCAGTCATATATGCCAGCGAATTATTGGCTTCAGCAGAAAACTGTACGGCAACCTCTTCTGGGGGACGGTGAATGGCAAGCATGTGGTATTTGAGGTTTTGCTCGCTTCCAAAGAGTGAGTGATTTTTTCATATATTTTTCAGCATTTTCGTGTACTTCTTTTTCTTCCATCCTGTTTTGGTTCTTCTATGCAGGATGCGTAAGTTGAGTAAATGCTTTCCGCAATTACTGGAGAAATGCATAATCATTTGGTAAGAGAAAAAAAGTGTTGAAAGCATCGTGGCAGCTCACATTAACTTGCCCTTTGTAGGGTTTTCTGACGCGTTGCTGCCCAAAGCGAGGCATTACGTGATACCAAAAGACTATATGGCTATTCAATGCTCCTTTGAATCTTAGAGCGGCTATACTACGTAAGTTTCTCGCAAATAATAACCAGATAAATGATAAATTTTCCAAACTAATTCGTATAATATATCTATCGTGTTGTCTGCTGGTTTCAATGTGAGTTCCATAGAAAAGTAAAGCCATGACTTTTTCACTGACTGAAGTTGTTTTGTAGATTCTCTCTGACAAGCCCATCTGGGTCGCTATGCTGTTCCCATTCGTGAGCGTTCTATCGCCTTAGCAGTAGTCTACAAAGTGAAATGCAACATTCGACTGTCTGTCAACTCAGTTATCTTGCTTTAGTATCGAGTGCACATCTTCATAGTATTTTTCACAGGTAGTCTCTAATGGTTATCAAGGTAAGTATAAACGGCCTACATAGAAAATGCCCAGGGGCGTATTTCAGATACGGCAATCGATAAGTAATTGATTCAATAAAAGCCACAATTGCAAAAATCCAAACTGTATTCGCTTTCAATGTAATTTTAGTTCGTCCCTATTTTAAGCACCATGGAGAACTTCTAAAATAAACCCTTCGACATTTGGAAATTGAATTACTGATGGCATTAAATAAAACAACGGTGGTGATCGGTGAAGCTGAGATCCGTAACAGTCAAGTTCGGAGCCAGGACTTCAACCAATGGTAGCCTAGGCTATCTTCAATTACCAAATTTGGGCTCCAAAATCTTTAGTGGTGCAACTCGGCCCGCTACCACATTGGGATTTTGCCGCACGTCGGCCACTCTAACAGTCAAACATGCGGCCAATCTAATACTATAATTTAATTCTGCACCTGAAAAGTAAAAAAAATGTAACTTCTGGAAACTCTATAGAAAACATAGGGAATAGAAATAAAATAAATCGCATGTTCATAATCGAAAAGGCTCGATATTTGGTTAAACGCGATTGGGTAGTGTGGTCATCGGTTCCGTTTATGGCATGAGGGACGAAATAGTAAAAGATTGGGACGGGTTATGAATTTTTCGAGGAAAAGGCACTGTGTTCTTGTGCGAGGAGGGAGCGGAATCCGCGCAGTTGTTTTTTTGTTTGGAAGTACAGACGGAGTTTTAGCGAGGTGGAGTTGTCAATGTCATTGAATGCCAGCCAATCATATGAAATGTTTGCATTATGATTCATGTCTCACAACCAATCCGCTGTCGGCATGACGGCAGGACAAAAAAAAAATCAGACGAAAAAAAAAAGCTTATCATATTACTCCATATGGCAATCTTTGGAGAAAAGGGTAGATGTGAGAGACAATATATTTCTTATTTACAAAAGGGCATATACAAAAAAGAAAAAGTTAAGAGCTCATCGTGGCCGCAACGACATGCCAACGACCGGCATCATCAACAATGTCACACGCTAGTGCTTTTCCAGAATGGTAGGCTATTCCGTCGTGGCGTACAAGCAACAATGGCAGTTCCAGATACCTTGAGCCGTCGGGTTGCGTGGTTAACAAGTTATGATTAGCGACCAGTAGATCGTGGGTATTTGGCAGTTCCACAAACAGATCTTGATGAGGGTCATTTTCGGGCTCGGTCACCTTTAGCGGACCGTGGGCTCCCAGCCAAAATTCAAGTAATCGCGAGGTGCTGCTGGAGATGGACTGCATTAAATGCTGGCCTTGAATACGGAGTGAATGACTGGAGGAGATGTACTGTACGGAAGTGAGAAAGGGAAACGGCATGAGTGATCGTGGTGGAGAAGGCGGTGGGGAAGGCTGAGATAACGGCTGCCAGGTGGACGAGGAGGACGAGGAAGGTGACAGGCTGGGTGGAGCGGGGCAAGACGGTGACCATGACGATGCCTCTACCACATCAGGCTCGGCATAGGTGTATTCGAATCTGGACACGCCAACAATTGTCCAGCATAAGAAATCGTCTACAGCCTCTTTGCCATCGGCAAGACATCGTGAGCGGAAAAAATCCAACCAAATAGTGGCACTGTGAGCGTAGTTGTTATTGGCGTCGTCGACGACATCGCCTTGGCAAGAAGGCGACACTCGGTCGCAACTGAGATACATGGGCTCCTTGCCTACGGAAGAAGACAACTGAAGAGCGACTTTTTGCATCTGATTCATCGGTGCAAACGAGCAGCTTGCGATGTGGCCCTTTTCTACTTTGCGCAGAATGAGCGGCGGGGAGGTGACGCCGGTATTCACGTCTTCCAAAATAATCTCGGTGCCGTACGTAATATGCGCAGGTGTCTGAGATGGCGGGGCATACGATCTGATCATACGACCGTGGTTGTGATTTTGCGGTTGCTGCAAGACAAGGATTTTGAAGGCGGACCATGACGACGCTTTCCCACATAAACGTCCCTTTTCTGAGGTCATGTATTTGGTTCGTACGGTTTGCGAGTTGATGCGGTTATAGAGCGCGACCATGGAATTGGCCAAAAAGCAAGTGGAAATGTTGCGTGCTTTGGCCGTCTTTTTTGATGGTTTGGAAATGAGAGAAATCGGCATAGACAGAAAGGTAGCGTAAGGTTTGGTTCCCGGAGAGGGCGACGAGGGATGCGAAGCGTTGGTGGCGTTATTGTTGCTGTTGTTGTGGACATTGGGACGCAAGTCGACCTTTAGGTAGAATTGCTTGGACTTGGTCACCCCGGAAGCATGCAGGTATTTGAAACTTCCTTGCATGTGTTCATCCAGCAGCGTGTGTTGCTCTGTCGGTTTCTCATTGGCCCCGTCACAAATCACTGACATGGAAACGAGCGGTTGGTCATGGAAATCACCCTTGATCGAGACGATGGGGGGTGGACATAAGAATCGTTTTTCTGAACCATATGATTTCTGTGCCACGACAGCGTGAAGACAACTTATAGTATTAGTACGACGTGTCATGGGAGGCGAAGCAGGCAATGTGGAAGCTGAGCAAGATGGGAATGTGTGTTGAGAAGGAGGCAAACAAATTTTTTTGGATTGTGGTTCACTTTCACCACGGTCCAAATACCGCTTCCTGGAAGATTCAAGTACGGCGGTATCATCTTTGGTAGCGGGTGGAAGAACGGTCATGGAAGAGATAGAGGAAGAGGAAGAAGAATGGTCTGTAGGCAACGAATGATGTCGTTGGCGGTGTGGTCCACCATTGGAATCCAAAATAGATTCAATAGACATTGTTTGGTGTGTAGAAGGTGACTGATCGGATGTTGGGACTTGACGTACGTTGTTGATGACTTTGAGCAAATATTCCATTGGCGTCATTTCAATGAATTGGAATTTTTTACTGGAACCAAATGCTGGACCAGATATAATCTGGGATTGCGGTGGATTCATATTTGACGGATTTATAATGAATAGTAAGGGGAAAAAAAAAAAGAACAGATAGGGGTGAGCGGAAGTTTTATACAGAAAAAAATAAAACAAGGAGATAAGATGGTGATGAATCTTATCACGTGGAATTTTTCCCACCCATCCTTCCCAGAAGTAGAATGGATGTGCAAAGCCAAGTAGATTCTTGTTCATTGATCCCGTTTTGGTTGAACGCTATTTTTTTTTCACCTGGGTATAACTATACTCGGTCTTTTGGTCGCTCTTACTAGAAAAGAAAAAAATAAATGAAATAAAGAGCCGATCATTAAGAATAATCAGACTCCATCTGTACCGTCCCGTATTAATCGAATAGATTCAAAAAAGTGCAAGCCATCACGCATGATAATGTTTTGGCATAAAAAGATCGTACCTCCTCATTTTCTATCATGATTTTGCACATGTTATGACAGAATTACTAGTCAAATCCATCTTTTTTTTGCATATGACTTGTGCAATCGATGCTTCCACAGATATTTGCTGCAACATAAGAGGCTACCCAAACATGGTAATGATAAGTTGAACCAATCTTATTCGCTTTGCTGAAATAAGCGTGACGTGCACTGGCGCTATGTTTGGTTTGCCTTTTTGTGTTCATCAGGATCACGCTCTCTCTCAACCGCTCCCCATTACCATTTTAGGAAGCGTGGGAACTCAAGCTGATTGTCCCAGTTCAACAACTTTAAAAAAAAGATTATGTATGGTTTGTATTTCCCATTTTCTCCAAGCTCCCTTGATTCGTAAACCGCGGCTGTTCACCACTTCCCTCCGACATTATTTTGCTCTAAAAAGGAAAATAAACTGACGATCTATTTTTTTTTCTTTCAAATTTTTACAGTGAACACCCAGTTTTATTAAATTTTTTTGTCGGGCCTTTTTTTTTTTTTTTTTTTTTTTTTTTTTTTTTTTCAAGAGAGATGGCTCAGCTGAAGTTCAGCATTGATTTCCTCAAAAAGGCTGTCCCCCAAGCCAATGTCCAGCAGGCTCGGCGGTTCACTGCGTTGCTTCCCCTGTTCTAGTGCGAGATCGTAACATGTGTATTTTTGCATCTCCTGACTTAAATAATCTTGCTTGGCTTGCCAATTGGTGAGCTTTCGAGTCTAAGGCGACGAAGTTAATACAGGAATGATTCTTCATCGTTGTCAATTTTTTTTGTAAAGCTGTATTCATACCAAAACTGTCCGCAATTCCTGATGTTGTTCGTATTCCTCTTGCAAGTGTTTCAAATGATTGCGTATTGCCTCGTGCTGGTCGGCCGTATTAAGAAAACTTCGCACGTTGGGTGCAGGAGCCGCAGGCACCGTCCATGTATCCAAGCCATGACTTGGCTGTTGGTAATCTGTGTGTTTGATCCCTACCGGCAATGGTACCTTGGTATCACGCGCAGCCCAATAATTACATTGATGCATCCAGCGATCTCGGTCGTCTGATGTTGCGCATGCGAACAAGTACGTCTTTGAAGGAATGGTGTGAAGAACAAATGAACAATCGTCGATTGCAACGGCGGCAGCCAATGCATGACCCAAATGGATCGGTGATATTCGCTTTGTCTAAAACACCCATAAGTTTTTTTGACAACGATGAAACCAACAAAATCAACTTACTTGCGCATGCAGACGGAGGTATCCGTGATCAAGTGTAGCAAAGCATTCGTGCCAAAGATGTTCGGATGATTCCTTCCATATCAAATAACCTTCGAAGCATTTACTGCTCTTTTCTGGCTGTTGGAGAAATTGGGGGATGCAACATTCATGCACAAGACCGAGTAAGTATGCCTGGGTTACGGACTCATGTGATGTGATGGTGAGGGGCCCTATTTTTTTTCCCATACCTCAAAGACGGCACTATTTTCTTGTTTGCGTTGCTTTAAAGATCCCATGCGCTGCAGGATCGTTGGTTTGGTTTTTATAGCATGGTGAACATTGGCCTGCAATACACCACGTTGCTTTATAGAGCTGTAAATATCCTGTAAAAAACTTGACAGTGAGTCGATCAAGAATACCACGGGGTGTGATTTCCGGTTTTTTACCTTTAAACACTGTTCCATATGATTTTGCCATTGTGCCAGACTGAGCGGTAATGGAGTGGTGGCTCTGGCGGAATTTAAATGATCCAGTACGGTGCGCATGGTATTTTGACAGAATTCTGATCGTGTCATCCGAATGTGACCCGATCCATGAACGATATGCAAGTCGGTGTTTAGCAACATCATTGAATAAGTCACTGCATAAACAATATCTAAACAAAAAAATAAAAAAGGCCGTCGGTTTGAACAATGCACTGCATGCCTTTTTTTTGACTTGTGTCCATTCTCCCCTTTTTACCTGCATTGCCAAAAAGAGAGTGATGGTTACACTCCCAGTACCGACGTGCAAATGATTCGAGAATACGATCGATTTCCTGCGCTTCGGCTTTGAAATACAACTTGTCACAGAGCTTTCTGTATTGGAGGAGATTTTCTCAATTCAACACCATGGAAATGAACATCCAAACATGCTGAACCACTTACCTAAACGCATCATCGAGAGACATATGGGTAAAATCGAATTTTTCTAAATAAAGCTGCAGCACATTGTGGCAAAAAGGATCGCTAGATTTGACGTGTGCCGGTTAATACTGATGAACCATATGTCATGTTTCATTACGCGAAGGAAACGTCAAAAAATTAACGTACAAGCGTCCAAGATAAGCAGCAATTTTTTCCAGTTTGATGGTTGTTTCGTCTTCGGACCACAGTTTATCAGCCATCGCTTGAGCCTCTTGTTGCGACGACTGTTTCATTAACTCCTCCACGTGACCAAAGATCGCATTTTTATCCCATAGACTGAGCCGAGTGGAGAACAGATTGCCCAAGACTGATTGGCGTTTCCATTCAAGCAGTGATTTAACTTCATCATCCGGGGACAATGAGCTAAGACTGCTTCGGCTGCTGCAGTAGGTGAGTTCGTCTTCGGCGGTGGTGAAGGTATCGGTGGTGCTATGGCTACTGCTGCTGGTGGGACGGTCGCTGGTCGGAGTTGAAAGACAAGGGGTGGGCGCTGAGGATGTATTGGTTGAACTCAGACTGGACGAGCGCACGGGCGGAAGGATTCGTGCCACTGACAGACCCGAGACATTCATCTCTTTAGGGTTCAACGTTACATTGGTCGAAGTGAAAGATACTGTGGCTGATATCGATGAAGGAGACTAATCCAGCTGTTACTATTTTTTTCCGTTTTCCAGAATCGTGTTCTTTAACCTTTTTCTCTCTTGTCCACCCTGGTTTTTTCCTTTCGTATATAATTTTCTCTCAATTCCAAAAAAAAAAGGAAAAAGAGATTTACTTACCGAAGCTATTTCTTCTGACCACCATTTTTCACCAAGCTATTTTTTTTATTGTTCAAGAGTTAAAACATCGTACTGGAGTTCATCCATTTCCATTCATCGCAAAAGAAAAAAAAAAGGGAGACAGAGATAAAGCGACTGAAGTGTCGATCTGCCAATATAAGATCGTACCTGTTCTTCTTCATTATCAAAAAGATCGGGTGTAGATCGCGATCCTAGTAGAGGTGGTAATCCAATGGGTAAAGGTACTTTGGTATCCCCTTGTCGAGCTCGCCGGTGAGCGAGAGAATAACTTCGTTTGGGAGGATTCAGCATCATCGTAGCAAAAAGAAGGTATGTACAAAATAGATATGTATATGAAAACAAAAACAAAAAAAAGATGCGAAAGAAAAGTTAATAAGATGAATAGGGAATAGAAGTAAAGGTCTCGAAGATTAACTGGAGAGTTAATTAAAACTTTCCAACGTACACATATGGAGCATGGATCGGAGCTTCACCAACGATCGTTTCACGTGGGCAGCAACTCATTTGAAGCCTCATCCATCGTCGTACTCCATTCACTTTTTCAATGGAACTAGGTATTGATTATGTCGCCCTATAGTATTTCGATTACCTAGGTCTAGTTCTTTTTTAATACTACACTCAGTGCTGCTTTGCCTTTGCCCGGCACTGGAATTATTGTGAATCTGAGTAAAACGAATGGCTTGAAATTTTGTGTGACCCATTGTGCGACAAACACGGAGAGACTAACCCGCTTTTGCTGTTGAGCTTCAAACGGATTGATTTTATGATAATCAACAATAACCTGCCCAAGCTTAATTAAATCAGCAGAATCCACCCGCTTTCAGTAATAAACTTACTCTGTGCTCTCAGCTAAGGTTCTGTGCAAGTCAGCATTATGTTTCTGGACTATCCAGATCCGGTAATGGATTGCTGATATCGCAATATCCACTTGTTAGAAAACAAGTTTCAAGCAATCTGTGTGGGCCAAACCGATTATTTGCAAATGGGGCAATCGTGCTGAAGATGGCGGTATATTCAGACAGCATGCTGGTTTTGCCAAGATTTCTAGAATATCGGATCATGTTCATGTGATCACAGCCAGCTTGGACCGTATGACAAAAGGAACAAGTCTTCTTTAAAACACCCTTCACTAACTTATTCGATATAAGTATGACCATTCATCAATGCCGCATAATGCATTTACCGTACTAAAATCCATACAGAACGGCAATATGAAAAATTGAACGACGCAAATACGACCAGCATCATATTGGTTGTGCTAACCAAATTGTTCAACACAACCATTTTCGTTTGGCTTGCTGGCCCGAGAGTTTTCCTATGGGACGGCAGAGCAGTAACTATAGATCAGGCTATCAATAGCTACCTTACGTGGCAAGGTATTTTTTTGGTCGTTCACTCATCTTTAAAATAACTTATATATACAAACGAGGGATCAAGTAATCTTTCGTTATCCCGGCTGAGGCAAATGGATTTGATATCAGCATTCATATTTGAAAAGTGGGTGGGATAACGATACAAGTGGTACATTCATGTTAGGAATAGGTGAATGCAAACTTGTGCCCGAGTCAGCCCGAAAGAGAACTAATTGAGTGAAATTATCCTCTAGCGAAACAAACCCCAACTGGTTGCATCTTGACGGTTGCGTAATATATCGTTGCACCACAAACTGTAGTGACGACCGACCCATGCATCGTTCTTATGCATCATTGCTTCCTGTTAATGTAGCACTATTTCTGTGTTTCGATGGCTCAGTTGCTTCAACATCCTATTGATGTCCCATATTATTGTCTCACAGTCGTCTGTGGGCGATCCACAACTTTTATTAAATGCCATTGCGGGTGAGAAAAATGCACCTCCAAATAGTTATTAGCATTAAGCTTCGTTTATATGGCAATCGCTCAAGGTATGCCAATATGATGGGAAAAGCTGACTTGCATGCATCCAGTGGTTCATCCAAAGTAGCATTTTTTGCCTCCAAGTAACGCGTCCGTATGCCTTTCTTAAATCACGTCGGGAAATTTTGAGTGATAACCCGACTGAAACACCTTTTGGTATGCAGCCAATGAGACACTCGAATGGAATCATCACGGCGACCGCCAGGATAGAACTTTCCTGGTTTGTAAATGGCAAGTGCAATCATTTGTACGATCCTGTTAATGTCTCCTGTCGATACTTGCAAACATCTATTTGCATTATCTGTGAATATGAGTTTGTTCCATAGTAATATCGGTCATATCGACTCCATCCTCCTCGACGCTGCGGATGACACTGTTCCTAGTGCAGAAGAAATATGTCCCAGTCTTTGTTCGCATGAAATTAACTTGGTGGAGTTTGGCGCGTTCTTTTCGATGTGCCAGATACACACAGGGCATTTCTCTTCAGAAAGACAATGGCGTTGCGTTTATCAGCAGTAATTCACGACCGGTGAAGATCACAGGTGGGCAAGGCCTATTTTCAATCACTAACTCCATTTGGCGCAAGGCCCATTCATAGTCTTCGCGGAGAGCAAAGCAAGAAAAAAAAAGTGTGTGTTTCGATCCGCTGAAATCGGCAATCTTCGAACGCGGCATTCGGTGCCGAAATGATTTTGTATGTACTGAACAGTTGAATACCAATGACTCAAGGCGAACCACTTCTCGCGGGCGAAGAATAGGCCAGTAAGATGTCCATTGTCGTCCATGCGTACCTTAGTATCGAGAATCCCTCTCGGGAAAATAATCAATCAACGCTTGAATCGGCGAACGGCCATCGAGGAATTCATTGCGCAAAGTTGCACGAGCGTTGTATATCGTGCGGTCCGTGATCACTTTACCGGTCGTTCCATCGTAAGGTCGAGAGGATGGCCTTTGGACGAATACCAGCGGCTGTCCATTTATTTGTCTCAATTGCCCTCGCTTAGTCCACAGGCAAGAGGATGACCGAAGGATCCAAATCTGTGTGCACGGTTATGGCAGCTGTTTCTAGCCTCATTGTACCATAATTCCATCTAGACAACTTGCATTTCATTCGAACGCATAGTTTGTTTTTCTTGTGTCCATGCTTTTCTCTTTCGAGTGGTCTCACTGAAATTCAACTCGTTGACATAGATACCGGAACAATCACGTCATATACACTACAGTGTACTCGAGTTTTGGTATTTGATCTTGCTATGAAGCGATAACGAGCAACATGTCTCTCTCCTGTGTCGGTATTTTCTCAAAAGCTTGACCATGGTTTCCCTGGAGCTGTTCAGACAATATTCCATTACAGATTCAGGGGTACGAAAATTGCTATGATAAGGCGCTTCGGCTGTAAATAATATTGTGTTTTACGTTTTTAATAAACAGTAATAGTAAGAAGGGAATAATGTAAAACTAACATCATAGCCATCCATTTAAGGTTTGGAGGAAAAACAATCTTTTAATGCGACAACCGCTTCCATTAATGGCAGCACGTAGAAATGGTAAAAAATTGGGATCGTGGACGTTGCCCAGGATGATGACGAGTTCCAGCTTACCGCGGAACTGACGGAAGTCTTCATCTTCGTGGCCGCGGAACTCCATTAGTTGCATTGGTGGAGAAAGGCAGATTTCTGGGCCGACGCAGTGTGTTCGTTGTAGTGTTGATCGATAGTCAGCTTTGGTATTGACTTGAGTCTTTTGATCTTGATTATTTCGGAGCTGACGTTGAATATTTCTTGTTGGACTTACTGGGCTTCTTGAGAAGGTTCTCGGTTTGGAATTATTAATTGATTGAATTGAGCCCCTCTGCAGAGAGCACCAAGACGTATTGTACAACATCGCGTGTTCGGCGGTTCAAAATATGTTACAGTATGCAAATAAATAAATAAATAAAACGAGAAGTTAATGGGCACCAGATATATTTTGTCGTGTTTGGTATAATAAAATAATGTATTCCACATACTTCATTCCTCTTTCATTGCATTATGTGCATCTCCACGGATAAATCTCATCCTCAGAACGTCCCCAGTTCAAATATACCGAGTTGTACCACACTCAAATACTAATCACTGAAGATGAACCTTATGACCATCTTCATTCAGGAACCGACCTCTGACATAAATGCGGTCCACATTCACAAATCCAACGTCTCCTTGGTAACCAAAAGTCACAAGGACAGCCGTATCCTCTTGTTATTCGTGCACAGTACGTTCAACGGCAATATCTACAGGATAAACGATTTATTATAATAGGATCAAGTCAATTGACAATCCGTCATAAACTATATAAGCAGACATAGAATGATGAATTGATCTCGGCCTTCTTTTTCCTTCTCTTGTTTCTCAATAAATCCGAGTCTCAAACATTTTCAGGTTTTCTCTGTTTTTAATTTGTCTTTTATTCACAAACACCACAATTGCTTCCATAGGTTTGTCAGATGTTCGTGGTTGGGCCATGTTGGGCGAGAATTCCTTCCGATTTGTCAGTTTCGTAGATAGTGGAACTAGGCGTTGTAATACGGACAGGCGAGACAAGACAGGGAAAGAGTCTGGATTTTTTTAGGAGGTTGAGGGTGGAGGCGGATACGGATTTTTTGGATACGGATTTTTTGGAGGCGGATACGGATTTTTTGGATACGGATTTTTTGGATACGGATTTTTTGGATACGGATTTTTTGAATACGGATTTTTTGGAAGCGGAAGCGGATACGAATTTTTTGGAAGCGGATACGGATTTTTTGGAGGCGGATACGGATTTTTTGGATACGGATTTTTTGGATACGGATTTTTTGGATACGGATTTTTTGAATACGGATTTTTTGGAAGCGGAAGCGGATACGAATTTTTTGGAAGCGGATACGGATTTTTTGGAGGCGGATACGGATTTTTTGGAGGCGGATACGGATTTTTTGAAAGGCGGATACGGATTTTTTGAATACGGATTTTTTGGATACGGATTTTTTGGATACGGATTTTTTGAATACGGATTTTTTGGATACGGATTTTTTGGATACGGATTTTTTGGATACGGATTTTTTGGAGGCGGATACGGATTTTTTGGAGGCGGATACGGATTTTTTGGAGGCGGATACGGATTTTTTGAAAGGCGGATACGGATTTTTTGGATACGGATTTTTTGGATACGGATTTTTTGGATACGGATTTTTTGAATACGGATTTTTTGGAAGCGGAAGCGGATACGAATTTTTTGGAAGCGGATACGGATTTTTTGGAGTCGGATACGGATTTTTTGGAGGCGGATACGGATTTTTTGAAAGGCGGATACGGATTTTTTGGAAGCGGATTACGAATTTTTTGGAAGCGGATACGGATTTTTTGAAAGGCGGATACGGATTTTTTGAATACAGATTTTTTGGATACGGATTTTTTGGATACGGATTTTTTGGATACGGATTTTTTGGATACGGATTTTTTGAATACGGATTTTTTGGAAGCGGAAGCGGATACGAATTTTTTGGAAGCGGATACGGATTTTTTGGAGGCGGATACGGATTTTTTGGAGGCGGATACGGATTTTTTGGATACGGATTTTTTGGATACGGATTTTTTGGATACGGATTTTTTGGATACGGATTTTTTGGATACGGATTTTTTGAATTACGGATTTTTTGGAAGCGGAAGCGGATACGAATTTTTTGGAAGCGGATACGGATTTTTTGGAGGCGGATACGGATTTTTTGGAAGCGGATTACGAATTTTTTGGAAGCGGATACGGATTTTTTGGAGGCGGATACGGATTTTTTGGAGGCGGATACGGATTTTTTGAAAGGCGGATACGGATTTTTTGGAAGCGGATTACGAATTTTTTGGAAGCGGATACGGATTTTTTGAGGGGCGGAGGCTGAATGCGGGTTTTGGATCGTATATCCATGTGGACTGGATAAGCAGAATGATGGCTCACCTAATGCCCTACACGTAACTGAGACACCCCTCGCTCTCGTATTTTGACGATCTTCAATTTCATCGATTCTCTCTGCGTCTCAACCGCCCTTCGATTTGATATAATCGTTAAGTATAAATATCTTATTCACCTCTTCTTTTATTTATCAGCATAGCAAAATTTCAACCCTGAACACACTATAGTCTATAACATCTCTTGTGGTCACTACAAAGGGGCTCAATTCAATCCATTAACAACTCCAAACCGAGAACCTTCTCAAATTTTAGCAAACCCAGTAAGTCCAGCAAGAAATATTCAATGTCAGCTCCGAAATAATCAAGATCAAAAGACTCAATTCAATACCAAAGCTGACTATCGATCAACACCACAAGAACACACTGCGTCGACCCAGAAATCTGCCTTTCCCCACCAATGCAACTAATGGAGTTCCGCGGCCACGAAGATGAAGACTTCCGTCAGTTCCACGGTAAGCTGGGACCGGTCATCATACTGGGCAACGTCCATGATGAAGGACGAAAGACCTAGATATAGCGCGCCCACCTTCGCGGCTGTACCTGCAACGTTTTACAACCAGCAAATCCTTCCAAAGATTCAGCAATTATTGTTTGAAGATATCCTCAATTTTGCCTCCAAAAGAATATGTAACCGACAACATAGACCTCGCCTGCAGCACCAATTTGGCAACATGGAGCAGTATCGCAATGAACACCCTCAGTCATATTACCGCTGTCTGCAACAAGTCGCAGCGATCAAAAAGTTCCTTGAGTCCAAGTTCTGTTTCCGGGTTGCTCAGCGAAGTCAAGGCCCTCTGGACCCTGGTGGAAGCCTTTTCTTTCAATGACTGAAAAGCCGCAGCCATCGCCTTTCGGAACGCCCGTCGCATCAGCGATATCCTCCAATCGCCGTAAAACGCTACCAGAGCCCATCGCTCGTTAGCAGCTGACCGCCAACTTCGAACCCCAGGCATACCATGACGTTTGCTCTCCTGCTGTCGAGTTATATCATAACGAAATGGGAACTAAATCTTCTAGACGCTATAGACACACGCGTAACGTCCCAGTGAACCACGTCATGCATATAATCCATCAAGGATATAACCTTGAAGACGCAACCATCGATACAGCCCGGCAAGAGGCTAAATGGATCCACGAGCAGGCGTGCCCTCAACAATGGCCGAGACCAGCATCACATAGTTATCAGTCTCAACCCTCCAAGACCCAGTCCACCTCGGTTCAGCAGATCGCCCCGAATACCCTACTCCGATAACCGTCAAGAATACAGTAACGATGCCCATCAGAACAACCGTCCGACGTACCAACCACTTAAAAATTGACAGGTAACAACCATGAACACCAGTGTTATCCGCCACAACATAATCAAATGCGCAACGATCAGTCAAAAACCTACCCTCGATCCAAACCCGTGCTTCTTAACATCCATCTGGATATTTTCCACACCGAAAATATCGATCTGTAAACTGCAGAGTGCAGACAGTGCAGACAGTGCAACTAGAATGAATCGATCCATAACGCGAGTCCTACGAAAATCCCAAAGTCCCATGTTTCGTACGAAGAAAAGAAAGTCGTTTCGATGCACCACCTACGAAACTTCCTTGGTTATCCACCATCACCAAAAAAAAGGACGATCTGCCTCAAGTGGCACAAGAAAAGCACCATTTCCAAGCCAAAGGGGCACAGATCTTTACTCGACTGTAGCCTTGCTGAAGACGTTAGGAACCGAAAAGCCAGCAGAACGGTCTCGCAATTGATGCAGGCAGCTCCATCACTTCGCCGACAACTGCGACTTTGAAATATGATCTGAGATTCAAGTTTTTGAATGCAGAGCTTTCACAAGCACACCCTTCACCTTTTTTTCCTGATCTTGCCATCGTACCTTTCTGCTCTACTTATGACAAGTGTCGTTCAAGCTAATTTTTAGGACATTACCGAGGCCATTTCGTTGTCATTCGCTTGTTACGTGTTATGTTTCTCTTATAGACGTTGAGGAGCACGACCTCCTTACGTTTGAATTACCAGACGACAATTTACCGGGTTCAGACAGGCTGAGCAAGCAAATCTTAAAAACACAAAGTGTTATTGATATTGTAACGGCTTCAACACTGGAAGTACCAAATGGTACGTACAGGACCGCTGGAACGGAGTGGAAAAACGGGAGAAAAAGTGATGTTGTGTATGTCCCACGATTATCCATTCAGAGTTCCCCGCCACCCTTCCTTATTGAAGTCCAGAATGTTGTAGACGAGACCTTCATTCAATGTGTGAATTCCTACTGTCTTCAAATCATTCAGCTGTATTCGAGCAAACCAGTGGTGTTGGTTTTTTGCATTTCAAAAGTAACACCCAGATCCTTCGAGACCGAGTTCACCCCATCGCGCTTAAAAACGTGGCTCTTGGAATATCCCTGCAATGCTTGGGCAAAAGTTTGCTACATGGTCTCGCCAAATAGCACTGCAGAAACCGCTTTGCAGGCAACGTCGACGTTGGATCCATTGCTGGCATTGTCACGATTCTTGATTGAGCAACAAGCGTCCCTGTTTGCTCATACTCACCCAAGCGACCCGACCGTTAAACACTTATACCACCTCGCCATGATGGAGCATGGATGTGCTTTGCAGTTCGAAGCAAATTACGCTAACAACCTACATACCGTCTGTTCAACCAATATCAAGCTCTTGGAACGAAGCAAAGCAAAATTGGTCGCCGATATTCCCGACACGCGACGCGCAATTAGAGATTTGAATCAAGGCATTACTTATAACGAGAAACTTAAACGCAAGTATTCCTCCGTGGAAGAAGAATCCTCTCAATCTAGCCAATCATCATTGGAAATGCCAGAAGACCTCTCCTTGGATCATCCTTCGTCAGACGCGCCACAAGAGCCGGAAAAAGAAAAGGCGTTAGTCAAGCAATATTATGCCACCCGTAATGCGCAAATGAAATGGAAAGATTGCTGGGAAAAAGGACGAGAAATGGGCCTGTTCAAACGATATTCGACCGCCGAAAGTCTTCGTGCCAACCTTGGTCACCTTGTCCTCAATAAGAAAGCAAAACGAAACCATGCAACCCTATAGCATATGCAGCACCACTACTTGATACCTTCCCCTTCCCCATTGTCTTTCTTCATGACAGATCCTTGGTCACCAGAGAGACACTCGTCTTTTTATTTGTTACCAATGAATCTGCATTTGCATAAATTATCACTGGCGCCAGATCAAATGTCAACTTCACATACTGTAACAGCTTTCACAAGAATCCATATTTGCTCCCGGTTTTTCTAGCGCATTATGAATTTGAATAGATATCATACTAGAGCTCGAGATTCTTTGGAAAAGTAGCTTTATAAAACGACGTATCGAACTACAAATTCCAAAGGCACGTGCAACAAACTTAGAACATCATTTTCTACATGTTCCAGTTTATAATTAAGATTTTTGTTCTCGATCTTTACAATTCAAATGGGAAGATATAATAGCTCAAAGAAAACACTAGATCTACTGTTTAACGCACATATTCTCGTTTTGGTTTTGCTTCCTTCACATGAATATTTTGGCTTTTTCAATAACATCGAACAAGTCAGAGAAAAAGCCTTAACATTGATGCTTAGCCCTCTATGCACTCCCGGAACGGGCTCACATTTTCCTGAATATGGCTACTATGTGGTCACATAAAGCAGTAACTAGTAAGTTTCGGGACAATGACAATAATAGTACGTATCCTTTGCTTAACATACTTTTATAGACGCGCAGGAACACCTAAAGATTCGCCGGAGACTGCATTTCCCAAGTACAGTTTAATTGATAATTTTTTTTTATACTAAAACGAATTTTGAAAAAAAGAGGGAAGGTAATGGAGTTAAGTTAAAAGGACGTTTAAGTTAGTCAAATAAGGGAGGAAACCAAAGGACAAAGACTTAAAAGAAAAACGGATGCATTAGACAAGCCAGACTTACTCTTCTTTGTTGTCACCACGTAGTGGGACCGGCCACAGCACATCAAACAGGCATGGGCTTTGTTCAAAGTTTTAAACTATGGAAGCGCACACAACGAGTGATTCGGCATAACATTCAAAAAGAAAGGGAAGGCAATTGGCACAATACATTGCCCTACGAAAAACTTTCTTGATTGACCACGAAAACAGAAGTTTTCGGCGCGCAAGCTACATGTGGAAATTCAGTCGTTGATAGCATAGTTGTGGTCATAACCAGTATACGTGCAATGAGCAAAAGTTGATAGAGATAAGCAATAAAAATATATATTGCGATAGATGGTGTTACGAAAAAGGATATAGATGTACGATAGAGAAAAAAGAAATGGATGGAAGATGCGTCGTAATTTATAGACATGGAAAAAGAGGCGATATTACCTGAAACTATTCCTTCGTACAGTAGCTAAAAAAACCTTTATGTCCAATAATGAAGCAGAAAAAACGCCATGATTCTTTATTCATCGCTTCATTCCATAGTATCTATTGATAAGAGAATACGACATTATCGCATGAAGCAGCTGCATCAAGGAGGTCTCACAGATATGTTAGAGATCGATCGATCGGGATGTCTTTATTCAACTGTTGTTGTATTGGCTGATCGGGTACGCAGGTGCACATAAACTTTGGTACGGAAGTAGCAGACGGCACGTAGACTGAAGTGTTAGCTCGTATTACACATTTTATTGAAGAATACAGTCATCCTCGAGAAGAAGGCCTCTGCTGAGTAAACAAAGTCATCAGTTTCAGCGCATTTTCCCCCATCAGGATTACGCAGGTATTCTACAAGGCCAAAGAAATATGAGGAGATCCACCTCACTCCCGCCAATAAAGGACCAAGTCAAGATTCTTTGTTGCCTTGCAATTTATTTATTATCATCTCTTCATTTCCCGAGAAAAATGAATTTGAAGATGAAAGTAATATTAGAAATTTTACCAGGGTACTGTAATCTGTATGTAACCATAGTCTCAATAATAAATGCAGCCTGATAACAATGAAGACCCATCTCATCAATAACAGTTCCAGTTACATATAAATATTGTACCCATGTTGAATGGTAAAGTATCAACAAAAATCACCAAGGAAGTAAAAAATACTCACTCTCCAAAAAATCTCATCTTTCAAGTACAGCAACGGGATTCTTTTACTATGAAATTGATTTTGATTGGCCAATAATGGCATTGACTTTGATTGGCTGCGTTCATTACTTGTTGGAAGCACTGAATGAAACGGGAAAAAAAAAGCTCAGAAAGGCAAAGATCGGGATGTCGGGACCGATGAGGGGGGTTATTTTTTCTTGTATTTCCTTCCATATTTGAACCGAAAGTATATTGATGGCTCCTTATCAATATCCGAAAAAAGCAAGCTTTAACAAGGAGATCCTGGATACCTTTTGTTTTCATTGGCCCGCAGCGCACAAGTACGTACTCGTGCGCGTCCTCGATGACTCGATCGCCATGGCGCCGGTACGATCTCGTATGGCTTTCTTGTTCTTCCACAATGCTCCTCCACCACGACGGCCATCCGTAGCAACCAGCTCATCCTCACCACGTTTTGGCCCATCGCGGGTGCATTCGGTGTTCCGTGCTTGGAAACATACCCTCATATTTGCTGACACAGAAGACAGCGATGACGACGAAGAGCCGAGTGACAAAGACACGTTGACCCGCCAGCGATCCACTTCTCCAAGCAATGCCATGTCACCCGGACCTGCCATCTCCCTTAATGATATTATTACCGATAATCCCACGCTGTGTGACAACTGGATTCATGCACAATGCAGGGTTGACCAAACAACGCCCGATACAGCCATCCGACTGTATACAAAGCACACCACCGTTATGCTGAGAGCGCGATGTCTAGCGGAGAAAGTGGCCTTTCTTAATCTTGTCCGTTTAACTGATCAACGCCGGCCGTCCAGTGACGCAGGAGCCAGATCCGTTTCGTCTGATACTCAAACGATAATGTCTGACAGCCTCATTGAAGATTCTGTCATGCAGAATGAACACCAGTTCCAAAAAGTCGATATGTTAGCGCGAAAGTTGGAAAAAGCACGCGATGATATCCAACTGTATTTCGAAGAATTACAGCGCCTGGATCATGGATGCGCCACATTGAGTCATTCCTTGGATAAAAGCGCGGTAGGTGACATTCGACGAGTATTGAAAGATGTCCGGGAACAAATGGCGTCGTCCATGGAATATTCTCAATCACATCAAAGACATATGAACGATCTGGAAAAAAAGGCGATGTCTAATTCTGGCATACTGAAAACCGTCGATTTGCGCTTGGAAGATTTGCAGAACACGATGCGACAACATGCATGGTATCCGTGGTTATACACCGGTTTGATCTCCATATCGATTGTCATCCTGAGTTTTCTGGTGTACTGGCTCCTCCGCTGAACCAACATTATTCCCTCGATTAATAATCTACTCTATATTTGCATTGTATATTTGTAATTTTTAAATTTTGTATTCAAACCCATTACGCCTATCACCGTCATTCTCCTCATTCTCACTCTCATTCACCTCAAAAAATCATCACTGCATCATTTTATCGATAACTTTTTTGCTCTAATTTTGACTCAATGAGAACAGAAAGGAAAAAAAAAAGTGGTGAGATAGTGGACAATGATTAGAGACCATTACTTGCTATCCGTTTGATGGCAGCCAAGTATTTTATATGTATTTCTGTCTGTGCTCCAGTTTCTTGGATACACGTGGGTTCTTACTCATAGTTCACCATCCTATTGCACGGTTCAAGATTTACTATTACTGATTCAGGATACAAAAACGACTGTTAGTGTTCATCCGGCAGTCAGCTTTTTAAACTCTCGCATCTTAGCATTACGCACTCAATGGTCTGCCATGTTGAAGCTGTTCAAATATGTGTATTCAAAAAGGGTTCCTATGATTTGAGCTTCTTCCGGAAGATGCTGAAGAACAAGTTGCTGGAAAAGCTCGAGGGGCCACTGATGTGGCTCCTTGCGTTTGGTTAAGCTTCAGAAAACCCAAGGTGTCTGACTTTTATTGAGAGTGTAGTGGGACATCAACCCGATAAACATTTCATTTTGCCTAAAGCAGCCTACCGAATTACAGTATATGCATGCACATGGCTGCATGATTCCTTGCAAATAAGATGAGGGCGTGCATTAATAAGAATTTCAGTCGCACCAGCCTGCAGTGAATTCGTGAATTCAACTCTTGAGAATCCACGATGGTCCATGTCCATCACCCTCGACGAGAAACAAAATAACTTAAAAATGATGATTGATCAGCTGTAGTCCTCTAAATCATCCTCAATAACAACACAGATGGAAGGTCCTCTTTGTCAAAAGAAGGATATACAGTGCTTTTAGCTTATTTTTTTTTGTATATCCATGTTATCTTTGCAGATCAATATAGAGCGCGTCTTATTACGCGCAAAACAGGGATCCAAAGGATGTTAAGCATTCATTTGTGTGAACCTGAAATGTTGACGAAGCTTTAATTTTCTATTCCGATACTCTGTTGCCATTGCATCATCAGGATTCCGCAGGATGATATTAAATCCAGTAATCTCTACAAGTAGACGATAGCAATACCCGCAGCTGCGATGGACAAGATTTGCACCGCACAGACTGCATTGATAACTTTAATAATGTCACTGTTAGTGCAAGCATCCTTAAAATGCTACTCATAAAACGATTAATGTGTGATGCATTTGATCGAGACATTCATGCGCGGGATCGAGTTGTGCAAGTTTATTCATCGTTGATGTCCTTTTTCGCAACTCAAAATCTGTCTCTGATGTTGGCACAGCGGAAAAAGTTGTCTGTGGGTTGCTTTTTTGTCGCATTGCAATATCGGTAAAAAAAAAAAAAATAAAAAAATAAAAAGGTGAGTAGAAATCTGTACAGATAAAGATGATAAAATTAAGCTAAACGCAATGCGTTCTTCTTTCTTTCCTCGTTTGTGGCCAAAATGCTGGCTTGCAAAAGTGTAGCGATGGTTTGCTTGACGGCGGATTTCGCGGCGTCGGTCATTTTCAACTGATGTCGACGGCCAAAACTTTCCACCAACGTCTCAGTATCGTCATGCTCATACACAGGTAGAAGCGCGGAAATACCAGGAGCAAATTCGATCTCCAGTTGGAGAACAGGTTTCGGTTCAGTGATGGAACATACTAATCCACCAGAAACTTGTTGGTTGGAGGAATTATGGGATGATGAAGACGGTTCGGAAGATGTAGAGGAAGTGGTTTTCGAGAAAGTAGAAGGTGGCTTCGGATTGGAATCGGAGACGGTGCGTGATAATGGTTGCGTATTTGTGGTGACGGTGGTGGTGGTTTTCGTTTGGGTAGAAGAAATGGCCGTCTTTTGTAAAGTATTCGAAGATGAAAAAGAGGTGTTGTTGTTCGTGGCGGTCGTGGTGGTGGAAGTCTCCCAAAATGGAGTGGATGTGAGCGGAGCCGCACCCCAAGCTGTGGCTACATTGGATTGGATCATTTGGATTCGTTGCCGTGTAGGAACTCTACTCTTCTTTTCCTCAACCGCTTTGGCTCCGTCAAGAATGTTTTGAATTTGTGATAGGTTTTTCTTCTCCAATGTCTTGGCGGGTTTGGTGGCGACAAGTTCCGACCGCGTTGTTGGTTTAACTTTTGCTGGTGCTTTAGGTTTCTTTGCTTTCTTTGCTTGTGGAGAGGATGGCTTTGACGCTTTGGGTACCGCTTTATTTAGACGTTGGTTCAGAATGTATTGTTCATCGACTGGCTTGTAATTGGGGCCTTTTCTGTGAAGACCACCGGTACCAATGCCCCCTGCCTTGATCTTGAAATTAGGATCCACAAGAGACTTCCACGAAGCTGTGGGGTTTGATGGATCTGGGCTCTTCGAAGCTTGTGCTCCCCAACTGGCCATCGTCAATGGAGCATAATCGTCGTCTGATTCATAATCGGCGTGCATGATGTCAGATGATACAGGGCCGCTGCCGATCTGTAAGGAGCAAGGGAAGAAAAAAAAGGAGGATAATACGGGTATATGAGAAAAGGCCTAAAGAATCACCAAAACAAGACAGTTAGAGGAACTGGACCTCTCCTTTTTCGATTGAGATAACTCCATTTTCCAATTGGGTTTTTATGCAGAGACCAAGCCTCTGGCTATTGTGACTTGTAATTTGGATGCATGTAAAACCGATTCATGTGAACAGGTTGGGGTTTTGACTCTTGACTTGGCACCTCTGTTATAGCTCGTCATATCTATGTTTCCTGTTCACGGAGAGCGAGGTAGAGCTAGCCGCCATGAATCATGATATGACTTCAGGTCGTGTTCGGATATGCTTGTATTGAGAGTCGTAGTCTTTGAAAACAAAAAAAAAAAAATGTCAACTTGCCGAACACCGCATCCATTTTGATCACCACCCACTGCGGCTTCATTCTTCTTTTTTTTTTTTTTTTTCTAGAGTTATCCAGTGGATAATGTCACCAAAATCAGCTCATTATGCACTTCATTTTTTGCATGACCAAACAAATTGCTTTTCTTTTTTTTTTGACATTTCTGATGGTCGAGGAAAAAAAGGAAAGGATAATGATTAAACAATTTGTCCTGTTCTCTATAACATCACACCTCTAGTAGTAGCACCTGAGGTAGGTGGCGCAGTAGCTGATGACAAGCTACTTAATCCTTTGGCTTGCTGTGATCCTTGCACAGAAGATGGCATTTGTGATGGAGTTGTCGCGCCCGCACCGTTCGTTGGTGTTTGATGTCGTTCTTCAATCGCATCCCATGACAGTGTCCACTCTCGTTTCACTTTCTGCCATGTTGTAGGATCGAAAAATACATATACTCCTCTATCCAGTGCGCTTGGTGACGTACGTCGGAACACTTCTACAGGTCGGCCGTTCTCATCCGCTTCCTTCGTGAGCCACAACCCTAATTCCTTGTGGTACCGCCAATTCCTTGCGTATCTGCCAAAATCATACGTCCAAACGCAAATTAGTACAAATAATTGAGACCAGCCATTTCGCCTTTTTTCCATCACTTACAACTCCTGTGCTGCCGCTTCTTGCGCAATATCCTTTGGCATGCAATAAAACACATAGAATAAAATCTCATCGGAAAAAGTCCTCATTCGTTGATGTGCTGCCGGTGTCGCCTGAACATTGCGGTAGCACGGGGGAAGATAGTAACCAGGTTCGATATTCAGACCAGGTGGGGTCTGCGTATCCGACCATGGGGAGATGAAAGTGGAATATATGGAACTAAGAAAACCAGAAGGACAAATATTCAGCTTAGACTCACATCATCAAAAGAAAGATCCCTTTTTGTGTGTGTGCAAAAACTTACTCTGAGGTGTTCAGATCCAAACCTAATGTCGTTAAATCGCTACCAAGAGCCAACATGCTGCGATCGGGATCCGTCATTCTTATTACACCTAACAGTCCCAGCAATCCGTAAGGATCGGGTCGACTACCATCATTGGGTGCTGATCCCTGTTCGTCCCACGTTGCGTTCGGTTTCGGAGCGCCCGTTTCCGCCGATGCAGTTCCTACATCGCGATTTCCGGAATGTACATTTGGCATGACTTTCCGTGCTCCTGGTGCCAACTGCGGCTGCGCTGACTCCATTCGTGCTTGAGCCTGTCATACAGCAAAAAAATTGCCTATTTTAGAAACAGATCGAGTCGGTGGGGTCGATTCTTTTTCCCAATTGCCTACCCATTGAGACGATTCCATTGCTTCGTTTTTGGGAGCAAATGCTTTGTTGCCTAACAGATCGGTATCAGTATGCATGGAAGCTTATTCGATCGAAACCGGTCCAATGTGGAAAAAGAACAACACAACCGTAACCGCTGCAGTTGTGAAGGTCTTTTTTTTTGGGGGGAGGGGAGAATTAAAGAAAGAAGGCAAAGAAAGAAATTTTTTGTCAAGTATCGATGAACAAGATAAAGAAAAAAAGAACGAAGAGCATACCGTTCACGTTGGGTAGACCTGGTGACGCGCCCTGATTTAAGCCTCGCATACCGGTATAATCTAACCATGAATCGGGTTTTGATTCGCTGCTCATACCGTTACCAAACGGTGTTGCTGAACTTCGCAATGCAGGAAAGTCATCCATGGAAAACGTTCTCGGTGCATGTCCCCGAGGCGCGACAAGTTGTTCTGCAGGCAGTCCAGAGTAATTTTGAGGTGGTTGAAACGATCCTAATGGTGAAGCATAGTCGGATAGATTGGGATTGGAGCTGCCCAACAGAGCATCTTGCAGTGAGCCCGTTCCCGCTGTTGACGCATAACTCGCCAATCGATTCGATGGCAACAATGTGGAAGATGAAGGCATCGCAGACGCCACATTTCTGTTATTGGATGAAGGCGTTCCAAGCGCTGGAAAATCGTTCAAATCGACACCGGAATTATGACGGAACATGTCTAAATAAGAATTGCAAAGAAGCCAACAAAAAGAAAACGGCAGAACAAAAAAATAGCCGCAAACCCACCAGTGGCCAGCGGGATTCGCTGACGTCACCGACTTTGTGCCAAAAATTCTTTTTTTTCCCTTTTTTTTTTTTTTCCTGCTCCCTGAAAAGGCTCTTGTTTTTTTTTGACTGCATTCGAAAGCAATACCTGTCCATCGTCCTCATGAGTTCATACAGCGTCTATCTTTTCCGACATATCCAGACACAGCAGGTGCTTGTAAGCACTCGACAAAGTATGAAGGTATAACGATAAAAATCTCGATACTCCTAAAGGAGAATGGAACTTATTAAAAGAGATGTATAAAAGAATAAGGCACTTCGTCAAATCGAAACCACTCTTCGACCTGTTCGTCTCCGAAAAGATCATTGGCGCCCCATGGTGGCATTGACCGGTATTGAAACCCCACAATCAGCACAAGCCTTGTCCGACGCTTTATTGCAACGATCGCAAGCACGCCAACTTGACCTGAAAACTTCAGCCGAACACTTGGCACGGCCTAAACGTTTGCGAGTAGTAGACGAGAAAAATATGTTGGAACAATCCGTACAATCGCTTCGAGAGGCCCTGGAATCCGTCGCTCCTCAACATTTCAAAGATAAAAAGGTGTTGGCCTTATGGGAACAACCTCACTTTATGGATTTGAAGGGACAGCAAGAATGGCCCGCATTTGTAGAGCACGGTCAATTGGAGTTACGATTGAATCGACTCGTCAACAACCCCTCTTCATAACTTGTGTGGAGAAAATAATTTAATCCATCTTATTCAAAGACTATTCCGGTTGCCCGTGTCATAATCAATAGACTAACTGTATAAAATCACAAAGAAACAAAATCCCATAAAAGGCACATCAATGACAGCCCATCTTTTTCTGCGGAGGGAGGACCTTGCATTTCATTTTTTTTATTGTTTCTTTGATTGGGAAATTTGTGACTTTGGAATCCCCGAATTTCAATCTTTTGAAATTGGCCAGACAACCCCCATTTCCGTAAACAATAACGGGAAAAACCCAACAGTTGTCATGTCACAATCCAGTGGAAGTGCTCGTGATTACGTCGAGTCCTACGTGAAAGAAACGGGACGTCAGGATAATGATTATCTTTCCGAGAAACAACCACGATATGACCCTACCAAAATACCGGATGCGCCAACCACGCCTTCTACCGCCACCGGCCACCCACCAGCGCCTACACAAGAAACCGAGCCAAAATCACAGTTTCCATCGTTTCATGCTCCCACCGTGAATCCCATGCCATCGACTGAGGAGTCCTCGGAACAACCGCAGCAGCAACCACAGGTCGTATGGGCTGTTCGTGATTTCATGGATCAGAAACAAGAGATTCACGAAACTGCTTTGGCCAACTGTGCGGATCTCCACGAAGATCTCATTGTGTGTTTCAAGAATGGCAGTTGGTGGGATAAAGCGAAAATGTGCGAAGCACAAAAAAAGAAGTTTTGGAACTGTTACCACACACAAAAGGTAATTTTGTATGTTTCTTTACATGATGAATCAGCGTCTCTAAAGGTTCTCGGTTGCATAGAAATTTCTAAAGGATGTGAATTATAAGGGCCCCATCAGTACTCAGGAGGACGATGACGTGAAACTTTACCAGGCACTAAAACTACGCGATGAAATGGATACCAAAGCACCAGAGGCATCAGCTGCTTCTCAATAAGCGAAAAAAAAAGAGAATCCGGGATTTTTTTTTTCTGTTTTTCAGGGATTGTTTGTTTGCTTGGATTTCACCACATGTTGTATATTATCTAACTTCCTCGGCAAACTTTGCTAAATGTACAATAATTCGACTTTTTCATCATCATGTATCATGATATATAGACATTCAATAATATATGGGTGACAAAAATGACATCGTAAGGTCTGTCTAAAAAAGTGCTGCGATAAGAAATGAATCGGTAGCCCAATTGAGCAAAGAAGAAGGAACTGCAAAGGGCCCGTTTCGGATAAGTAAAGAATCTAACACATTTTTGCTTTTTCCATTATTGAAGCGCGTTTCTCCTTGAGGGTCATAACTATAAAACGCCTCCAGAAACCGGGTCACCACCCATCTTTATTTGACGAATCATGTGGAAGCTTATCCTTTTTACTAGCGTTAGCTATTCATTGGTGCATTTTGGATTGGCCGCGCCTACTACAAGTTCTGTCGCGGTTACAAGAACACGCAACGTCCTTCCGGTGGCGTCGCCTGGCTGGTTGCCCAAGTACAAGGCGCCCAACGTGAAACCGGTCCATCCTATGCCTCGCGGCCCGTTGAACCGGTTTTCCATGAACTTTGAAGTGGACAATTATCCAGATACCTGGGCCATCCCACCAACCAATGATCCCGTGCTTGCACCGGTCATGGCCTCCATCAACTGGTCTCTTGTCCCGGATGCCCCCGTACGAACCGTCAACAGCGAAGGAGACGTGGAATTCCACGCTTACAATGCTGAAGAAGACAAGTATTGCTGGTGGACGGCCGCGGCTTGCATCGCTCCCAAAGTCGATTATCTTCCCGAAGATATTTACAAGTGTCCCAATCCTGGCGATTGGGGTTTGGTAAGTGATCGATGAATTTTTGGGGCTCGTCAACTTTAACTTACATTTTTTATTCCTTCGTCTTGCTCAGACGTATGATGATGGACCAATGGTTCCCCAGAAAAAGGAGGTCGATGATCCCTATGCTGAGCCTCGTCTATACAACTTTTTGGCGCAGACGAATCAAAAGTCGACTCTTTTCTGTAAGTCGATAGTCTCTTCCTCGAACTGACGAGATCCATCTACGGAGATATTAACTGTTTGTTTGCATAGACGTTGGGTCGAATGTGGTTAATTTCCCCGAGGCTGCCAGTCGTGCGCAAGAAAGTGGACACGATATTTGTTTGCATACGTGGTCTCATCCTTTCATGACCTCACTGACCAACGAGCAAATTGTGGCCGAATTTTACTGGTCTTTGCGTGCGGTCAAGGAAGCTACGGGTGTCACCTCTCGCTGCTGGCGCCCTCCTTATGGAGACGTCGACGATCGCGTCCGTGCCATTGCTCATCAAATGGGTCTTTCCACGGTGTTGTGGACCCATGATTCGCAGGACTGGCAGATCGGTGCCGTTGATGGTCATTTGACGGAAGAGGATGTGAATGGATTTTTCCAACGATGGGTCAACACTCGCCAGGCTGGACAGGACGTCGCTGAAGGCCACATCGGTCTCCAACATGAGCTTAACAAGAACACAATCACCATGGCCGAAAAATGGTTGCCCGTCATGCAGAAATCTTTCAATGTTAAAAGCATTTTCGAATGCAATGCTATGCATAAATCCTACTGGGAGGATAATTAAACTTTTAATTTCATCTTTAGAAAGATGTGTAATAAAGAAAAGTCACTTAAAAATAATGTAGTAAAAAAAAATTGCAGTGTTCTGCTACTGAAAAAAAAAGAGAAATGCTTGAAACAGTGCAGACACTCGAAAAATAGATTGCGCGTCGGTGTAAGTAGTCTCTTTGTAGTATGAGGATAAGGAAAACTTGTACCTTTATAGTTATTGGCAGCATTATCAAGTGACACGGTGTCTCGGAAGAATAGACGCAAAAAGGGAGCCGACCGACTGTATAAACACATCACACATGAAAATTGTAAGCAAAAAGATGTCGCCGGCTGATGTATGCGTTGGAGAGCATAACTGAAACAATCATTTACTGTAGGAAATAAGACTGGATCTGGTTGCTGGGATCACCTTGTGAAGTTGACCGGGCGGGTACAGCATTAAGTCGTATTGTTGGCGACGTATCTGAACAATTTATAGCTGTCATCCGACAGATTTTTATACAACAGAATGTCATTTGCCGATGTTTTTCTCAACTCTTTGTGGTACAGCTGCTTCAACATGATTGCGAGTAATAAGGTTTGCTGATCCATTTCCCTCGCTGCACATTTTGAAGCCGCGATGTTTCCACACAATATAAATACTTCGTACTGCCGTTGTTTTTCCCCTTTTTCTCTTCTGTTCTTTCGTCCCTCTTCTTCTTTCTTACACATTCTTTTATTGTTGGTTATATACAAGGATGCCGGTGGATTATCCCAAGCAGAGTGCTTCAACGGTGTCTGAGCTGAATAATGGCGACGGTCAACTTGTTCCTGAAGAGCTCAAGCCGATGTCACGTAACGAGCTTATTGACGCCGCCGTAAAGGAAGCTTTGGATGCCGTTGAAGATCCCTATGTGTTTCAAAGTCCTATCAAGCATATTGCTGTTATCGGGGCTGGTCCAGTGGGTGTGAGTAAGCGGATAAAAGATTGTTGCAAAACCTTGAAATGACTGACACCATCTGGCTCGCATGACTGTGCCCGTTAGCTCGTTTCCACGAAAACGCTCCTTGATCGGGGACTACATGTCAAAACGTTTGAAAGGCACCAAGATCTCGGTGGCCAATGGTGGGTTCATAATGCATCAGTTACGGGCGATTTTCATCCACTGACAGAATAGGTCCTAAAACAGGCTTTATTCGGACAAAGTTTCATCCAACCCGATCACTTGTAAAACCGGTGTGTCACCCGAAGCTCCCCTGAAAAACGGCACCCGATGGACACCTGAGGTCGAGAAAGCTCTAGTTGAAGTGATCCCTCCTTCAGCTATCTACCGTGATCTATTCACAAACCTCATCTCCCCGCTGATGGAGCTTCGCGATTTTCCCTGGCCCAAAGATACCCCTCTCTACCTTTCGCACACCAAAGTTCATCAGTATTACAGAGCCTATGCAGATCAGTTCGGTTTGGATAGACACATCATGTACAATACCTCGGTGGAACAAGTTACAAAGTTGACCGGCAGTGGTTGGAAGCTGAACCTAAAGAGATACGAGCGTGTGGATGACACACTTCGCATTCACGAGTGGGAGGAAACCTTTGACGCAGTTGTGATGGCAACGGGAGCTCACCAACAAGCCAGTATTCCAGAGTTCAAAGATCTTGAAGCGTTTACTAGGTTGTTTCCGGAAAGGGTTCTGCATGCAAAGCAGTATAAACTCGTTGACCCGTTCACAAGAAAGGTAACCACGTGACAATAGCTTCCTAGCTTTTTATGGTTTCTTACGGAGCGATTCTCTTTTGCAGAATGTTCTGCTTGTAGGTGGACATGTTTCAGCCTGTGATTTGTCAAAGCATCTCTACTGTCAAGCGAAAAAGGTGTACATGTCATTCCGTGGACCTTTTCAGTTGAAGAGCCGGGTGTTTAACCTACATCGATCTACCATTCCGGAGACCACGATTTTCAAACCCAACATTGCCCACTTTTCGGATAAGAATGGCAATATTAATGGAGCCATTACCTTTGAAGACGGTACGACGGTGGACGACGTTGATTTTATCATTTTTTGCACTGGTTATATGTACAATCCCAAGCCTTTAGCATCCCTGGTTTCGGACGTGCCCCAACCCGACAAGGTGTGGAAATCCAAGACGCACGTTCTTAATGCGTATCAGCTTATCTTCTGGATACCCGATCCGACATTAGCATTTGTGGGTGCTCCACCGCATTTGGCAACGACACAGTTTTTCAATCTTCAAGCCGAGACCCTGGCGCGTGTATGGGCGGACAAGGCCAAGTTACCATCCCAACTGAGCATGCAAAAATACACAGACAACAGACGCCCGCCATGCTCTCCCGACGATTTTGAATTCCATGGAGAAAAGCAAAGACAGTTGGGATTGATCGTGTGGCTCAATGAACATAATAGACTGCTCGGACATGATGAACCAGAGTTGAAAGAGATGGGAGATCATTTTGAAGAGCTCCTAAAAGACGCTGCCCGAACCTGGAAAGAAGATTCCATGGCGATGCTGAAAGCGATAAGAGAAAGAAAATCGTTACCGTCGGCAAAGCTTTAAATCAATCTACAGCTCCCTGTAATAAATACAAAAAGATGCTGATGTCCACAAATAAATTTGTATCCCAATAAGAAGACCAAAAGTGCTTTGTACAGCTTAAACGTATAGGATATAATCTTCATTGCTTGATCAAAACATGGTTACAAAGGAGAGGCATGCACTAATTAGACCGTCATATTGGAGTATTTGGTTCGATCACTTGCAGATGCGGTGAGAGAGGAGGTATACCCACATGGAGCCTGTCTGTGACGGTGAGAAGCTTTATTCTGTTAGGAATAACATATCGCCACAATGGCGGACCATGGGCGAGACGGATCTTGCATGCAACCAACGACCATCCAATTGGCACCCCGAAATACAGCATTGACGGACGTGACTACATCTGCTGTTGGCCAATTTCCTGTGAGACTCTCGAAGCAGCTCTTACCCTAACCCATGCCGATTCTTGTGCCATCACCGCCTGCGAATGAAATGTCGGCTGCCTGTGAGCGTACAGCCGATGGAGCAGGCGACGACACGTCCCTGTTATCCCGTCCGTTCGAAACATTGACGCAAATGGACGATATTCGGAAAAGCTTACGATTGCTTGACGAAGAGGAAACCCGCATCGACAAGTCGCTCGATGACATGCTGGCGCAAGAAGCCGAACTGGAGGATGTTCTTGGTATACTGGATGTTTTGAGGTAGGCATTATACTGCAGCGCTTGTTTTATTCAAAACTTGGGCCATCTGACCATTCCTCTTCTTTCGCGCTTTTCTTTTTCTCCACAGACCGCAGCTGGGCAACTTGAAGATTGAAGCGTCGCATCTCGTCAACACTATTCAGGACACCTCGCATTTAGCCGAAAACATTAGTGACAAAGTTCGCAAATTGGATCAGGAACAGTCCAGAACCAAGGAAGCCATTCAGTTCGTGGAAGGCGTACAAGAACTCAAACACTGTGTAGCCGGGATTCAGTACGCGATCCAACGCAAAAATTATGACGAAGCTGCCTCACTACTACAGCGAGCCTCCCGTATCGATAACACCATTCTAAACAGTTCTCTTGCCGAATTTACTACAGTACGTTGATTAGGTTTGATATGGCTGTTAAAATTGCCCTGTGTTCATTTCGAAAGTTGCTCTTAGCCCACCTCGGAACATCCCGATCATCCTGCAAAAACGCTGTCAGACGCCAAGAATTTGTTATTAGAGATCTTTTCCAACCGTTTTGATGATGCTGTATTCCAACGCAACGAGGCCGATATTACTCGCTACTTCAAACTATTTCCTCTTATTGGCTGCCAAACCGAGGGTCTGGATAAATACTCGCGCTTCGTGTGTCAAACGATCAAAGCTCGTTGCGCAGAGGAACTGAAAGCACCTGGTAGGTTATTGGTTGCATTGGGGGCACAGAAAAAGCATCCAACTTAACATGAACTCTAGCTTCTACATCTACCTACTTTGCTGACGCTTTAACACGATTATTCGAGCATGTGGCCTTGATCATCGATCAGCATCAACCCTTGGTAGAAGCTCACTATGGTCAAGGTACCATGCTGCGTGTAATACAACAGCTGCAAGAAGAAAGCGATACTCAAAGTGGACTTATATTGGACCGGTTCCTCCAAATTCGAAAATTGGAATCCAAGGTAAAATGAGATGCTTACAGTTCCAGTTTCAACGACGGGTGGGCTAACACCAAAAACGTAGTTGGTGGAAATTCAGTCTCTCAATATATCGCTGATGCGATCCTCCGCAGCTAGTCGAATTAATCCCAATGCTGCCAATGCTTCGAGCCCAGTGAACGATGCAGCCAACGAACTTGTCGAACCTCGCCAGCTCGATGCCAATCTTTTGGAATTGTCATTGATCAGTCAAAGAGGCGCTCTCTTCCAAAGCTTTTTGCACGAACGCGCCAATGATGATCTCAACAATATAGATGAAGATGGAACTGCACGTCGAATCATGATGAATGGCAAAGACAAACGTTATTATGGAGACAATGGCTTGTTGCTAACTTCAGGCTTACGGAAACGTGTGCGTGAATTGCTCAACTCTTATCTCGTCATCGACGCTTTTCTGATGAAACGGAATATAGACAAGGTGAGTTGGCTGTATGATGATCTGTTCTTTTTCGTAGTTTATGTTGCTTATACAGAATATGCGCAGGCCATGACCATGGACGAATATGATCCATCCATTGCGCCAACATCGACTTGCGTAGACGATGTATTCTTCATTTTGAAAAAAGTCATCAAGCGTAGCATCTCCACCTACGAACCTGAAGTGATTACGTCGACGGTGCAAACTGTGCTGAAAACGCTGGACAACCTGTATATACAGACGTTCCAACAAAAGATGTCCATGGCGTTCGCGGGCCAAGAATTGACAGGACGCAGCGCCGATCGGTCACTCGACCAAGCCAAGATCAGCTATATGGTAAAGCTTGCATATAAAAAAAGATCCAATTGTGACTCATGTTAGATCATTTACTAGATTGTCCTGAATAACCTGGATGTCAGTACCGAGTACACGGAGCGGCTTGTAGCCGACTTGCGGCAAGATGTTGCTGCGGGGATTTGGGCCAATGAGAAAAAGGACATGGAGGCTGCAACCAAAGCCTTGGACAATTTGGCCGCGATCTCCAAGAAATTTCAGAATCTGCTGCAGGTAAGGTTTATCAGGACGGAAATAAACCTACAAGTCTTTATTGACCGTTAAATCAATCGCGTTAATAACTGTTCTTCATAGAGCCGTATGGAGCAGTTGATGGCACAGATGCTAAAGCCGCGTGTTCGGCCACTTTTCCAGGATGCTTATCGCGAAGTGAAATATGTGCTGGATGAAGAGGAATATAATGAGGTGGAAGTGGAGGAATTATTTATCAAACGATTCCGTCAAGGATTCAATACGCTCATTTTGCTGTATCACCGAACATTGACCGAGAACAACTTTCGATTACTACTGAGTCTTTTACTGGACGTTGTCAGTGTTCAATGGGAAAAGATTGTGCTTCAAACTCGGTTCAACCAATACGGAGCGCTTCGATTCGACAAAGATCTGCGTACTGCCATTCACTTTCTGTCGGGACTCACCGATTGGTTATACCGCGATCGGTTTACACGACTTTCACAAATGGCCACTCTACTAAATTTTGAAGAGGTAAAACGTCATTTGTATAAGAGACACGTCAACTCCATAAGAGTCCACTGTGTTGACCATCGATATTTAGCCTTCCGAGATTTATGAATGTTGGGGAGCGAAAGCAGGACCGGTAAGCTGGCGTCTTACGGTCACTGAAGTCAAGAAAGTACTAGCTCTCAGGTACGTCTTCTTTTCCCTTTCTGTGCAACGCTTTACATTTGACTCATATTCCTCATAGACTGGATTTCGATAATGATGAAGTACTTAATTTATCACTCTAACCTGTAATATTATCAAGAAAAAAAAGAATGCACGCTGTACATGATTAAATAATGATACCACATAGTTTTCACCATTAGAATTTACAAAATGTAAAGCAGCACACCCGAAAGATTTTCTATGTGTTTCTGCATTATATTTCGATAGCATCGTCAGAGAATCTAATAATTGACCACAGGTTGATCCTTCAGCAATGAATAGTTGTGATATATATTGACAGCGCTTATTTTTGAGTATGGCAGATGCCATTTATTAGGTTCAGATCTCTGTGCGATAGACAGCGTTTCTTGCACGATACAGCGACAGAATTTGGAGATTTTCATGCGTATCGTTAATTCCGACTCCTGCAAAACAGAGACCATCTTTGCTGAGGCGTTTTCAGCCCTCAGAAGATCAAAAGAATTTTGTACAGTATACCGAGCAAGACATCTTCTCTTGTTGTGTATGATGCCTAGATAACTCGGTGAACGTTCAAATCTATGAGATTCTGCGCAGTCCGTCCGTAAATGGCAACCACGGAAACAGAAAATTTTTGTTTCAAATCGGGAAGAACGGTCACAACTGACTCTATTCCAAGACTGCTCAAGCGAGTTGCTTTCAGGTTTTGTTCATAAAGTAGATTCTCCAATGAGCTATTGGAACACTCAATCTTGGTATAACAGAATTTTCGCATCCAACGCTGCGACGCCTGTCAATCAACATGGTCAAATGCAGCAGGGACAAGTTCCCGTGCAGCAACAGCAACAGCAAGCACCAGTACAGGAACCACAGACTTGGAATCCACCCTCCTCACAACCGTCGTCCCACGTCCCTTCCGCTTTTTACGAAACACAACAGCAATCTCAACAGCGTCAAGCAGCCGCAGCTCGAGCCGCAGCTTCAATCGTATCGGCGTTGCGTACTAGTCCGCCTGAACCTGAGCCTTCTCCCTTGCCTACACCAGTAAGAGGCGTTATTGCGTATGGCGATCTACAAGCTGTCATGGCCGGTAACAGCACCTTGCAGACTGTCATACACCGAGAGACAGGGTACGTTTGGCCATTTGTCAATTCTAAACTATACCACAAGGGGGTTTTTTTTTGGTGGTTTACTTACCATGAGTTCATTTCAGATCGCAATGCTGCGGTCGTTGGTATAAAACCGAGAGCGCCAGAGCACAGCATCAAAAATTGCATGTCAAGTGTCCCGAATGCACGTTTTCTGGGCTTAAAAGTGTTCTTGAGCAACATAAAGCAGACGCCCATGGAGATGCTACCGCTGCAACCAAGAAAAAGCAAGTCATTGTGCATTTTTTCCTCCTTATCTGGTTTTTTTTTTAACATGGCTTTTACGTTTGACAGACGAGTAGATGGTATTATGCCAGCCAATGCGCCTCAACTTGACACACCCGAAGCGTTGGATGCGTGGATCGCAGCAAGAAAGAAAAACTGGCCAAGCGCAGCCAATCTTGAGCGAAAGGTAGGTCTCTATGGCGACATGGAACCCCTTTGTCTCCATTTTTGATACGACTTTTTTTTTCTCTTTTTTTGGCAGAAACGAGAAGCGGAAGAGCGTGAAGCTCGTGGAGAAGTCGTGGCCAACGGGAAGCGAAGAGCAGCAGAAACACAAAGCCCAATGGGAAAGGCGCCAGAAACACTGAGCTCAAAGCGACAAAAGACTGATGACCCGATGGAGGGATCATCCAATATGGGTCTCGTTGGGGATTATGGTTCCGATTCAGATGAGGAGTTTCACAGTGCGGAAGAGGATCCTGACAATGGTAATGACACAATTGATCTCGAAAAGGATGCCATCAGTTCCAAAGACCCTCACAGTATGGGTAAGATTGCTCTTCCCACAGCCAAGCCAAAAAAACGACTTTGTCGTTATTTCATGGAAGGGCGTTGTAAGCGTGGCGATCAATGTCATTTTGCGCATGATGAGGAACAGGTAAAGATACTTTATTTTTGTGCGGATCAAAAAGGGGATTGAAATTTGCTGACCATGCCTATTCGATCTTAGAAAAAATTGAAACAGGAACAAAAAAAACCTACTCCGCCCGCGCAACCAGTTCGTAAGCAACCGAATTTGCTTCGCAAGGTATGCATTTGTTTCGCATTCGATGCATCATCGCTCTGGGTTACTGACAAAGCGGGTTTGATTATGCATAGCTCTTGGACAAAGAAATCAACACAGAGAGAAATATTATATTGCAAGGCTTCCGTTACATTACCGAAAATAACTTCTTTGGTTTGCAAGATTCTTAAAAATGGATGTTCTTCATATCCAATCCGGCGATGCTTTTTTCACGCCGTCCTTTCATTCCTTATTTGCATTCCTTTTTTTCCCCCTCATATTTCATCATACATTTGCGGCATCAATATACTATTCCAAAGACTTCTTCTTTCCATTGTCTTATTTCGAGTAATAATGCCTTTGGGCAAGTCTGTAACCTTTATTAGCAGTGTTACATAATGAATAGGGCTGCGCGTAACGCAGTGGACGCCATGTTATAAAAAAAAATTGACAAGAATTGTTATGCCAGGAGGAATCGAAATTGGGATGACTGTCCGTGACAAGCGATCATATTTTTTGGAAAGCCGTTGATCCCTCTTGCTTTTTCTGCTTTCATTGCATGCCCTAGACTTGACTTGATTTGAAGCGCCTCATCGATTTGTTGGATCCACTCTTTCTTCTATATCAATCAGTCCAGCTGCTGTTCTTGATTTGGCTAATTAGAAGAAATTGTTCCGAAGCAACCGTCATGCCATGGGAGTGAATCGTCTTACTGCCCTTTTAACACGGTATGCACCCGATGCGTTGCGTCAAGTGCACGCCAATCATTTTGCGTATCAGACCATTGCCATTGATGCGAGTTGTCATTTGAACAAGTTCATGTATGGAGATGAACCGCACCCGTTTCGACATATCTATGGGTTTTATTTGTTGGCGCGTTTCTGCGATATGAATAAAATCAACCCCATCTTTGTGTTTGACGGACCCAGCCGCATCGCGGCCAAAAGACTGGAACAGACACGGAGAGAGAAAGGACGCCTTAAAGTCAACTATTCACTAGTCTTTGAGCGTGAACGCATGGCAAGGCTCGATTCGTGGCATGAAATTGTCGAGCCCAACTTTGGCAAACTGTCTGAGGAAACCGCTGTCAACATTCTGTCGCTGTTGGGAGAAACATTGGACGAATTAGAAGAGGAGCAGGTCCGAAGCGAACCTTTGGTGACAGCGGAAGCTGCTGCACCAGAGGATGTTGTGGAGATTGATCAGGAAGTAGCGGAACGACATACCCAGCTGGAAGACTGTCTTGTTCATCTCGCCAACGACGTCAATCGCGCTATTTTGGAAGCCAATGATGCAGATAAATATACCAGAACTGTGCGAGACTTGTCAGCGCAGGAACGCGATGTTATGGTCCGACTCATTCGCACTCGGCTAAGCAACGTTAACATCGCCTTGCATGATCTTCAACAAAAAAATCGTCAAGCACTTTTATCACTAGGTAAGCCCAGTCAAAATCACAACATCTTGGATTGAATAAAACAGTTGATTGAATAAACTATCACCAGAAAAGCGATCAATTCGGATTACACAGAAAATGCGTGACGAATGCCGACATTTTCTAAAAACCCTGGGGTATCCTTGTTTCACCTCATTTCATCACGAAGCCGAAGCCATGTGTGCGAAAATGGCCGTGGAGCACCGCACCACTGCGACCATATCGGAAGGTAAAACTTTCCTCCAAGTGGTTTCGGTTACAACTGCTAATGGGATTCCGTATGATTGTGATTTAGATTTAGATACCATTGTGTTCGGTGATGCGCCTTTGTTGCGGTATTTCTTTGCCAAGGGAAGACCGATCTTAGTAGTGGATCCCGTGAAAGCACGACAACAGCTACAGCTGGATCGAGATGCGTTTATCGATATGTGCATTTTATGCGGCACAGACTTTTCAGGCACCATCCAGGGCATCGGTCCTGTACGTGCGTTACATTACATGCAACAGTATGGTTCCATTGAGAAACTCCTCCAGCATCTGCCACCCAAATATGTACCAGAAGAGGACTTTGATTTTCAATTAGCACGACAGGTAAATTGGTGATTCCCCACACAGGTTCCAGAATAATTGAGTTAAAAAAGAACATGTTTAGACCTTCAAGGAATTGCCGCCTATACCGCCCGACTCGACGGCGTATACGCCTGGTGTTTTGGATCCAGCAGCTGCGCAACATTTATTGAGTATCTACGAAATTGATCCCCAGGAAGTCGAAGATCGATTGAATACCATCCGTTTACAGCAACTTTCACAGAATTACGGCGCTTGGGGACCAAACCCTTTCAATGATATGGCCCCTTTTTGATGTCGGAAGGGAAGGATATATATTTTGTAAATAGAGTATTGTACATAGAAGGACGGACGGAAAACAAATAGACTGGGTTACAGTTCACTGTGTAATACATGTGTGTCATACTTTGGTAACGAAAGATTGGATGGCAAACCAAAGCCAAATGATCCCCAGCTCAAGGTGGCATAGTAATCCTCCAACAGCCGCTGTCCTTGGTCATCACCTGCTGCACCTAAAGCGACATGGAAAGGCACAAGGTGTTCAGCCGTAGGATGACAATCACGGAACGAAGGGTGTTTGCAAAGTGTGTTGGCGGCTGCATTGCGAGACTCGCCCGTTAAAGTGCAAGCGTGTGCCTCCATCTCTCGATCAAAGTCGATTACAAACTTTGGCGAAGGTCGGTTGCCGTAACTCCACAACTGGCGCAAGTTGTGTACAGCACTGCCGCTGCCGATGATGACCACACCTTCGTCGCGAAGTGGCTGGAGGGCTTCTCCCATCTTGATGTGAGAAGGCATATCCTCGTCCGCCAATGTGGATACTTCAACAATAGGAATGTCTTTATTGGATTGCATGGCTCGCTTCAAGGGCACCCACACACCATGATCATTGCCGTACTCTTGTGCTTCCGCTTTGAATCCCGACTAGACAGGAATAAATAGATAAATAAATGCATGTCTCGTGTGTCCTGAAATTATCGTTTGCTGCTGTTGTTATGGTGGTGCGTACCTGGTTGAGCAAATCAATTACACGAGCTGCAACAGAAGGCGAGCCTTGATGATCCCATGTTTCTTCATAGTATCGTTTCGGGAAATTATAAAAGTCGTAAATCAACTTTGGTTTTTCCGATGAATCCACTTTTTAATTTTTTTTTTGGAAAAAACACAACAAATAAGTAAGTGGTCTCACAAATAAGTCATGTTGTCTCTGTTGTTGAGCGTACCGTAGACACCGTTTTTTCCGTTGCCCTGCCAGTGAGCGCTAATGATGACGATCGCTTTTGGCTTGAGCTGGTTCTTCAATACATTTCCGAACCAGTTATAGAATTCTCCTGGACGCCCTTGATGCTCGAGCAAGTTGGGACCTAGTTTACGGAGAATGGATTTAGCATTGAGGAGAAAAAGCTTGATTAACCATTAAATAATTTTACCGCCGTGGGATATAAAGAAGACGGGAGCTCTTGCAGAAATGGAGGACATTGTAGCCAATGATTGGGACACAGATGAAATCAGGGGGAAAATTGAGAGGAAATAACAAATAAATAAAAAAACCCCAAGTCCCACGATTAAAAGTGCGCCATTTTATATGTGAAAAAGAACCCTATTTCTAACTAACTAAATGGGCAACAGCACAGACACCGCCCAATGGCTGACAAATGTGGATTTGTCATCTGAGCAGTAACACAATTTAAACCCCGTTTACCTAGACTCGCATTGACAGAGCTGACACATCCAGAGATATAAACTTGTTGGCATGTGAGCCCTGTAAGTCTTTGTCGGCGTTGACTTAAAAATATCATTGAGTATAACGGCCATTGTATTTTCCGTCCATTATTAACAACTTTCTGGCTGCAAGGTCTCAAGAGTTATCGCTGTGGATGCTCGTCCTCAGTTTTTCTGTAATACGATAAAATCGACAAGGCGAAACATGTGGATAGAGAGCAATGCAAAAGAAAAATGTGACATTGAAGCATCATTGATTTTCACGTAGGTTCTTTATCTTGATTACTTTCTGCCTGCTGTCGACAAGTGACGGTATGCAGCGACGTGGCTTCGTGGGTATTTTGTTGATAAGAAGATCAGAACTTGATAAACTTGTATAAAAGTGCACAGTGGGAATCGCACAGCAAGGCGCAAGTTTCCAATTGAGCTAAACACCTGTACAACAATTATAATATATCATACGGTGCCAATATGAAGTGAATTATAGATTCAGCGTCATTCGCAAAACCATTTAATGGACTAGGCATTTCTATATGGATTGTCGTTCGAAGGAAATATGTTGATCCTGACGAGTTCCGGGTTATTGCTTATTTTGATCTTCGGTCTCGTAAAATCCCGCATTATCCCAATTATGGTTCATGGAAATATGCTGATCCAAGACAATAGCAATTCCAGACATCCTCCGATGCCAGCTTTCTCTTTCTAAAGCAATGGCAGTGAATAAGTATGAATTGCGATGCATTACAAAAGTGCGTAAACAAGAAGGCCCCGGACGACGGAAGAGATGAGCATCGCATGGCTCGCAACAAGTTTGATCCGGAGGGTACCGAATCCCACGGTAATTGGAATTCCGGGTTTTAAGCGAAAGTGCTCAGTTTTGATCATAAAGCAGCGCATATGCCACTGGTATTAATATAGCTATTGTATGTGAATGTTGATTAGGGTGATCCGTGGGTGACTCATTGTCTTCCGGGCGTGCAAACAGCCGATGATTTGAAAAGGCGACACAACTTTATTGGTTTTCGAGTGGGTGCTTCCTACTTCGTTCGAATTCTTAAGAAATTAACATGCCATTTTACCTTTTTTTTTTTATGGTGGTGCCATTTCTGTTTGTTTTGTTACTGTTTGCAAGCAGCTTTATACTTTTAAACGGAATATTTCCTTTTGTGTGGAAAAAGTGGATTTCCATAGTGACATGTTGCGATCTTCATAATGGGTTATGGGGCCCATCAATGGAGCATGAGGCCGCCATCACTTTGACACCATGTCCAAGCGTCGCTTAATAAATTTATCGCGCGGAAATCCCGGAGTATTGCCATATTTGGGTTGCGACCAGAGCTTAAATTGTATAATGATGTCAAAAGTTTCAGAAGGATACCGATCATCTGACCTGCTTTTGCCATTTGGCCATGGTGCCTTATATTACAAGACTATTTGTGTTCTAATTTTAATCAAGCACCACTCAGTATATTGATGATGCTGCTCATTTCAGTATGAGTTTACGGATTCATTGCACTTGTGATGATTGGATTGACAGGCTTATTTGTTTGAAAATAAAATTTTCTGACCCGAAGCGTTGAGTGCCAACTCAATATGGCATCTGAAACAATGGCAAATGGAATTCTCAATAAGACAATGGGTTCTTTCAAAAAGGGATGATGATCCAAGGTTTTGTAGTCATTTTTGGCCTCCATGTGCCTGTGGTTTCTTTCTTGTTGCATTTGTTTTTAAACGAGGAGGATAGCTTTTGTTACAGTAGATGAGATTATCATGTGTCAAGTTGTTAAACTTTTTGCTTAAGAAATGTTCCATTCGAAAAATAGAAGAAAATTGGCAAAATGCAAGATTACGGTTGCTTGCGTGGCCTACTGTTGCCGGTTTAAAAAACAATCGTCATATCTTTTTTTTTTCTTTTTTCTTCGGTCGGCGGTTCCAGCCTTAATTGAATTCTTTTATTGTTTACCCTGTCCAATTTTTTTCCAACATACTTTTCTATTGCAAACTATCTCCTCGTATACGCAATTCCTGTATATATGCATTCTAACAAATAATCATTCAATTACCATACCAGCAATATGCACAACGTCATGCTTCGACCATCCATACCTCAGCCACAGTTTAATATCTCCACACACTTCTCCACAACGATACCATGCGAGCCATTGGCAACTGAAAAAGGTCACTTTGTGAAAGCACTCTACAGTTTTGTGCCACCGTCATCCAGCATCAAAGACAACCGATGTCTATATTTCCACCAAGGCGATACCATTGAAGTATTGGGTCGTCACGAATCCGGTTGGTGGGATGGCCGTTGTGGTTCTCAACGGGGTTGGTTTCCAAGTACCTATGTTGGCGCCACGCTTGAAACATCTAGTTCCACCACTGATTTGAACTTGTTACATGGTCAAAACGAGGTAGGATTTGACATGTTGCCTAATATGTTCATTCCGAAGTCGATTTAACCTTAAAAAAAAAACATCGAAATAATCCAGTTACAACAGTCAGAAACGCAACGTTCGGATCGGGATCGGTCCCTGTGCAGTACAGACGACCTCGATAAGGAGGATCACACCATTTCAGCACTGTCAAAATCCATGTCACAGCATGCTTTGCACCGCATTGAGGAAATTGCACGTTTGATGACGTTACTCATGCAATCTGAGCCCACCAAACATCCCTCACAGCTGTTTCAGCTCGCCATTCAGATCAGATCACTGCTTTCCTTGACGACCGCTTGCTCCACCTGTACTTTGCCACGGCATCGACATACTATCTATACGACACTTCATGAACTAGTGACGGCAACCGACGATGAAGATTGCCAGCACTTGATCAACCGATTATGGACCCAGCTTGTTTTGTATGAGGAAATGCATTGTGCCACGATGACACAATCTTCTCACGCATCCGATGTCCCGAGCATTCACCATCCGTTTACGTCTGCAAGCGAAGGAGACGACCCTTCTTTTTCCGTTTTCTCCTCTTCCATGAACATCGACTGCATGTCCGCCTTGCTACTCGGGTACAAGGCCGAACTGGCGGAATTGCTCACCCCCACAACAGATATGGTAAGTCATCTCGTCCTTTTCGGAAAAATTTTTCTTTTCTTCATCCAGCATGAACGAAAAAATGTCTCAGTTGTTGTATTTTTTTTTCTTTTTCTTCCGAGTAGAAAACAGAACATATTACCGTTTTGATACGGAAAAGAGAGGTGATTTTAAAAGCCTTTAATGACTTGGCCTATACTTTGAAACCCTCGGCTCCCAGTGACGACGATACCAATGCTCAAGCGAATGGCCAAGACCATGTACCAGACGCCATTGGCGATCCTATACCGCCATTGTCGACGGCCCGTTCGTCATCCGTTTACGATTCTTCCAATAGTAGCATAAATGAAACCGACCGACTGAGTCTTCCCTCCGATACTTCCTGGTCGCAACATCGACTAAGTCAAGCGTCCTCCGACAGTGGCAGTCGCTACCTCGATCATCTTCATTGCCGCACTCTTTCAGTGGGCGATCAAGCCGATGACGACGTGCCTGTTCATCCCCTTAGAGGCTCGGGTCCCGAAAAAGAGTTCAAAATGCCCTCTCTCCACTCGAGTCCAAGCATGGCTATGGAAAAAGGCGGTGCCGTGTCCCATGACGACTATTATGCAGTGACGAGCTCGGTGCCGGCTTCACGTCGATCCTCAAAATCCCAGCCTCTGCCTTTGAAAGTCGCCTCCTCAGTGGAACTCCGTCGTCCAAGCGATAAACCTCTTTTGAACGGCGCTGAGGTAAGCGTGCGACTGCCATTCCATTTCCGTCCGAAGGCACGGTCCATGAAGACTGATATACTGATTCATTTCTATAGAGTTCAGACACATTGCCTCATTTTGAAACATGGTCCAATGACAAAAAGGGCATGATCCTAAACGATCAGGGGCATATCCTGGGGGCCACTCCCGAAGTGCTTGTGCAAGTGTTAACCTCACATGAAAAAATCGCCACATCATGCGACACGAGTGTTCGCGACAACACCAAGACATGTGATCAGCTATTCACGGAAGCGTTTTTCTATCATTTTCGCAATTTTACTGATCCTTGTACCCTGGTTTCCTTGCTTCGCCACCGGTTCCATTTGCAGCCTTGCTTCCCTTTGGACGAAGCGGAAAGAATAACATGGGAAACCAATATTCTCATCCCTATTCGTCGACAAGTGGTCAATGCTTTGATTACATGGCTCGCCCATTACTTCAACTATGAAAAAGATCAAGTGATGAAGGACGCCTTGCTGACCTTGATAAACAATGACATCACCCCGGTCATGCCTGTGCTTGCCGAACGTCTTTTAACTATTGCCAACGAAAAAGTAAGAAGAAAAGATGACCATTCTTACCCAAGGAATAGTCTACTGATAATTTTTTTTCTTGGATAGTTTTCTGAAGGAGAAGCGGCAGCCAGTAATGTCACCGATGATGAAGAATCGTCCGCAACACGGGACACCCTCACTTCGTCTGAAGCCGATTCCACTTCACCACGTGTGAAACCAATGCGCACCGCGTTACGCAAAAAATCCATTATCCTCGATATCTTTAGCTATTCCATCGAACCGCTTGAGATGGCCAAACAGCTCACCATTGCTGAGAATGCGCTTTTCTGCCAAATCGAGCCACACAAGCTTATGAGTATGCCCAAAAGTAAATTAAGCAGCGAAAAACACGTCAAAGCTTTGATTCAGCGCAGCACTTACCTTGTGCGATGGATTTGTAACACGATCCTTGACGAGTATGATTGTAAAAAACGCGTGCACAATCTGAAATACTGGATCACCGTTGCGGAGGTAAGATAAATTTTGGTGAAACATGTGTTTGATGCATAAAATCACTTATGCCTATAATTTTTTTTTCTCCGCCTTATTCAGAACTGTCTGCAGCTGCAAAATTACAACACACTGATGTGTATCCGCTGCGCGCTGAATTCCGCCGCATTGTCTCGATTGAAACGGACGTGGGACTTCATCTGGCGGTCGACTAAATATACGGCCATCTATAAAGCCATCGACAGTGTGACGTCTTCAGAGCGCAATTATGCAGTTTACCGATCCTGCTTACGACGAGCCACCACGCCTTGTCTTCCGTTCCTGGGGATTTTCTTGAGCGACATGGTTTTCATCGATGACGGCAATCCGGATTTACGTGGCGACCTTATCAACTTTGACAAGTACATGAAGATGACGCGTATTCTATACGATTCGATCATAGCTTTCCAGGTCCCATACAGTCTTCAATCCGTTGAAGAAGACCAACGATTTATCAACCAATGTCTGGAAGCGGTTTCTGTCACTCAAACAGACGAACAAATGCTGTACAGTAAAAGTCTTGAGATCGAACCAAAAGCAGATGATTCGCACTGTTAACACCATTATCATCTTTTTTTTTTCTCCTGCATTCATCATTTATTCATCCCTATTACTATTTCTATATACTATTTATATTCTGTAACCTTGAAAAAACAAATACTTGCATTACTTATCACCTACTGAATGGTCGAATGAAAAATCTTTTCAACTTTTATTTTGAGCCGTCGTCGAACCTGTCATTCACAGTGATATCTTGCTACTGATAATTTATCGATGATAGTCCAAAGCTTTGTGCGCTACTTATCACAGTGACCGTCAATCAGGGTAGGATCATGCTTTTTTTATATCAAGATGATGAGTGCCAACAAATGGTTATATTGCTTTTATTCTAGGCTTTTCGATTTAACAGCTATGATACCCAAGATATAGTCTTCGATGGCTTCTGTAGTCGCGTCACCGAAGCACACAAGGTAAAATTTCCGAGACATAATCTGAAATGACCAAGTTAGTACAGCAATCATGGAATTCAGTAACAGGATTATCACAGTAGTTCGAATTTCATACGTTGTGCTACGTATAATATGACAATGAGCTTTTGCCATACGTCTGAGTGGTTGCTTGCAATATAACGACGACGTACCCCCTTTTTTTTTTTTTTTTATTACTCGGAAACTCTCGTTATCTAGCATCCAGCTCAAGATTGTCGTCACTTCCGGCCACGTCAATATTTTTGCCTGCGCAAGCTGAAATTAGCGACCCATCACTTAATTGTCCTTGCAAGCAATTTTACTTTCCGCATTGAAGAAGAAGCTTACGTGTGGACCGTATTCATCTTTTTTTTTTTTTGATACACTACAGTACTGAATTTGGTTCAAAGGCAAGTCCAATTTCTTTTCCTTTGCTATGATGTAATGAACGTATACTAACTCAAAGTTTTTTCAATGTCATATAATCCAAAGGTCGTCCATCAGACACGGAAGATCCATAGTCTAAATATCCAAATAGATCAAAACAATAAAGGGCATCATCTCCTTCGGATTCCCAGCGCAAAATTTTGGCGACGATAAAAGTTGAAAAAAATTCACGATGTTATTTTTTCTTTATCTCGGGTTGGAACAACAAGAATACAGAAAGATTAAATATACAAAACCGATTTGTTGCCGGTCTACCCGAAAGCCTGACTGTTTCCACCGTGTACTTATCAAGTGTATTCATATTTGGGAATAGAAGTAGGGTTGAGAGACGTGGCCGTTAGACAGGGTTGCTCAGTGGTGGTGCCAGGTCGGCGCAGTGCTTCAGGGCGGGAATCCAACTGGTCAGAATCGAGCGCATAGCATTGATATCTGGATTCCAAATCTAAAAAAAAATCCGAGTTAAAAGATGATATACAACAGATCAGAACACATATAAGATTTACCATCGGGCGGTTTTGCATCATTTCACATTGCTCGCAGCGTCTGGAGGGTAAATAACCATTCGATAGTCGCTTCGTCCTGGGAGAAAAAAAAAGTTTAAGAACCGCATGTTCGAAAAGTGGGCGTGATTAAATCGTACTTACTGACTGACTGGGGCTCTGGGCATTCGCTAGTAAAATGCAGAATGATGCCATCATCGTTGAGGCATCGACGTCGAGAATCATTTTCGCCACGGAGACGGACCTTCTTGGTCAGCAATCCTGTTTGCTTTGACGCGATGCACTCTTGTGTAGCGCTTTGCAGAGGCTGAAAAGACTTTATATGAGATATATGTTCTGCTTCCCATAATTTTCTCGTAGACTGACAATCGCCGCTAAGCCCATTGTAGACCGGTTGTATGTGATCAGTGGAACGGTTCTCCAGTTCGACATGCTCGGACCAACGGGAATGGACGAGGCCCTATCGTATAACAATACGACCTTAGTTTTATACGCAACATATGGACATTCAAAAATACTTACTGGTAATACCCGTTGGTAATGGAGTACTTGTGTTCTCGACGCATGTTCCGGTCGTGCAAGTTGGCATCGGTGTCCACGGCAGTGACGACGGATCGAATGCCTAACATCCATACTAAGCTCAGCTATCTCGATCAACCATATAGAAGAAGAAAGTACCGGGATCGATGCCAACGACACGTGACTGGTGGAGTCGCTCTTCATTTGGGGTGCAGAGAAGAGCATAAAAAGCCTTTCCCGATGTCTGTGATGTTTGTTGAATTCATATATCACACATGAGAAAAATATGAGCCATTTCCCCGAAACGTTTTAATGTTCAATCCTTTTCTTACGTCCTGTGGTGCTGGCTGAGAGTTCTTATGTATTCTTGCAGCTCAAGGATACTACAGGCGGCCGGCGGGCATCTGCCGAGTTGGCCGTAGATCGCTTCGATGCCCGTTTTTCCACGGCATTGGAACTCTTGTTGCAAGGCCCAACGAAACATCGATCGGACCCTGTTCTTTTGTCAGTAACAATTCTACATTTCCTTTGACAATTACAATTTACTGCTGATTATTGTTGGTAATTGCAAACGTATGGAGCTGTCTCTCAATTCTAGGGCGCAAATTGGCGCCCGAAGCTACAGACGTGACAATCGCCCGAATACATAAATATGATGAGAGTAAAGTAATGAGCAATCTGCGCTATTTACTGAATCAATTGCGCTGTTACGTACCGGGGTCGATGTTAATTATTCTCGAAGCCTGGAGCTGCTCTATGGTCAGACCCACAGGCTCTTTGCTTAAAAATTGGTAGATACCCTGACTTTTTTGACAGACAAGGGTTTCTCATCATCATCTGGGACTTCCTCCGTGATGACGGATACGGTGCTATCAAACTACCATTAAATTAGTAACAAGACACGGAGATGATTTTTAGATAACCCTATTTACCTGTAGATGCTCGAATTCATTGCCTTAAGAAAATGCTCAGTTGACACTTCCTTGTGAATAATGACAGTCGTCCTTTGTTTCTTGTGGTTTTATGGGTTATGGATTGTTTATTCTTGACGATAGGAGAACTTGAATAATGGACTGGAGGGTTACTTTTCTTTTTAATAAAAAATATCGGACGATGCCCTTTATACATGAAGGTAGGGAGGATACTTGTACTTTTTAAAGGTTTAATTTACAGTTTGCCACAAGTAAGACGTCTTCGGAATTCCCCAAAACAAGATCCGACAGACTTGTCATCAGTGAACCAATATATTTCCGGCGTACCCGCCTTGTTTCTTCAATCAGGAAGAGAAGAGTGAGCTCAGCGCATATTTCGTAGTTGTAATATAGAAAATTTTGAGAAATAAACCAAACGAAACGAGACGGTATCGCTTACTGAATTCAATGCATTGCACTGCAGTTATTTTTTCTCCCATGTTTTCATTGTTCTGACTGGAATATGAAACGATTTTATTCCATACAGCCGTACTGACCCCGTAAGGAAAAAGATGTGTGCAACTGACAAAGACCATGGCAAAAATTCAATTTCCCTACATGTCTCTTTTCTGTTTGTCTGAGATCTGTCTCTTACAGTGAGCCGCGGCCACAGAGTGTGCCACAAAGTGTGGGAGAAAAACAGGTTTTTCCAAAAACGAAGAAAACAGAGTCTCCTTCTTGATGGGTGATATGGCATAAATGGTTTTGCTTTTTCTAAGATTTCTACCCCTCTTCTGCCATCAGCAGAAATGGCAACCACAAACCTAGGGGCTTAACGCAGCATAATCATGCGAACTTGTTTTTATTTCGACCTTTTCTATGAACTTACCTAGATAGAGGCATCAAGTTACGATGCTACCTGACTAGTACAGGATAACATGCTGAAATATACTTACTAAAAACTACGCACATTCATCTGTTATGTCCGACGTGGCCGCGAATTCTACAATGTCAGTGGTGAGTTGTACCAACTCGAAAAGGGACTGATCTCTTCAAGTCGAACTGTCCTCCAGCATTTCTGATAACGTACGGTACTTGTATTTGCAGAGAACAAGCAATGAAGTAAATGGAGTGTGAGGAGAATCCTTCTGACACAGCTTAAACAACACTTTCAAAAAATCAAAACGGTGCTGAAACTAGCTACGAGCTCCCAATTTATTCTCATTTACTCGCTCTTCTCCTTTTGCGTCGTCTACGATTATGAATAACCAAAGATGGGAAGACTACGGGAACAAAAAAGAGTAATAAAAGATATATGAATCCAGAATTCTGCCTTTGGCATTAACAGAAATCACAATTTTCGAGACCGTTGTGTAATGGGTTGCTGCACTACAAATTTGTATACGACCCCTGACCAATGCATTGGTGCTATAACTTTTGGATGCGGCACCATTTCTGCCGAGTGTCAGCTGCTGTAATAGCCAATTGATATCATGGGTTTGCGTTGCAGCCGTCTGCGAGCGCTCCATAAATTCTGCCAAATGCCATTTATATGGACATCCCGCACCTTAGTATCTGTAAATATGAGTTTGTTCCAAAAATCTCAAACATGCCAAGCCCGTCTTGCCTCTTGGAGGACTTGTCCATGCTTGGACAAGTTTTCCGGCGTAGGGAAACCATGTGTTCTCCAGTTAATGCACGGTTTGTGCGGGGAAGCCATGGTTGGTCAACTGGCTCCAGTTACGCGCAATTGCATCCTCAGTGCCACTATGAATGGCGCCGTTTCCATGCGTAGAGAGACATTTCCCATTCTTCCTCCATACGAATGAACTTCCGCAGTTTTGCTGTAATGTTAAGTCATACTGGAGGAAGATAATTACTGAAAAAGAACCCGTGTTTTATTGGAAATGAGAAATGTCTAATTTAAAGATAGATCAACTGACAATGACACTGCTAGCACGTTCTTTTCGATGTGCCAGGTGCACAAAAGTCCTTTGGTGGATGGAAACACAATGTCAATTTAATGCCAATCCACGATCAGTGACGATGACAGATGGGCAAGTCTGCTTTCGATCACTACTTCCTTCATTTGTTTCAAGGCCCACTCGTAATCTTCGCACTTTTTCCGCGCGAAGGAATGCAAAGCAGGAGATAAAAGTGTGGTTTGAGCCGCTGATACCGACAATCTGCAAAAGCGGCATTTGATATCGATTAGTTTTGTATGTGCAATCCATACCGAATACTGTCGGATAACGATGGCTCAATGCGATCGACTTTTCGTGCGCGAAGAATAGGTCAGTGACATGGCCGTTGTCATCCATGCGCACCTTATATCGAAAATCGCTTTCACCAAGATGACCGATCAATGCTTGGATGGGTGAACGACCGTCGAGGAACTCACTACGCAGGATTGCACGAGCGTTGTATATAGTGCGGTCCGTGATCATGATCTCCGGGTTATTCTGGCGTCACGTCGAGAGGATAGCCTTGGGACGAACACCCGCGTTACTCATTTCGGCAACGATGTCTCAATTTTTTTTCGCTTAATCGACAGGCATGAGGATGGCCCGAAAGAGCCGTATCCTGTTCATGGTTGTGGTTGCTATCTCTCCACAATCCGTTTCGGCGACTTGCATACCATCAGAGAGGCAGTTGATTTTTTCTTGTGCCTGTGGTCTTCCTCTTTTCGAGTGGCATCAGTGAGGTTCAATGCGTTGACATGGGCACATCAAAGATCGCAACCTATAGATGTAACTCAAGCATTAGCACTTGAATATTGATTTACTGTAAACCTAGAGTATAACAACCTAACAACACATTCTTTTTTTCACCGCGTCGGTTTTTTCTCGAACGTTTGCTTTGATCTCTATAGGTGTCCAGATAACACTGCATTACAGATTCAGGGCTACGAAGGACCATGATAAGGTACTTTAGCTGGAAAGGTTGTTGCGTTTTGCATAGATGATGAACAATAACAGTTGGAGGATGGGAAAGGAACACGAAATTCACCTCAAACATTCCATTCGTGATTTGGAGGAAAAGCAGTCTTTAAGGGGTGGCTATCCCTTCCGTTTATGGCAGGAGGTGGGGCAGAGATAGTAAAAAATTGAGGAAATAACAGTTGCATCTTTTCCCTATAAAATGGCTACTAGTTCTGTGGGTGAAAGCATCCACGAGATCCTCCCTGGCATCTTTATCGGCAACTCTGATGCTGTATTGTCTGCAGAGACTCTAAACGAAAAGAATATTACGCATGTCTTGTCCTTGGGAGATTTCGGCGATCTGCCCCTGAAAGTCGCTCACAAAGTAAGTGCAGTTTTTCACTTGTCGTATCTTGTTAATTCGCATCACTTATATATATTTTATATGGCTGCAGCATATCAACGTTTATGATGTTCCGGAAGAAAATATTATTCAACATTTCGACGACACGTTTGAATTCATCAATGAAGCCCACAAGAGCAATGGCAATATTCTTATTCACTGCGAAGCTGGCATGTCACGTAGCCCTACCATTTTAGCGGCTTATATTATGCGCAGTCAACAGATCAGTGCAGCCAAAGCCATTGAAATGATTACAGAGAAACGAGCCTCGATTTTGCCAAATTCGGGCTTCCGGGATCAGCTCAATTTGTACGAGCGCTTGAAATACGACGTCAATGCAAAGCATGCAGAATACAGACGATTTTTAATGGCGAGTGCTGCCGAAGAACAAAGAGGTAGAATGGAGAACGCGTCGACTAACGTAGATATTGCAATTGACTGATTTTTGACTTGTTGAATAGCCCACGGTTACATTGAAAATATGACACTGGCACCGGATCCAGAGATGCTCAAGGCGACGAATCAGACGGTGAAGCAGTTGCGATGCCGAAAGTGCAGGTGAGTTGATTGGAACACCAGGAATTGTATTCAGGATCCACAAGCGATACTGAGACGTGGTGCTGGATTTTTAGACGTGTTTTGGCAGATATGGATAACGTGATTGAGCATCAACCGGGCAAAGGACAGCAAGCATTTTCTTACTTTAAACGCAATACGGAAATCGATATCACAGCATCTTCGACTAGCAATCCTTTGTCGGAAAATGCACGAACACCGATCAATCAGGCATTGAATCCTCTGTTAGCTTCGATTGCAGCATCCAACAATAACTGTTCGTCGTATTTCGTGGAACCGATGGAATGGATGGCGGATATTCACGGGTATCAGATCCAAGGTCGTCTGGATTGTCCCAAATGTACGGCTAAATTAGGATCCTTCAATTGGAGTGGTGAACAATGTTCTTGCGGAAGATGGATCACTCCAGCATTTATGCTTCATCGGAAGAATGTCGATGAAATTAAAGCGGTGACTCGACGCTAAGTTGGTGGGCAATCGGTCATTGCATCTTTTGGTTTGGATCGTGTTTTTCTCATAGCCTATACTATATCGTGGATGGAGTCCACGATTATCATAACCCCTCATTTATTGTAACTCTTGTCATGCCATTTTTCATATAAACAAAGTTTTCACTGAAAGGAAAAAAAAGACGGCAGGAATATTGAGATATTGATCTGTCCCGATCTGAACATGTAGGCTGAAATGACTACTTTCGATTCGGACCTTTTTTTTTTTTTTTTTGAAGAAGAAGATTGTGGGGATTTTTTTTTTCTTTTGGAATCGAAAAAGGGAAACTCCGTCTTGATCGATTTTTCTTTCTTTTCCACGTTTTGCAAATGGAGCATCCAGTCATTGGAGATGATGGGTTTGGTCGGTCCATTGTGCGGTCGTCCAGTTCGTTATATTTACCGTCCAATAAAACGACGACCAAACCATGGTCAAGTGTTGCGTTGGATCCTCCCTTCATGCCTCCTCCTCCAGCCAAGAAACGAACTGTCCCTGGAGTGTCCAAACTAGTGACAAGTGTTCGACGATTAAAAAAGTCAAGAAAGCTACGTCAACTTTCCGAATATGAAGTGTTCATGCCCACCACCAGCGAAGACGACGACACGGATTACGACACTCCTCCATATCTCTTCTTTTCCCCGTTACCTTCCCCGCCCTCAGAAAGTAAGCTCTCCAATAAGATATACACAGCGCATAGTACTGCTTCAAAAAGTACATACGCTTGGCTTGTTCGTTCATACTAACAACAATGCTATTATTCGCATAGATACCAGTTCATCCACTACGTCTCCGCCCCCAGCTAACCATCCTTTCAGTAATCGACCTGTTTCTGATCTTATAACTTCCCCACGAGCGAAATTTCTTCTCCGACTCAGAAAATCACATCATTCACGATCCCATCCAAACTCATCCGCCGAAGAACTCGGAGACTCCCAGACAAGCGATTCTACCCTCGACCATTGGCGTGAGCATCGGACCCATTATTTTCGAAAACGTAAAGAACGACGGCAATTGAGAAAGAAACATCGACCCTCGTTCAGTGAGCCCCAACCAAAATGCACGTTTGCCGCGGATACCGCTGCATTCGATCATTATCCGCGACGGAGAAACTATTCCATCAAGGATCTTCCCGCAAACTTGAAGCCTGCCGTATGGTCCGATACCGACTCTCCAGACATGGATTGCTCCATGCCACAATCCATGTAAGTGGTCAAAAACAAAACCAGTTATTGCACACGGTTCGTTGTGATTAAACGGGTGTTTGAATTTAGACCTTCGATGGACGTGATCCATGATATGTCGAATTCTGTTCAACGGTTCCAATACTTGCTGACCCTGGAAATGCAGCGGCTGGAAGTCAATAAACGTACCATTGAGGAATACATTGAAAAACTGATTCAGATCGATGCCAATACCGAGGTATATTCATTTTTTGCTGTCGCACTGCATTGCAAAATACATTAACTCTTTTGATTTAGTACTTGAATACAAAGCTCACATCGACCCGCTTTGAAAATATGAAGCGCATGCAACATCAATTGGAAGAAACCAAGAATCGCAACCCGTTATTGAAGGAATCTTTGCAACAACATCGAAGAATGGTCCGCAAGATTGAAGGTTACCATCAGCTTGTCGATTTCAACAGTAGACTGGACACTTTGAGAAAGATTGTCCAATCCACCCAACGAACCGAGGCCGTCTGGCTTTGGATTCGCCAATGGGGTTTTCTACTCGGTAAGATTTGCGTGCATCTTTTTTTTTTTTTTTTTTTTTTGTCACCCAACTAACCTCGCCCTCCTCATATGACAGTCATTTCCGTCGTATTTGCTTTGACGGTAGTCTTTCGATACTGCATATAACCCATTCCATCTTCTTTACACACACACGCACACGTACACACAATCCACAATTATACCCATTACACAAAATCCATACAACCTAATTTGCCGTACAATATATTAATTCCGCTCCTCTTCAAGGAGCCAACAGTCTTTTAAACCCCACGCAATAATAGTAGAAAGCAGCGCATTGAAATCAACTATCTTTTTTTACTGTTTCCAAAGTAGTGCCATACTCATTGATTAAGTAAGCAATCTTGATATATCCCGTGAGTAAAACGTTGAAATTAAGGTTGCTGGCTTTATGCAATACAGTATATCATAGCAACTTAGCCGTAAACATCTAACAAGCCTTTCTTGCCCGAAAGGAACAAAGCAAGTGGTGGGCGGGACAACCTAACGGCTGTATCAACGTGCAACGCATAGCAAAAGAAAATAAGGCGATCAATGCAAAGTAGCATCAAACCCGATATTCATCCTGTAGAGTAGTGACCTCGCATAAAGGCGGACACATTGGAACTTCATATCGAGTCAACAAAAAAATTTCTATTGCGGAGTGAATTCGAGAAGTGAATCAAAAACATATAAGCGTAGATTACGAGTGGATACGATACTTCTCATGATGATGTATGTAGTCTATTTCCAATTTTCCATTCATCTCTCTACCAGCGTTATTGACCTCTGAGAAGATGACAAGTATAACACCTAACTAAGGAGCACTATACGTTCTGTGCAACTCTCCAAGTTTTCTTGCATTCTCCATATTCACATTTGTATACTACACTGACGATAAGTGGAAAACCCTGCGGTTCGAAAAATAATGCTTTTCGAGTGATGTGTGCGGGATGAGCCGGTGTCTGAAACAGGCCCCTGGTGGCCTATGGGCGGACAATGAAAGTTTTCGATTTGACGGACCACTCCCGACGGAGTGTGACTTGTTTTCCAGCCAAAAAATGATGGAAAAAAAAAAAGAAACCCGAAACAGTTCATTTTTGTGGCAGGGAGAGGGGTGGCAAATAATTGTTCTCTCTTTTTATCACACAATATACCACTTTTTTTAATTCAATAATGGCTCCTTCTCCAATGACTCCTCCTCCTGGTTGTCCCATGCATCAACCAGAAGAACCCAAACCTTCTCCGCCTCCCGGTTGTCCTATGCATAACAGCAATGCTCCTGTCACTGATAAGTTGAACGAACTCAACATGATGCCCAGTCAGTTGGCCCAAACTCCACAACCTGATCAGACCGTGGACTTGCCCACCGAGCGAGTCATTTCTTCTATTCCCAAAGCCAAAGACTCCAAGGAAAAATGGGAATATCCTAGTCCGCAGCAATTTTACAATGCCCTGCGACGTAAAGGCTGGGAGACTCCCGAAGACCATATCGAAACCATGGTCGATATTCACAACTTCTTAAACGAAGAAGCATGGAACGAAGTATTGAAATGGGAATCCAAGTTCAAATGGTAAGCAGCAGCACCTGGTCGAATTTTATTTTTGTTGATGAATTCTCGGTTGTGACTGACTTTGGATGTGGGATATAGTGATTGTATGGAGGACCCGTATTTGACCAAGTTCCAGGGAAGACCCAAAGAGTTGACACCTAAAGCCAGATGGCATAGTTTGCTTGGGTAAGTGAAAAAAAGGGATTCAGTGACGGAATATGTCATTCTGGGGTGGAATATGAATACTGATCTAAAATCCGCATGGATATAGTGCCCCCAAGCCGTTTGATCGTCATGATTGGTATGTTGGTCGATGTGGCAAAGTACGACGTTATGTGATCGATTACTATGAAGCTCCTGCTGATGGGGATGATCCCGTTTTCCATTTGGACGTTCGTCCTGCCGTGGATGACGCTGAAAGTATGATGTGTCGATTCAAGGAAGCCGCTAAAATGAAATGGGAACAATGGTTCCCTAACGCTGCATCGGCAGCTTCCGACAAACCCGAATCTTCTTCAAGTCCATCCACCGCATAAAAAAAAACATCGTTGGCATTAGACAAACACAAGCAAACAAATCGTATCCCTTATTTATACACAATTATCGTTTTTTTTTTTCTTTATTTTGGTATTTGGTTTTTTTCTTAGACAATTTAGACATTTTTCAACTGATGAATTTATTACATAAAACAAGAACAAAAAAAATGCATACAACAAAGAGGGTGAATGATTTCTACTTTTTTTTTTTTTTTTCGAATGCATTGATGACAGCCAACATATAGAAGAATCTCCTAATCCCTTGCAGTAGGATGTCGGGTTTCAAAGTCTCGAATTTTTCTCAACAGAGCACGGCCTTTCTTGAAAATGGTATAATCTCGGATCACACGTGATTGAGGACCAATGGTACGTTGCGTAATGAATTTCCAATGCACCATAATCCAAGAGGTATGATATGCCAAAGTGTCATAGTATTGACTTGCCATTGAACGAAGTTTAGGCAGCTTTGACCACGGAACCTATGGGGAACGAGGGAATAAGTAAAACAGAAAAAGAAAAAGAAATCATCAGATCATCATCACATTCGAGTATCCGAAATTTTGAACACCAGCCATTTCAGCGTTGGGTCATTTACCTTTTGGAAGTCGTGGTGTTCATTGTGGTAACCGATATTCATAAAGGGAATATTGAGAACACCATAGTAAGAGTAGGTTTCCTGACCGTCATCGAATGTATAATGTTCCTGGATAAAGTGGGCGGCTCCTGGGTGCAAAGAGTAGCCAAACCATAAAGACAGGAAAAGGTATAAAAGACCATACCAACCGCACACTTGTTGGATGAGGATATCGCAAACAATAGAGAAACCAAGATTGATGAGCTCCCATTTGCCCGGTTTCTGATGGCGAGCCTGCTGCATAACGGCGCCACGGACGACGTACATCACCGGATAGATGAGAATCCACAGCAACTTTTTGAAGCTGCTACCACGGATCAACGTTTTTTCCCAATCCAGCGGCAAATCGGGGTCCATTCCCTCGACGCCTTGCCAAGTATGGTGTTCAATATGATATCGACGGAATGATTGGGAAATCGGAACTGGAAGAACGATATTGGTGAACAAACCGACGTATCGGTTCAACACTTTGGTGCGCGTGACCAGATTATGAGTGGCTTCATGGATAATCACTCCTACGATCCCCGTCAGGGTCCCTCCAATCAGATACGCGGTGGTTAAATAGACCCAAACTGGCGACGAAAATTTGCCAAAATAGTACGCCAAGCCTAACTGAACGATATTGATGACAGCCGCTACGTAAAACGTACGGATATCTGTGCCGTATAGTTTTTCGACCTCTGGATATTCACGCAATATCGTATGTTTTCGTTTCAAATGAGGTTCATCCATGTCATCTCGGGCAAAATCTTCATCCACATACGGAATGGACCGTTTCCAACTGCCGAGATAGAGAGGATGTCGATAGTCAGGGTGCTTGGGTTTCTCCACCAACGTTTTCACAGTTTCATCAGGGATCAACGGTGGCATGGCAGATGTTTGTAGAGTAGACCAATAAACGTCCCTTGAAAAAAAAGGAAAGAAAAAAAAAAACCCTAAAAAAAGAATAGAAAAAGAACACAAAAAAGAAAAAGGTAAAAAAAAATTTAGAGTTAAAAAGAATAGAAAGAAATATGGCGACTCGTCAATTAGAATAAAACGCGACAGACTAGTTAAAACGCGTCTTTATCAGATAATTGAACAGTAAAAGGTTAAAAACAGTATTTACATAAATAATACGATGTGCAGCCCTTCAGCGCGTTTCAATGCATGATAAGATCTCTAGAGATAGTCGTGCTGTTCCTGCATTGGGGGCGTCGAACCACTTTCTTTGAAGCGTGTGTCATGGAGATCATTCACACTCCGCTCGATTTTTGCCTGTCACAGATAATTTTTGCATCCCGCTTTTTTTTTTCTCTCGTCTTGCGAAAAAAAAGGACATCTGAATATCCCGGGTGCCTAAAGCAGTATTTCTAGCCCATTAACCAATAGCCTGTTTCTCATGGAGCTACACATCCTTTCGCCTGTATCCACAGCTCAATTGGAGCGATCCAATGATCGCATGCATATCGACGAGGATATAGCGCATCTCGTTAACCCCGGTGAAACAATCACCACCGATCAACAGTTCATGCGGTAAAACGTCCTTTCAGATCAAAACGCAACGAGGCAACGGAATGGTCAAAAATAACATGCCCCATTTATAGTGGTCACGGTACCTATACCGATGGTGAAAATACCGTCATTTCTTCCGTGGCTGGTATGGTGGAACGAGTCAACAAACTACTTTCGGTTCGACCGCTGAAGACTCGATATACACCCGAGATTGGTGATATTGTCGTCGGCCGAATTACCGAGGTACTTTCGCAAAGAATCAAGAGAACGCTTTGTTCCACCACGAATATTTAAAATGTTCTTTGTGGATGCTTAGACTGCCATGAGACGTTGGAAGATCGATGTCAACGGAAGACAGGATGCCGTATTATTGTTGAGTTCAGTTAGTTTACCAGGTGGTGTGCAGGTACAGTGGAACAGGACATGATCGGCCTCAATTCCATCGGAAAGACTGATCCAGTGGATGGGGTTGTTGATAGCGTCGTAAAAACGAATCCGATGAATTGCGCATGCGTCAATTCTTTGCGGAAGGGGATGTGCTCGTGGTGAGTTGCATGAAAATCTTTGTCTTCTTCACTCTTTATGACACGAATTCACGTGAATTGACCATGGCTACGTATCAAATGCTAGGCTGAAGTCCAGAGCTTCTATGCGGATGGTGCCATGGGTTTACATACAAGAGGGTTCAAGTTTTGCAAACTGCGAAATGGTTCGTTCCTGTGCGTGCCACCTGTGCTCGTCCAGCGCTGTAAATCGCAGTTCCACACTTTACCGTGCGGTGTCGACCTCGTACTAGGATTGAACGGTTATATTTGGATTAACAAAAAGCTGGAAGGCATTACGCAAGACGATGCAGATACGGCCGTCGTGTATTCCAGTGAGAACGATGTAAGTTACACCTACGCCATGGAATGTCTGCACCGAATTTGGATACTGACGCGTTTGACAGCCTATTTCTGAATCTGAACGGGAGAACATTGCCCGTGTGGCCAACTGTATCTCAGCCTTGGCTAAACAGTATATGCATATCAATGATACCATCATCGTCTATACATACGAAGGTATGATCATCGGTTGTCCTAAAGAAATAAGCAAGTGGCATGTCTCACTTACTTTTTTTTTTTTTTTCTTCATAGCATCACTGGAATACAGTGTAAAAGATTTACTGAAAATGGACGTCATTGAAACCATTACCTCTGAAGCCAGCGCCAGAATGCGTGTGCCCTCATAAAAATTTGTAAATAAAATATTGCTCAACACCCTTGTTCTCATGATGTGGGAATAGTGTAAATGTATGTAATATCTATTAAGAGAGAGAGATGGCGACTATCGTGTGCATATTATTACTTTGGAAATGTCGGATAATCGAGGCTCATGTTCTTGGGGACATGGCTCCCGGAGAGATGGGGTCAATCACTGTCCAGCCTTGATCCTCATCCAAGAAACTGGTAACGGCATCATCGATTTCATCCGCGGTATTGGCGATCGTTCGTTGTGCAGACGATCGCGTTCGTTCCATTGCCAGTTCCATATCTCGATACAGGCATTGAATTGCCGTTTCTACGCCGCGCTCCTGAAAAGGTTCATCAGGTATTAGAGTCCCTCTTTCTTAACTTCCATGTTCATGACTTACCGAGCGGATTTTTTGGCCCACCTTTTCGGCGGTCTTTAGCATGGTCTGATCGGTGGAAATGATGCGAAGAGCGGCCGACAAATGCTTGATGGTCAATGTTTTGATGCACAGACCCACCCCCATATCTTGGACTCGTTCGCCCCAAAAGAATTGATCCGCGAAAAAAGGTTTAATCACCGTAGGCCTTCCTGCCCGTAATCCTGCTGCGGTGGTTCCGGCGCCACCGTGATGTAAAACGGCCCGTACTCTTGGGAAAAGCCAATCGTGCGGAACCGATGGTACACTTAGAATCGTTCCTCGATGTTGTTCCAGTAGTTGTGTGATTGGGTTAACTGAACCCGAGGATGCACCCTTGTCTTGCAACCGGGAAGACCATCCTTCCGATACAATGGCTCTCACGTTGGACAACAGAATCGACTCGACAATAATCCGTGTCATTTCCTGTGGATCCGATACAATGATGGATCCAAAGCCTATGTAGACGATGGGCCGTGTATCCTTGGCTTCAACAAACTCTCGCAGTGCCACGCTCGGTTCCCATCCCGTCTGTCATGGAACGCGTCAGTACTGTCGTGTTAAACGAACCAAAAACTGGCCATGAACCTACCTGAGGTGAATCAAGAAACCAGTAGCCTGTACAATGGATCCAGTCCATCCAGTCCAATGGACTGGGGACAATATGCGGACTGAACGAATACAAGTACGGAATCTTCCACACTTCGAGCTTATCATAGCTTGTCCGAGCCAGACCAAGCACTTCTTGACGGAATGTATTGGTTCGCGTGGCAATGGCTTGCCAAATGGCATGATCAAATAGAACATAGGTCATGTCATTGTATAACCGTCCTTTGGGTCGGTTCGGTGTAGCAAATGGATGAGGAAACGATCGTGTCCTGGTCATGGGCATAGGAAAGGATCGAAAATAAGGTATTTCTTTTTTACTTTTCTTTTTAGACGCGTTGTTCTAGCTCTGACACCATGACGGGTTGGGTACTTACGCAGTTTTTCTGCCATGTGTACACCTACCATGGCACTAGGACTTTCAATAAGCACATCCGTATCTTGACAGGCTTCCCACGTTTTCTTGAGTAATTCATCGATCCAAACTTTGAACTGACCGCGGCATAAGAGAAATAAACTCAGTGCAAGTCAAAAGGGTGAAAGAGGTTGCTGAGGGCTTACCAGTTTTAATCCTTCCTTTACAAAGTTTACACTAAAGAAACTATTCTCGACACAAATTCTCTGTCAAGCACAAAAAATAATAATAATACGAAGCATTAGGCATATATTGAGTCTGTGCTTCAACGCGTACCAAAATCAAGAGGCAACAAAAGGAAAACTCACCATAAGTTCACTGGGATCGCCGCCAATGGATCGAAATTCGATACCGTGTTCACGAATCCAGCCTTCAAATTCATCGTGTGTGGCAATTCGACATGTATGACCTTCTTTCATCAGTCCTTTGCAAAGAGCAATATAAGGTTGTACATCGCCACGGGTGCCAATGGTAACGCATGTAAAGTGTAACGGTTTACCAGGTTGTTGATACACCAAAGGCTCGTCTGTCGGACGATTCAATACAGGTAGTCCTATCATCCAAAATCCATGTCAGCTTGTTGCATACAAAAATTGGATTTTCATTTTTTTCAGTAAGGACCTGCATTGGTAGGTGGGATGATATGCTCCAGGCTTTCTTTATGTTCAGCCAGTAACCGTGCTTCCCAATCCCGGGCATCTCTATTCAGAAGCATAAACATGTCTATTGCGGATTTAACATTACTTTATTGTACTTACTGTTCCACTTGCTGTTCCGGTACCGATCGGTTCTCAATCACCCATTTGTGCTGCAGAAACAGTCTGGCAAAACAACTATTGCGTTTAGATAGGGACGAAAATTCCAAAAAGACCTAACCAAGATATTTTGCGACATTAGTATATCAACTATCGAACCGTTCATCATGCTTCAGGTACCTCGCGTTTGTTCTGTGTGACAATACTCAAAGAATGGAAAAGATAACCTCGATGCTTCAGTTTCTGGATGCGTACCACTTCTTGCAAAGGAATGATCATCTGAAACCCAACGTTAGCCATTCGCCTGTCACTTATATTTTGTCATGTGGGAGGACAAAATTACCTTGGCATTGGTGGCAAACCCCTTTGAGTTGAACGACACATGATTCGATGATATGTACAATTTACCGTAGCAAGGCAATGTCTTCATGAGCGAGCATGGATACACTAAAAATGATTGTTTGGTTAGCACAGCTGTCACGATGCATCGAGGATACTCGTTTACCTGCGTGTAGTCTCTCTGATTCTGGCAAAACAAAGTATTTTCTGAAATTGGCTCTAGTGCGATCATCAATGGGGATCCCGTGAGCCGAGGAGGATAGGGTCTCTTGAGCCATATCATACATCTTGTCATCCTCATCATCATTTTCTTCATCGTTCAAATGATGCGCAGGATATTCGACGGCGGGGCTGCCTATGTGAGCTCCCAAAAGTCCATAGACCAATTTCATGCCCGACTTTTTTTTCCCGGCCAACCATCCGCGCATTGCCTGATCATCTTCCTCTGAACTTGAAGAATCGGCGACATCGGCTGTATTCGGATCGGTCGTGTTACAAGGGCTGTTGTCCAAAGATGGCGTTTTCTCTTTGAGCGCTGTAGATGTGGATGGATATAAAAGTTCTCGGATTGCACTCGGGACTGACAAAGCATTGGCGACCACGGAACTCATGGATGATTGACGTGTAGACAGCGATGGCGGTTTGGGAGACTCGCCTACGGCCGGGATGGTGATAGGTTGCGCATTGATATCGTATAAATCGGATATGGACAGGGAAGGGGATTGCAGCGGTGAAGCATTGTTGGATAACTTGGGAGACTCCAGACTTAACCCATTCAGCGATAGGTGATGGGCGGCACCTATCTGTGCATTGTTCCATGCAGACCAAAGTGCTTCGAATGTGGACTTGATATCTGTAAAGTAAGCAAAATAGTACTGGGTCATGATTTTTTTTTTTAAAAAAAAAAAATGGAGGTTGTTAGTATTCTATATCGAAGCCATCGTTGTGGTCAATGGTTTCTCACTTACTTCATCCATGACGAAAGGGTCATCAATTCCTACGGCTCGTATTTTGAGAAACTGCTGAAATTCAAAGGCGTCGGTTTGTTCGATATCCAGGATATTCTCAAATGGTAACGATACTTTAAGATTGGCTCCGTGGTGTTTCGCTCGAAAGATTGCCTTTTGCAGTACATTTAACCTATCGAACCGCATTCAGTCACGGGCCCGCCAAGGTTCATTCTGCGTAATAAAACGTTTTTACCATTCAATTAAGCCCGCCCTGGTGTCCGCTTGCAAATGCCACGTTTTATTGGTGGTTGTAATTTTCAGACCATGTGTTCGTTTTCGAGATTGGCGTACCGCTAATACGTCCTTGAGGTCGATTTTTCCCAACGGAGAATACAAATCGGTGGCGCTTTCGTACCATGGAAGTGCATCATTATCGAGATCGAAATAACACCGCTGATAATTACCACCTTGCTTGATCAGCAGATATCCTGTCTTACGGTAGCGTTGCTACTCAATTTTTTTTCACATGATGCCATCAGACAAAAATCACAGTATGGAAACATGAGGGAAGAAAAAAAAAAGAATCAATCCAACCTGACTGTTAGGCAATGATGCATAAAAACAGATGTGGTTTTCTGTTAAATACAAGAAACCGGGAACGATGGCCGAACGCACAATATAACAGGACCACTCTAAGTTGGTAAAAAAAATAAAATAGCATCTTGCATTAGCATTATTTCACCTTTTTTTTTCGTCCTCAAATTTCTAACCTCCACAAAGCGCTTCGGGACTTGGCAAGTTGAATATAATCTGCAACCGTTCCGCTAAGCTTCTTCGTTGCAATGCTTCCACATTGGGTGGCGAGTGAGCGTTATCTTGGGTGCATGGTTCCTCTACCGACGATGGATCGATATCATTTCCCGTTGCGTCGGCCAACTTTTGAGCAATATGGTCAGTTTTGTTTCCACGAGTGTCATGACGCTGATCAGCTGAATGATATGGCATGTGGACCTTGGATCCTGTGATGTTGGGGTAAATGGTGTAAAGGGAATGACCTAGATCTGGTCATACGCGGGATGCACAATAAAGACAGAATAGTTCAGTCGAAAGTATCCCTTAAAAGAATTCAACAGACACTGTAGAAAAAAACCTAGAATCACGTTTCAGAGCCGTTCCATAACTGTGGTCATTGAGAAGTGCGCATCTGCAAACCTTGTATTGAGTCGTCTTCCTCCTGAACTTCGAGCTGTCGGTGCGAATAGCAGAAAAAAAAGAAGCATACGTTTGATAAGCGTCCCTGCGAATCAGGCGTATAAATAAAGACGGTCATTCACCTACCGCTTGAGCTGCGGCCGATACAAATTGTAAGACGTTGTGATGAGTCGAGTCCATGAGGAAAAGAGAAAGTAAAAGAGAGCGCAAAACCACGAACCAGGTGAGGAGCGGCGTGATTCATGCGAATTTGGGGTTCATCCAAGGGACAGCGAGAATTCCGCCCCTACTTCACGTGACCCCGATGACGCTCTGGGTGGGGCGGAAGCTCAATTTCGGTACCCTTTGCTGGACACCTTTTTTCTTTTCCCGGAAGGAACAAAGAGATAGACGCTTTTTTTTTGGTTGGCTCTCATGTTTGAGAAATCACTGACAGACCTCATTCGAGGGATTCGTGCCAACAAGAAGAATGAACAGAAATACATTGCAGTCTGCTTGCAAGATATCCGCAATGAAGTCAAGTCCAACGACTCTGATATCAAAGCAACCGCCGTGGCCAAATTAACTTATGTACGTGTGTCGGAAAACCCGGCAAGTTAAGAAGTATACTCATACTTGTCTATTAGCTGCAAATGCTTGGTTATGACATGTCGTGGGCTTCGTTCCATATTGTTGAAGTCATGTCGAGCCCCAAATTCATCCATAAACGCACGGGGTACTTGGCCGCCACCCAATCGTTTCAGCAAGATACCGACGTTCTCATGCTGACGACGAACCTCATTAAAAAAGTGAGTATTCTGTCTTTCCGTTGATGGAATGCCAAGCAAACAGAGAATCTAATCACCGCACCTAGGACTTGGCTTCCCCGACAGCCCTGGATATCGGTATCGCCGTCAATGGCCTGTCGCACATTGTCACTCCTGAATTGGCACGCGACTTGTGCCAAGATTTGGTCGCCATGTTGAATCACTCACGACCTTACATTCGCAAAAGAGTTGTACTTGTACTATACAAGGTGTTCCTAAAGTTTCCAGAAGCACTGCGACTTAGCTTTCCGAGAATCAAGGAAAAACTCGAAGATCCCGATCCATGTAAGTGGTGCTTTATTCAACGCTTTCGCACCGATTTATTCGTTGATGTGAATTTATTTTTCTTTGTTTTTCTGAAGCTGTCGTTTCATCTGTGGTGAGCGTCATTTGTGAACTGGCTCGTAAAAATCCAAAAAACTATCTGTCACTCGCACCGCAACTTTTCAAACTGTTGACCACCTCGTCCAACAACTGGATGCTCATCAAGATTATTAAATTAGTAAGTTTTCCTCTTTGTTCAACCAGGCACCGTATCGACACAGACAATGACGATTGGATTTTCCTTGTAATAGTTTGCATCCTTGACGCCGCATGAACCTCGTCTGATCAAAAAGTTACTTCCCCCGTTAACGTCGCTGATCCAAACTACGCCAGCCATGTCACTCTTGTATGAATGCATTTACACCGTCATCACCGGTGGCTTTTTGGAAGCGGCAGGTGATGCCAGTCATGCGCTGGCCATGACCTGTGCCACGAAACTGCGAAAATTCTTGGAGGATGCCGATCAAAACTGTGAGTGACAAAGCCTTTTCTTTTTTTTTTGGGAACTTGCCCCAGCCCCTGTTTCGTAATGCTGAGTGATGTGGTGATGATTGTTAGTGAAATATGTGGGATTGCTGGCCATGGGTAAATTGCTGTTGACGCATCCCCGTTTGGTGGCGGAACACAAGGACATCATTCTTGAATGCATCGATGATGATGATATGAGTATTCGCATTCGCGCCCTGGATTTGGTGGTTGGCATGGTGAGTCGCTGAGGTTTTTTTTTTTTTTTTTTTTTTTTTTTTGAGTCAAAGGACGCTGATTGGGATGACAATGTTTAGGTGAACCGTAAAAATACAATCGATATCGTCAAACGGCTTGTAGCCCATCTGTCGCCGGTGCATTCAACGACGACGCCAGAATCGTTGCATGAAGCTTCCACTATTTTGGATCCCGTCTATCGAACGGATATTGTAAACCGCATCCTATTTATCTGCGGTCAAAATCAATACCACAATATCACCAATTTCGAATGGTACATTTCAGTCCTCGTGGGCATGATATATACATCGGGTGTCAGTGTGGGGGAGTCACTGAAACATCATTTGATGGATGTGGCCGTACGTGTCAAGAGCGTCCGAGAATACGCTGTGAAAGAAATGGTAAGAACATCGCAATAAAATTGTAAAGGAAAAATAATACAGTCCCACTGACTGTCGGTTTCTCCCGGTAACTCTCTTCTAGTTCCGTCTACTGGGCGATAAACAAACCCTTGAAACCGCGAAACGACGCGATTCAAACATCGAAGTGTTGGCAGCAGCCGCTTGGGTGTGTGGCGAATATTGCAAGTACGTATTGGTGCACTTTCCAACGTTTTAAAAACTGTAGATTCACCCATTCGTCTAGTTTCTTGGATGATATTCCCGCCACCCTGGAACGGTTACTCACACCTTACGTGGTCAAAATGCCAATGAGCGTACAAATAGTCTATGTACAAAATATCATGAAAATCTATGCTTATTGGGTCAGCGAATTGATCCCTCAATGGAATGCGGAACTGCAAGAAGAATTTGTCAAGGTCACACACGTCATGAGGGAAAAACTTCAAATGTTTATTCAAAGCTCAGATCTCGAAGTACAAGAACGCGTAAGTTGATCGTGAAAATGCCAAAAAAAAAGGGGGAGCTATACGAGGTGTAAAAGATTCGCTCATCAGCATGTTAGGCATGTAATATGAAAGCGATATTTGACTTGATTCTCTCCTCTGTGGAGGAATCGGCCGGAGAACAAGCACCACCGTTACTACAAGGCTTACCGGACTTGTTCTTTATCTATGAACTCAATCCAGTGGCCCCCAAAGCACAGAAGAAAGTCCCTATACCCGAAGGCTTGGATTTGGATGCGTGGATCAACGAGCCACTGCCTGAGCTTGTGGATGATGATGATTCCGACGACGGATCCCACGATGGTCTACCCACCGAAACACGAACCAAACGTCGATCAAACAAGTCCAAAAAGGCCAAGGCTTACAGCAGCGATGAAGATGAAGAAGATCGCCAACAGGTACTGTATCATTCGACAGCGGGCGCCATTCATTTAAATGCTTACGGGGTGTTTTTTTTTTCAGCGACGCAATGCGCGGTTGGAAGCGATACGCAACGATCCTTATTACATCGCGTCAGATAAAAAGGACCGGCGCAGTCGAGATCAACTTTTGGAGTTGGAGGACGATGTGGATTCCATTCCTATCGTTACCCTATCTATGGACGATATTCACACTGGTATGGGACGGGTTGACTCGAGGCCGTTGATAGAAAAAAAAAAGAGTTACGCATTGACGTTATGGATATTCTCTCTTTCAGGATCCCGCAAGAAAAAGGGTAAAAAGCAAAGCACCAAAAAACGACGAGCACGTTTGCCCACACCACCCCCGCCCATCTACGCAGAAGAAGAGATGCCGGAAAATGCGGCGGATTCAGCCAGTGACAATGATACCTCCAAAAAACCTACTACCTATACAAAAAAGAACGGACGCGACATTTTCGCTACGGATGAAGATCAATTGCATGACGTGGATCTGTCCAAACCTCTAGGCGAAGATGAACAGTTCCCTCAAATTCAAGCCTATCTTAGTCCCGAAGAAGTTCGCCGTCGTGAAGAATTGCAAGCACGCGCACGGAGGAAGGAACAAAGGGCCTTATCCCGCCAACAGGTAAGTATCGGCTCTTTTGAAAATAATAATGTCAAGTTGAACTGAATTGGACATGCTTCAGGAAAACGAGCCTGCGAAATCGTCCAAAAAGAGCTCACCCAAAGAAGGCTCATCCAAATCGGGCAAAAAGGAGAAAAAGACGAAAAAGGAGTCATCCACCAAAAAGTCGAAAAAATCCAAGAAGCGAGACAGCGGCGACCACCAGGAGGTAAAGTGAAATTGATGGTTTTAACGTCCACAGTGCATTGACTCAAAAAACCCGACTTCTTTTTTTTGTGTTAGCCACCATCCATGCCTCCTTCTTTGGATGATAACGTACGGCACGCGCTGGCGGACGGGCAACAAACCGAAACCAAATCGCCTCAATCACTGTTTAGCAACGATCAAGTGGATGTGGTACGTTGATTTTGACCGTGACAAAAGGAGCCCGATCCGATTCTTGTTCATTTATGCACTAACGCTGTCTATTCTGTTCAACCTCCTTGCGTAGAGTTACACAATGGAACTAGCCACTGATGCAACTGATGCGACGGATGCCAAGGAGAATCCTGCCGTGGCCATTCGATTCATCGTTCGAAACAAAACGACGGATCTCATGCTGCCGCGACTGCAGTTGCATTTCAACGAGTCCCTGGACTTGAAACCAATGGAGACCAAAGAAGGATCGGAACTGGCCTCCGTCTCGGAAACATTCGAAATGCAAGCGGGCGAAACCATCGAATGCATGGGCGTCTACCAAGTGCAAGGCGGACTGGTGCCTGACATGGTGTTACGCGGTGAATTGCAATATGATGTAGAGGTAAGGGCGAGAAAAACTGGGAGTATATCGGCTTATGGTTTGTCAAGGTCGTAACTGTCAACGTTCCATTGATAGGGATCTTATGAACTGCATCAACATGGATTGGAACTGCGTGTACCTGTGAGTGTGTTCTTTTTAAAATCATCGACATTAGATCCTGCAAGTTTTGCGTCTCTGCTTGCCGAGCATGGCGCGGAATTCGAATATCAGGACAGCGTTACGGTGCAAGTCCCTGAAGACAGGGATGCATCGGTTGAGCAAACCCTTATCCGAGCACTAGCCTCTGTATCTTTGACGAGTGGCCTTCACGTCGTGGAAGTGGTTCCGGGGGCCGCGTCTCTGTACGCACAGTCGGTCAATGGAGCCCATGTTGCCGGTCTTTTGAAATACGTCCTGGAAACAGAGGGAGATACACCAGGATTGGCGGCGACGATCACCGTGACACTAAAAAGCACCGATGAAGAGATACTGAAAGGCATAGCTACATTAATTTCGTCTATTTCCGTACAATAAACCGATAAAAGGAGATCGCCAATCCTGTACTGATGTTGATTCACGTGAACCCTTTGGAGAAAAAATCGACACCCATAAAATTCACCGAAGCTATAAAACTTTGATCCGTTCATCCACCCGTCGAATTTATTTTTCTGTTTGCTTTTTCCCTGTCCACTAATTCCACTTTTTTTTTTATCATTTTCATCTTGTTTTTTCCTCTTATCTTCGTTTCTGGCATTTGTTTTTTTATATCATATATTATTTATGCCTTTTAATAGATTTTTTGTATTTTTTTCGTTTGTGCTGGTGTTGCTTGTCTTTTGTCAGTGGAGCATCGGAATCTCTTCCACTCACCGTACAAGACGCAGTGTACTTCCTGAAGACCAATGGCCGGGTGGTCCGGGGAGACAGTGTTCACCGGACCCGTACAATCAACTTGAAGTCGATTGGAATCGTACCTACAGCGATTACGAACCGCAACAGATTCACATGTCCATCACATCCAATGCAGAATATGCTCGTATTCAGTTCGCAACCTTGGCTGGCTTAGAACAAGCATTATTAAAGTATTGGAATATCGAGTCTTCTCCTGAATCCGCCATTGTGATTCAAGGCGATGAGGTAAAAATGATGAATTGAAATATATCATTATCGGGCCCGATTAAAAGAAAAATTTGGATGGCTTGCTCACCCTTATTTAGAACTGGATCTTTACCGACGGCGGACCAGCACGGCATTCGCTTCACTTGCACAATCTAAAGACAGCGCAATTACACCCGCAAACAACGTATCGCTATCAAGTGGGTGCGGTGAATGTGCAGTCAGAGACACAGTGGTCATCGATTTACGAATTCCATACACCTTCTCGAGACGATGACTTTCACTTTCTGGTAGTCAGCGATATGGTATGTGCATACTGGGTGACGGTCCTTCATCCTACTACAGGCATATGCAGTATTATTTATCAACGAATTAGGGGATAAACAATGCGGTGGCCTACAAACATTTGGTGAAACTAGCCAAAGAACACACACATGATTTTGTCGCCATGGTAGGCGATCAAGCGTATGACATGGCCGACCAAAACGGGAGCAAAGGCGATCAATACATGAACTTTGTACAAGAATTATACGCACGGCTGCCTTTCCTAGGCACACCCGGCAACCACGAAAGCCTCTACAACTTTACCCATTACAAAAATAGGTACGGCGGCTGGTGTAAGCCAGATCCTAAAGATCGGTTGATAGAAAAGAGCTCATTGTCTTTTGATAGGTTTAATATCCTTCCGTTCCAGGAATCCGGATTTGAGAATCCGGATATGTATTCTATAGATTACAAGTCATTACATTTGGTGTCGTTTTCGACGGAGGTGCTTTTTGAAGGTTCAGACGCAGAGATCGAGACAGCATTACATTGGTTGGACAACGATCTTCGCAAGGCGAATAAACACCGTCAAAAGAGACCGTGGGTCGTGGTTTTTAGTCACAGACCCCTCTATTGTTCTACACAAACAATCAGTCAAGATTGCACCTACCGAGCCGCTCACGTTAGGAATGGCGTTTCCGATTTCGATCTACGTACGTTTTCCCCCGGCATAGAGAAGCTATTAGTAGAACGCAATGTCGACTTGTATATCAGGTAAATGGAGGATGAATGGATTAGGTCAAGATTTTATTTTACACTCATCACTCTAATCTACCTTAGTGGTCACGTTCACAATTATGAACGCACATACCCTGTGACCAACGGGACGGTCACTGCTCGAACTTACACTGATGCCCCCAGTCTCTTCCATTTGGTAGTTGGGAATGCGGGACAACCGGAAAGACCCGATTTATTTAATTCAACTGGACCGTATGCGGATTGGTCTGCGTTTCGATTTGACGGGTATGGTTATACGGATATTAAAGTGACCCCTACCAGTCTGGAGCTCATACACCGGGAGACCAAAACAGATGGCACGCTTGGTGATATTGTGGACCGAGTCACCGTAACAAAAGATGTGAAGAAGTATAACTAACTTAATAAAAAGGATATCATGCTATATCAGGCATAACATAATTTAAAACTATCACAGATAAAAAACAAAAGAGAGACCCCACTTTTCAAGAACGAGCGACTTTTATTTCAAATGAATGTATGCGGAACTGACTCCGGACAACCCCTCCACGAAAAAAACTCAGCCGAAAGAGGTCGACAGCTTTGTGACCGCTCCAACACAAAAAGTATAACTTGTTGGAAGAAGCGATACAGTTTGAATTCCCAGTTCAATCATGTCGGATCCACGTTCGCAGCTGCTCCACGTTCTTCATGAAGCAGCGTCCCAAGATTTTGCCCGGATGCGGCAAGCAGAAGAATTACTGATTCAATGGGAGAATGAGCCTAGTTTCTTCGCCACACTACAGGTAAAAATCCACCTGTCCACGCATCAAGTACGCAGTAGTTTTGGCCGTGCCAATTGTCAACTGTGATATTTTCCTAGGATATCTTTTATGATCGATCCGTCGACCACGATGTTCGTTTCCTCGGTGGCATTTATTTAAAGAATGGAATTAATCGCTTTTGGAGAAAAACAGCCAAAAAGTAATGAAGAACCCACTCATGTTTTTGACAACTTTCTCCCCCACTAACGATGCGAGTACTCCTTTGACACAGTCCTATCAATCCAGCTGAAAAGGCCAATATTCGTCAACGATTGCTCAATTTTTTTGATGAACCGAGTACCAAGGTAGACCGTATTTCATAAGAGAGAGAGACAGGATGACATAGTGTGCTGATCTGGGCTGTTACTTTGAATTTCCAGTTGACTTGGCAAAACGCGCTCATCGCTGCACGTATTGCTCGTCTCGATTATCCAAGAGAATGGTAAAATTTATTCGACTTGTGAACGGATTATAGACCCTTTTTTTTGGTATTGAGTTTTCGTTCCACTGTAGGCCCGAGCTTCTACCGACGTTGATGCAAGTCATCGAGACGACGGACCTTACGACCAACGAAGGCGCTGGTCGATTAATTCACGATCGCGCCCTGACGATGCTGTACGAAGTACTTTATGAACTGAGTGGTCGCATTCTTTCGACAGGAAGACGACAGTTTGCCGAGATCGCTCCTCGGACATTTCAAACCGTCGCTGGTGCCTACATGACCTACAGTAACCGTAATTTCTCCCACTTATCCAACCTGAGCGCTGCACAGCAAGATGGCACAGTTGGTGAATTGAATATCACATCGATGTGTGTCAAGTGTATGCGTATTCTTATGGTCAGTGGCATCAAGGACGTGCATCAGTACGAAGAGACAAAGGTAACCCTCGTAAAAAAAAAGCATGCATTATCATAAAGTCACTGACACCTTTTTTTTTTTTTTTTGGTTCGCCACAGACTTTTATTGGCATCAGTCTTCAACATTTGCAAAAGTACATGGAATGCCGTAAGTTTTCATCCACTACAGCATACGATGCCATTGATCGATTACATTCATTCAACTTTTTCCGGTCACCTAGTCTTCACAATCAACCAAACCTCAACCAAGCATCCGTTGAACGAAGCGTTGACGAGTTTGATCGAAGATTACGGTACCATGTATCTCGCCCTGCAGAAATATCATCCTGTATCAGCTGCCTTGTGCCCGGCCTGGCTTGAAGTCATCCGTTATTATTGGCAGTGCATTGCGCATCAAGGAAATCAAATGTTGGAACAGTACAGAAACAGTAAGAGAACATGAATGGTTGGAATTAGCCGTATCATGATTGCTTAAAAAAGAATGATTCTAGAACAATCGGATCAATTCCATTTATTCCAACCCATTCTATTGCAAGCCATGCTATTACTCAAAGGCACGATCAAGAATCCAGCTTACACATCTACCACCACTGGTATGTACAGTTGAGATAGGGTACTATAGTATAAATGGAAAGTTAATAAGTCGACTTTTCTTCATGATGCCGCAGATGATCTAACAGCGACGGACGAGGAGAAAGCTTCTGCTATTGAAGCAGGTCGAATCATTCACTCCCAGTTTTTGACCACAGACTTTGTGAATGCTTGTGCGGAAGTGCTCATCTCCAACTATATGCTATTGACGCCCGATGATTTTGAAAAATGGGAAGACGATCCTGAAGCATGGGTCCATTCTGTCGACGCCGAAAACTGGGAATTCGAATTGCGCGTAAGTCGTGGCCAAAGAAAAAGAGTTGTTGCTGCGAGTTATTTGGATTAAATGATGGTTTTTTCTTTCCCAAAAGCCTTGCGCAGAAGCCACCTTCCTCTGCTTGCTTTCACAAAACCGAGAGCAGTTGTGCCCTATCATTTTGAATCTGGTAGAAAAAGTGGCCAGTAAGTGGGACACTGATGCACATGTCAACTGGATACTGATTTTCCGCTTTTTGTAGCTGTCAATGATTATCATGCCCTGCTTTTGAAAGACGGTGTGTATGCAGCCATCGGTCTCGGTGTGCAATCACTGTACGGTCGTCTGGACTTTGAAAACTTTGTCATGAACCGATTAATTCCAGAAGTTATGAACAAAGATCCGACGTAAGTCCCCGAAGAATCGACTTAAATGCATGGCAGCAAAATTTTGACAACACAATCATATATCATTAGTTTCAAGATCCTTCGTCGAAGAATTGCGTGGGTATTGGGCAAATGGGTCACGGAAGGCATCAGTGCTGATGGTCGAGTGGCTATATACGAGGCTCTTTTGCAAATGATGGGAGAGGAAGAAGATCTTGTTGTGCGCATCACATCGGCACACAGCTTAAAGATGGCCATCGACGATTGGGACTTTGACATTAGCCTTTTGTTACCGTATTTGGACCGTGTCATGGATGGATTACTCCGTCTTTTAGCCGTGGTGGAAGAATCGGACACTGTGATGAAACTTGTTTCCGATCTCAATACCGTCATGGATCGTACCGGCCGTGAGGTGAGCTAAAACCGCTTTTTCTCTTTGTTATAGGTTTGCGTCACAGGACAAAATCTCATCGATATAACAATCCTCACAGACAATTCCTTACGCTTCGAAAATCATCCAATTGCTGATGCCCTTGTGGGATCGCGGCCAAAGTGAGCCTCTCTTCCAGCAAGCGCTTATTGTCACGTTTACAAAGATCTCTGCTGTATGTTCTGCACCTTATTCGTTTATAATGATTCAGGCTGATTTCTTTTTTTTTTTCTTTCTTTTGGCAGATTCTCGAAGATCAAGCTGTTCAGTTGTTCGATTGTTTTATTACAATGATCCAATACGCAGTGGATCGTACAAAGGTAACTCGAATTTTATTTGATATGGTGTACATGTTTTTTGAGACCGAGCAATTATTAGCCAGCGCATGTTTATCTACTGGAAGATGCGCTTGATCTGTGGTGGACATTGTTGCAATGCGCACCCAACGGCAACACCCAGCTATTCTTGCTATTTCCTGTCGCCATTGATTTGATGGATTACGATACAGAAAACTTGCGCAAAATATTTAAAATCATCGAGAGCTATCTTTTATTGAATCATCAATTAGCTGTTCAAGTAAGTGTGGAAAAGGAGAAATCCGTCCGTTTCTTCAGTGTATTGAGCTCAATGTGGATGATAGCAATGTGGATCTGCGTTACTTTCGCGCTTGGGATACTACGTGATGAATTCTCGTGAGGAAGTGGCTTCCAGTGTTGCGCACATCATTGATCTCTTTATCAAAGTCACGCCATTGAAATCCGCCGCAGATGGCTTGGTACAATCAGGTGTATTGGGCAATGTGTTGCAAACATTTCTGCAGGGACAGGTAAGAAAGGCCAGCTTTGCCATGTCGGTTCACATTTAATAACGATGCACGAAAATCTTGTATGTTTATTAGATGTATGCTTACGCATTGGTGACCTACATGTCTCTGTTTGCACGGTTGGCTATTCACGATGCTAATTTTGTGATCCAATTTATCACCGCCGCTGGACAACAACTCGATCCTACAGCGGCTGATTTCTTTGGCGATGTCCTGGATAAATGGATGGATAAGGTGCGTTATCGTCATCACAGTCGCGGAGGAGCCATTCACAAAAGGCTTATCTTTTATCTTTCTCATTTAGTTTGACAATATCAGTAATTCTCGAACAAGGAAGTTGACTTGCATGGGATTTACCAGCATGCTGATGACCAAGAATCTCAGCGTGATGGCTCGCTTACCGCACATCATGGCCATCTGGAGTGACGTTATTATCGAAATTACAGAAGCAACAGAGGATGAGTAAGTGGGATGCATGGATGGTCGGCAAAATGGTTAAAAACTGAACAAAGAATAATCATGAAAAATGATAACAGCCTTGCTTTCGCTGATATTGATTTGGAGACGGATTTGGCACAAATGGATGAATCGCCCGAAAAAGCGAGAAAACAAGAGGTAAATCAACAAAAAATTATTTTACTTGGTTTGGTTTATATACTGATTTTTTTTTCTTATATATTTATTCTTGATTCTTTTACATAAGCTTCAAAACCGTGATCCGGTGCTAACGGCGGATATGCTCTCCATCATTCGACAAACATTGACAGATTGTCAGACGGACAGCGGATACCAGCAATATATCAACAGCGTGGATCCCACTATTCTAGAGCAAGTCAACAAACAGTTAACATTATAGATAGCGCCACATCATTGAAATAGTAATTACCTATCAGAAAAAATCTTGCAAGTGATCCATAAAAAACGAAAACACCGACCCTGTACATTATCCTTCAATGGGAATTGTCGCGCAGTCATAGAAAATTTTGCGACTCATAATGGTTTGGATTCAATTTCAAAGGGTTAAATCACCCAGTTAACATGTGATTTGCAGCAGCACACCTAATAACGCTAGGATCAAATTGCAGATTGACTACTGTTAATTTGGTGCTTCATCGATACGATTGTCAATTGTCGGAAGCTGGCAAACTAGTGCAAGAAAAAATTGGCTGCCTTTCAAAGGAATATCAAGTCAGCAGACCGAAAATTCATGCGGAATCGGACCGAAAGATCGTTTATACAGTCATCTGGCGTATAGTGAGATGCCATGGAGGCAGCTGGCGCCATCACAATGTGTTTGCAGTTGACAACAGTTAACAGGGTTTCTCATGTGAGTGTGACAAAAGGCCCAGCCAAATAGCATCATTATGCAACTTTATTTTATCGCGCGGAGTATGAACTACCGTTACATCGTTGAAACGTCAATTTTTTTAAATTTAAAAAAACCCCATTTCAAGTGTTTCTCCTATCAATAAGCATGACACTGGACGAAATGTGGTATTACCATTACTTAAAGCGATACCAGAATGATGGGCTTTCGAAAAAAAGGCTAATTTTTTGTGAATAGGAAGCATGCTATTGTCTACTCTCCGCAAAAAGCACATGACGTCGTTTTTGCGCATTGTGGTTCGTTGACCCTAAAATACAAAAATGGAGCGATTCGGTTTTTCCCTTGAATACATATTGTTTCACATTGGCATGGGGATCCACTTATTTTTCGCTTTTTCTTTTCCTTCCTTTCCTTTTATATGCGCTCGCATTGAACAATCAAAGAAAAATAATCATCGCCTTATTTTCTTTTCTTAAATGATTGACGTGCAACCCTCAACTACGCAGTGGTCAGCCACGCTACCTACGGATAACCAGTCCATTCCCTCAGAATTACTCGCAAACCTCAAACAACACTCTTTATTCCAACGTACCAATAACGACAGCTTTCTTGAACATTTAGCATGCAGCTTGCATTTACGAACCTATGGTTTGCACGATGTCATTATCAAAGAAGGAGAACAGGCCAAAGCCATGTTCTTCCTGCTTAGGGGATCGGTCGACGTGTGTTCAGCCGACTTTGAACGTATCTATGCCACACTGCCAAAAGGCTCATGCTTTGGTGAAATCGGCATTCTCTTTTCCATGCCGCGCACAGCGACCGTGATTGCTCGTGAGAAATGTACCGTCGCCGCACTCACGGCTGAAGAAGTCGCTTCCATTCTACCTCACTATCCAGACGTCGAAAAAGTGCTGCGTTTTGAAGCCGAAGAACGTCTCGCCATGCTCAACAAAAGTTTAACCATCTCGCCAAGAGGGCCCACCATTCGTCGACCCAGCGCCGAATGTAATGTCGAAGCTTTTCACGCCACTGGTGCAAGAGATCACTTGCAAAAGGTAAGAACGAATTACTTTTAACAACCGTATCACAGATCAAACTCATTAATGTTGTCATGGAAAAAAAAGATATCATATTTTAAAGACTGCCCCGAGGACTTTTTGCATGCTATTTCTTTAATGGTGGAACCCCGTTGCTACATTCCTCGATCCATGATTATTCGCAAAGGCGATCAAGGCACCGAATTATACTTCATTATTACCGGTAAAGAAGAAAACACTAGCGTCTTGCACCAGTGGATGGTGGTGGTGATTGTTTTGCATGACAATGGATTACTGATAGGTTTCAACAAATTTTAGGTACGGTGGAAGTGACGACATGGATGAGCGATCAATCTGGACGCAAGACATGCATTGCACGGTTGGGTCCGGGGGACTATTTTGGTGAAATTGGCATCTTACTGAATGTGCCACGTACGGCGACCGTGAACGCCATCACATCCGTGGAAGTCTATGTATTGAAACGAGAAGACTTCCTCAAAGTATGTTACCGTTATCCGGATCTATTACATCATTTTGAAGCACTGGCACAAGACACACTCAAAGATTTGGAGGAAAAGGTAAAAGATTGCCCGTGGTCGTGTGATCGTTACACAGCGTTATCCTGTTTTGGCCTGTCTAATGCAGAATGGGTGATTGTAGGTTCAGTCTCATGCAGAGAACGATGTAGATACAGTCACTGGTACGTCGTTACGATTATTTTTGACCCTTGTTTTCTCCACTCCTTCCTTTTTTTCGTCTTATTTAGTCAAAACCTTATTTTCCCAACCGGATGCTCATTCTATTTTCTTTTTTCTTTTTCTAGAGGGATCGGAGTTTGTCCCGGTTCAAGAACAAACGTATGGTGCCCCTCTCGTACCAATTCAAGCAAGCTCGGTATGCAGTACGACCAGTGACATTGATCCAACCTTGCTTCCGACCGCCACCAATGTTTTGCGCGATAAAGAAAATCGGAAACGACGGGCTAGCGTGGCGGTGTGGGCGGATCCACAATTGTTGGCGGTGGCCAATAAATCTCGCATTACCGTGTCACCTGTCGATCAGTTGTCTCCCAAAGGATCGCCAAAATCGCGTCCCTCCGGTGTCGCCATGGACACGATGGACATGACTCAAGAAGAATTTCCACCAAGTGGACAAAAAGAACCTTTCATGGGCCTCAGCGATGATTGTTTAATACGCATTGTGAGACATTTGGATTTACGGAGCGTTTTGCAATTATTGAAAGCATCGCGTAATCTTCGACGACTTCCTGAACGGATCAATGTATTCTCGGTGGTCGATCTTGCCCCATTCAACCGAAAAGTCACCGACGATAGCGTGGTAGAAATGGCGCATCTGTTCAAGGATCAGTTTACGGAACTGTCACTGGGGCAATGTTTTCATCTGAGTGACACAGGCTTGGCCACGTTGGTGGCTCATGCCTCGAATTTGCAGTCACTGGATCTTAATTCATGCTGGCTACTGACGGATCAAAGCTTAACCTTGCTGGCCGCCAGTTGTCCCTTGCTGACGAAACTGGATTTGTCCAACTGTCGAAAGATCACCAATCATGGGTTATTGACGTGGCTGGAAAAAAAGGCGGAGCGACGATTTGGAGGATTGATAGATTTGACGCTATCTTACTGCAAGAATCTGACGGATTTAACCATGGGGGCTTTGGTCGAGTTTTCAAATACCACCCTACGAAGCCTCAACCTCCAACGATGTACCAAGATCACCGACGAAGGTTTTCGCTCATGGAATATTACCGTGTTTCCTGCGCTGGAAGAAATAGTCTTGACCGATTGCAGTTTTCTCACCGACGAAGCGATTGCTAACCTTGTTGCGGCTGCGCCTAATCTACGACGATTATCCATCAGTTTCTGTTGTGCGCTCAGTGATACTGCCATTGAGGAAGTGGCGAAACTACAATGGCTCGAAGTGTTGGACGCCAGTTTCTGCGGTGCAGCTGTATCGGATGCGTCCGTGCACACGCTGTTTGATCGACGCAAAGACACATTGACCGAATTGAATATTCGAGGGTGTGTACGCATCACAGATGCTCTACTCTCTTTCATCTTGGATGCTAAACATTTACGGTATCTGAACATCAGTCAGTGCCCTGCCATTGGCCAAGACACCAAACATTTTCTTCAAGACACTATGAGCGATCTTCATCTCACTATTTAAAACATTGATTTCGTAGCTGCAGTAATTTTTTTTCTCTAACTCATTCATTTTTTTTCTTCTTTTGCTTTTATCGCCCGTTTTCGTTCTTTCACATCACACGCAAATTACCATTCAATAAAACAAATGACATTCCACCTTTTGATCATGATTTGTTGAAAAAAAATTACAATTGTCCTGATACCATTCCATGCTCTATATTGGATTGTTGCAGCTTTTTTCTAAAACAAAAGAGGGAAACTATGATGAAATATCCGTTTAACGAAGACTTGCCAGGTTCAATGGGAAAGCTGTATAAAAAAATCATTTTCATGAGATTCCTTTTACTTTTTTTATCCATCATGTCAAGAAGTTTTTTTTTTTTTTTTTTTTTTTTTTTTAGATTGAAATCTTACCGTTGCCTTTAGTTTCACCACTGGGATAGATTCGCTTTATGTGAGATCGATAGGATCGCGGGGATGGTAGTTCAGACATAGATCGGAATGTGTAACGACCTCCTCCTTCGGTACGCGGCGGTTCTGCTTTCACGGATGTATTGGTGTCAGTATGGTTCATGCCTTGTCGGAACCCACTGACGGGGGGTGTTGCTCGCAACGTCGGCGATCTAGAGGATAGCTGTGGAGGAGGTGGTGGAGGTGGTAGATTAGCTCGTCGAGGTGCTGGTGGCAAAGGTGATCTTGGAGGTGTGGCTAATCCTGCTCTCGGTGGAGTAGGAGCAGCAGGGGCACGATGAGAAGGACTAGGCGTCATTCCCGGCATAGGTGGTGGTGGTGGCGGCGGCGGTGGTGGAGGTGGTGATGATGATGGTCCGGATGCTGCCGGAGATGCCGGAGATCCTGCAGCCGACGCAGATCGCGGTCTACCTGGTGGTAAAGGCGGTGGAACGGCCAATTTATTGGTTTTATTGGCATGCATGGATGGTGGCGTAGGAGGCACAACGTGTGATGGGCTCGAACGTCCCGGCATGGACGGAATACTGGGTGGCTGTCGTGCAGGACTAGCCGGTGATGTAGGTACAGCCCTCACAGGCGGAGGTGGTACAGGTCGTTGAGGTGAACTGTTGGAGCGAGACCGTCCAGGTAAAGAAGGAACCAAAGTTGATTTAATCGCTGGTGAAATGCCTGAAGGTACAGGTGCTGATGGAGCTGGTGGTGGAGGTGGTGGAGGTGGTGGAGGTGGTGGCGGTGCACCTCCTGTCGAAGGCGCCGGTGGAGCTGGAGGCGGTGGTGGAGGTGGAGGTGCAGCAGGTGGTGCGCCTGCCGATGGAGCTGATGGGGTCATACGTCCTGGAACGGGTGGAGGGGCTTTGAAGGATCTTGGTAATGTTTGATGACCTCCACCATGAGAGGACGGCTTATTGAAAACGGGTGGTCGAGATAATCCACCTGAAGGGGCGGACGGTATCGATGGAGCAGCAGGTGCTAATTAACACAATACCAAAAAAAAAAAAAAAAAAAAAAAAAAAAAAAAAAAAAATGGTGAATACACATCATTGATATTCCTTTTCGTCCTCCCCAAGTTCCAATCAAGCTTTCAAATTACCTGATGGTGCTTGTCGGCCGGTATCCACAGCGGCTCCTCGCGTTTTTTTCAATGTTGGCATGCCGCCTGCAAACAATCCTCCCAGTTGTGGTGCTCCGCCGCCTAGCCCTCCCGAACTCGGCCCTCCAGTTGGTCCTGTTGTCGACCCTCCAGTTGAAGAAGGGCCACCCATACCCGGAATAGGCGGTCGAGCCATTCCGCCCGCGGATGGGGCACTGTTTTTTGGTGCTAAAGCATCATGACTGGTGAGACGTCTTTTGACGTCAACGTCCAAGCGGGATGAAGTCATTTACCTGATATCAATGGCGCGGAACGATCGTTCGTCACGGCTTTTTTCAGCTTTTTTCCTTGCTGAATCTGGGACAATAGACCAGAATCCATCTTTATACAATCTGTGGATGACGAAAGAAGCCAAAAAGAAAAAGGAAAAGAAAAAGCCAAGAAGAAAGAAGACCCGATTTGGGAATCTCGTGCTGTGGTTGCTCGGGGTTGGGAATAACGTGACTTGCAGATTTTTCATCTCGGGGTCCCCCCAATTTTGGGCTCCACGTCCGTCCATGCTCAGCCATGCTCCCTTGCAAAACAATGAGTCTAGTCGTTACATTAAGACATAGTCATTAACGGAAAAGCATAGCTACATCCATCTTAAGAGTACCAAAAAATCGGCATCCGTGGTAATCTGAAAATTAAGATGCATGCATCGTTTTTGCGGTTCTTTATTTCTTGGCCAATCAGACAGCGGTGATACAGGAATGAAGTACAGAGAAACCCCTCGGGTCCATCCTTTCTGTTTCTGTTTCCCCGTTTCTGGTATAGGAAAGTATGCCATCTGACAATCAGTCCAAGTCAGCTCCGTTTAATTTCAAGGTAAACGACTGATCAGCTTGGGTAAAACTATCACCAAGACTCGGGACAATTGGCTGAACTGTATCATTTTTTAAAGGATCTTCGGTTTGCTTGGTTTGTGGGCCACGCAACCGTCCTCCTATGCACGCTCTTTTACTACCTTTCGGTCATTGTATTGCATCGGTGCACCTTTTTCTACCGATTAGCTTATGTTGCGGCTATCCTTTCTTATTCCATCATTTTATATCATGCCTATAAGGTAAGTTTCTGTTTCCGTTATTTTTGGATGGATTTGCCTTAATAAATCGGGTATCCTGCGCCATTCTTTTTTTTTCTTCTTTTTTTTTTTTTTTTTGCTCTTTTATATTCAGCCGAGCAAAGCCCATGAGCCTTTCGTGAAACGAATTCTGCTGGATGAGAATTTCCAATATTGTTCATTGGCTGTTTATTTCCTGGTTTCAAGACGCGTATCAAGTAAGTTGGCAAGGTGACCAGGAAACGAACGCGCGTTATTCAATCTTTTGGGATCATCTAGTTTCCCTTTTGCCATTCGCTATTTATGCTGTTTTTCACACGGCCGATTACACGCGAACGGTGTTACTGCCTGCTTTTGCACCTCAGAACACGCAGCTTCAGGAGCAGCTTAAATCGGTGACGAGCCGTTTTCGAAATCAAGCCATGGATTACGTGAGCAAGGTCGAAGTGTTTGGTGTATTTGCCCGACTGTTACTGGGTCTATTTGTGTAAGTGGATTGGACGGCGATTGCGTGTTTATGCTTGATAATTTACGGGTGAGGATGATTAGACTTCGTTCCACGGTGTTTTCTATTTTATTTTACCTTCACTTCTTGCGTATGCGGTATTACATGTCACCACAGATGCGCAAGACATTAACGGGTATTTATACGCGCGTGGATGCGTTCTTGCTGCCTCCGACCGCGCATTCCAAAGTCCCACCGGCAGTATCGAAAGCTTACTCCACCGTTAAATCCATTCTGTGTCAATCCAAGCCAAACCCTTCTCCTTCCACGCATCAGTAAAGCAGCCACCCATCCCGTATCCGTTCATGCCAAAAAAGTAGACGTGAACGAGAACTATGATTAAATGCCAACTCAAAACAAAAAAGATGATAATAGAATCGATCGATTATCCGTGTTTCGCTGCATATAAAAAAAGATGGAGAATGGATATGATATTGACTGGGTCAGCAAACTGTCAAATTGCATTTTGACAGTCTCATTCAAGAGTGTTTGTTATTATTTTTTCCTCTTATCAGATCGTTAGGTTCAAAAGAGAAAAAATAAAAAAAATAAAAATCCTGTCAATTTTTACTTGTACTTTTTGTTGACTTTTGCCATCTCGCCACATATTGCAAAATGTTTACATGAATGTAAGCTCCATACAACAATTCCGTGTTGTTTTCACTATATTCACATTTACTTATTCTATATTCAATGTGAGTCTGGATCAGTCGAATGAAGTGTGTGTTTTGGAAGGCTTTTGACCAGGTGTTTGCTGCAGGACAGAGAATATGAGTGGATAACACAAAAAGCATGAAAAAAAGTGGCGGAGCGTCGTTTCAATTTCCGACAAACTGATTGCGTCACTTGGGAGCTACTAAATGTCGGATTTGGGACACAGCTGGAAAAGAAAAAAATTGCTGGGAAAAAAAAAAGAACTTGGAGCAGTCAAAATACGCAAGAGAAAAAAAAATTCGCAGCTGACTTGTATTCGAAAAGCAGGTGGAAGGTTTTAGAACGAAAGAGAGCCCCGGTGTGCTTCGTTGCGTTTAGGAAAAAAAAAAAAAGGCAAAAGAACGATACCTCAGCAAGTGCTACTTCAAAAAGAAGAGAGAGAAGAAAAACAGACCTGCTTAGAGGTAAACGGGTGTTGAACAATAACGTTGAGTTTTATTGTAAACAAGACTAACGGATATCCTTATTTGCTGCACATACTCCTTTTAGACAACCCCACCATATTTTTGTCGTCTTCGTCTCTGTGCAACACCCTAAAAAGCCCAAAACGCTCATCCACAGGAGATCAAACGCACTCATCAGGTTGCGATGGAGAACTGGACATTGCGGGACAACAATGATTCAGGTGTTGGAACCGCAGTTGATAACGTACAGCTCTTTTGGAAACTTCAAGCTCTAGAATCACTAGGCTTGACTGAAGACGACCAAAGTACAAGACCCCAGGAGTTTCACTTCAATGCCGACGCCAACGACATGTCCGACGACGACTTTCATCAGGAAGTGGATAAACTGTTTCGTCAAAGTCTAGCCATACAACAAGGTTCGCCTTTTTTCTGTTAACTTGTCTTCAGCGGGGTGGACCGCTTGGACTTTTTGTGCAATTCTTTTTTATTAACCTGTTTATCCCTTGGTGTGTGGTGGTATGTTACTATAGATTGTCATGATATCAAACCTTCTCCTTCTCACAATACCATTAATGCATCCTCCACACCTGCTTTGAACGACACGTTCGGTTACAATGCTTCCATGGATCCCGCCGCCGATATTCATCGGGTGCGGTCCTACACAGACAATGTCCCGTCTCGGAAACGGTCACGTACACCCATAGACCAGCAGGATCCATCAAGGTCAAAACAACAACGACTTGTCCACCAAGATATCAACGAGAATTCCGCCGAATTCGATCCGTATGAACTTTTGAAAGCGTTCAATGAATCGTCACCCATGGATATCGGCACCACGGCAACCTCACCTGACATAACAACGGATTCATTACTCTTTTCATCCATACCACCCGCTTCCAAAGTCCCGGCTACCACGGCGACGGCGATCCCGGTGACCACCGCTTCATCTTATCCTTCGCTATCTTCCCAGCATGCTTACACGAATCGAACCAAGGCACCCGTCGCATTACCTATCTATCCTGGCACACCTATTGAGTCCATGTCCACCACCCCATCGTCCTATTCGGTTCCAGTCATTTCATCGTCATCACAAAGGTCGTCACAACCATCGGCATCAGCCAAACCCAGTCGCTCGCTGACTCACAACAACGCATCCCAGTCCAAATCTGTCGTACAGAGACCTCAACTACGTGTCCATTTATCCAAAGGGTCGTCATCGCCCTCTGCCAGCTCACCTAGTCAAATGTACGCCGTCAATCCATTGTTATTTGAAGAGTCCAAAGAACCCATGAAACCAACACTGGATGTCAACAATCTGCGACGATTAACGGTCGCTACTTTACGGACCCTGGGTGTGCAGATGCCAATCGAGGAATTGCCTGTGGTGACAATAGGGGAACCGGATGCAACCGATTCCGAGCAGGTATTGCCGGCGGCGGCAATGCAAGTAATTACGGCCATGATATTGGGTACCTCGGGGGATAAGGATGTATCGCAAACCCTGGGATCACAAATCTCGAATGGCGATCTGGTCGCACTCCAGCGAATGATCGTGGAAGGACTTCGAAGCAAGAACATTGTCATTCATACCATTCCATCCATTCGACAGTCCTCCGCCTCAAAGGAAGAAGAGGAAGCACCGAAGCAACAAGTTACATCTTCTTTGGCGGATTCGAATGCCAACCCTTACAACACCGTGGATCTGTCATTTGTTAAGTACGATCCACCGACCAACGTGACGCGGCTTTTTCTGCGACTATACCGATTTATTATCAATATGCTTTTATCCACCCCCGATTGCTGGCCCTTTATTCAACCTGTACCGGAAACCGCGATTGTGTATCATCAGGAGGTTACCCATCCTATGGATTTGTGGACCATTGAACAAAATGTGTGGAAGGGCAAATACACCCATTTTGCGAAATTTGAGCACGATATGCAGCTGGTATGGAAGAATGCCAAAGCGTTTCACCGCAATGCAGGCACCATCCCGAAGCATGCCGAAAACCTGGAAGCGCTGTTTTACAAGATTGTCATGGATCTAAAGAAACAAATACGGTAAAGTCCCCGCATTTTTCTCCTCCCCATCTCTGACTTTTTGTGGTCTCTTGCAGATGTGGCATTAGTAACGAACTGATATCCTTACTATTTAGTAAACCTCAATTTTCTGGTTCCTCTAGTGATTTTCGATTTGACACGTCCTTGGCCTTGCCCGAAGAATCTGATTTCACCTATCCCCCCATGCGCCAAGTGTTTTCAAAGCAAAGGTATGAAAGATGACTCTCTCCAAGTTGCAAGTAGACGATGGGAATGGGTCCCTTATTAATCGGATATATTCTTATTAGTACGGTGTATGCGATTTGCGCAATATCACCTTTTGAACCCAAGGCGCGAAAACCGAAAGGATTAACGCACGAAAAGCAACTATACCTTCAACTCAACGGCCCCTTTTTTCAGGCAGTGGAGAAGATGAAAGAATCACCTACAGGCAACCATTCCCCTGTGCCTCGATTCTACATTGCGAAGAATCGAACGCTGCTGCGTCAAGTGAGAGCGCAAGGCGTATTGGCGATCTTTTACAATACGAAAGCGAATCGATCTCGGTCCAAAAAATTTCAGATCGAGACAGACATGATTCTGGCGTATCCTGCGAGCGAACTTTTTGATATTGATCAAATGAACGTATGCACGGACAACTTTGCGCCCAAAGGCTGGATCCATCTACGGCCACTGAAAGTGATGGAGCACTTGGTGTTTGATGTGAATGACACCATTGAACGTGACTATTTCCGACGTATGTTTGCCACCTCCAAATTCACCGTGATGGAGGATAAATCGGGACAGGAACTCGATGATACCAAACGGTTTATCAAAAACATTGTGCGTACTATTCTTAATCTTCCGGAAACCGAAGATCTACCAGGCACCATGACGAAGCAGTTGGTGAAACGCGAAGTCACAACCCCCGATAAAGACGCCAAGTCTCACCACACCGCCGCGCACTCGGAAAAGTCGAAACAGGCCAAAACCACCGCCGTCACTCTCCCCAGTCCCGCCGAGCCATCATCCAGTCCTTCCGCGGAAAAAATGACAACAACAGCAGAGGCGCCGGTGGTGAAAAAGGAATCTGAGCATTTGGAGAAAACGAGTCCCGAAACCAAGCGAGCCATACCCCAAGAAATATCGCATGATGTATGGAAAAGACTGTTTAATGGTAAGTTTGGGACTAGGAGTGTGAAAGCAGCATGTGGATTAATCGGTGGATGATGGCTATAGTATGCACTAGCAAAGGTTGTCACGTTCAGAATATTCATGAAAAATATGGTCATTTGAATTGGAGCTCGCCCAATTCCGAAGGGTTTTTCAAGCAAGTGTACTTTTTGGAAGACGTGGTTGTGCAGACTTTCCGTCAAATGACCATGTATCAACGTATCACCGAAGTGGCGTGCCTCATGTAAGTGATCTGGGTTGACGACATGACACGTGCGCGTAGTGCTCGATATTTATCAGTTTTTTCTCTATCTTAGGAAACTGAAAAATCTTCCTCACATGGCCCAAATGCGCGAAGTCTTGTTTAACGACAGTGGTGATGTAGCCGGACTTTCCATGGAAAGGTAAAATTGATATACCAAAAAAAAAAAAAAAAAAAAAAAAAAAAGCAATACAATGGAAAAGGAAAAAATTAATTGACATTTTCAAATAATAGATACCAAACGACGTTGAAACAGTATACACACGTCCATTCGCATCATCGATTATCAGCGTATCAGAAATATGAAATCATCTATCAGATCATGGTGTGCATGAAAACGATCCATGAAGCCGGTCTGGCTCATCGCGATTTGTCCGAAGTCAACATCATGGTGAACACCATTGATGGCCAGCTAGAGGATGGCAGTTCCAAGATCTGTTTGTATCTCATTGACTTTGGCAAAGCCGTATTTTGTGAAGCGCATGATGTGCGTGAATGGTTTGTTGATGTGCCACGCGCCGCTTGGGAGTACGATGGTGATGTGGTTCCCGAATCCAAAGAAGAACTCGATACGTGGTGTGATACCCTTCCCTGGGTGAAAGGAAAACCTGATCATGGTTATCGCATGTACAGGTAAGCCATTTCGCACGCCAGAATTTCAGTGGGGAGAGGGGCATCAGTTCTTAATCGTATCTTGTTTATTCATTCTCTTTTTTTTTGCATCACGTGTTTGTTTGTTTTGTAGATCCATTCAGACATTACCGAAAACGCGTTCGGATAATCAAGTGTTACCATGGCTAATCCATCCGCAGGCTGAAGATATTTACTCGATTGGTGTAATGATGTGGAAAGTGTTTGCCGAGACCGAACCATGGCGTGGCATTTTGGATACGGACTTGCAAGGCTTGCGTTACGTGGCGGAAGACGATTATCGTATTCAACGAGCTTTGGAACGAGAAGTGCATGGCGAGTTGAGCCGTCAATTGTTATTAAAGTGTCTGAAAACGCGACCGCAAGACCGTGCGACGGCCTCGGAAATCCTGGATTGGTTGAAACAGGACGACATCAAGACCGGGTTACTGAACGAATGGAAAATGTATTCTTCGGAAACTCGGGCAACGCGTAAAGCGAAAAGTATGTACGGATTTGAGGAACCGGAAGAGGAAGATCGACGAAGAAAAGTGCGTAAATCTACACCTTCGGGCGGAACGGGCCGAGGCCGTGGTCGACCGAGAACCAAGAATGCGCCTCCCGTTAAACAGCCCGTGATTCACTTACCTGCCTTGACCGGGATTCCCTTGCAATCACCCAAATCCAACAATAATTCATCCACCCCGCCGCCGCCGCCGCCACCTCCACCTGTGGCTAGACCCCCGGCTGTCGCCACGGCAGCCCACCATGCATCCAACCCCTCCAACCCCTCTTCTTCTTCATCACTATCTGCAGCGATGAGTCGGTCTATTCTTTTGCATTCTCGTCCACCGTCGTCCTACATGTAGCATTTTTTCTTTCTTTTTTTTTGGTAATATTTTAGCTGTTCTACGTTGATCGTATCTACAGTTGTCTTTTCTCCCCAACGTTTAGCATGCTTGCCAATACCTACACTTCCCTGTATATACACTGTCAAAAAATTTTGTAATCCCGATAAATTTGTTGACTTCCCTAATGTCTTTTTCATCTTTTAGTTCATTTTTCTCGGGAAATGAAGAAATAATATTAAAATAAATGGCAAGGAAGCGAAAATCATGACTTGATCTTTTATTGGCGGGAGTGAGGGCAGGATCTCCTCATATATATTTGATCTTATAGAATACCTGCGTCATCCTGATGGGCAAATGCGCTGAAACTGACGACTTTGTTCATCAACGAGAAGAGGCCATCTTCATGGGGATGACTTCTATTTCGATAAAATGTATAATACGAGTTAAAAAGACAGTTTAACGAGCCATGCATTACGTCTGTAGCAAAGTTTATGTGCACCTCTGTATCCGACCAGCCGATATATGAACACTTGAGAATAAAGATTTCTCTCTAACATTATCAGAGACCTACTTCATGCAGCTATTTCATGCGATGAGTCCACCTTCTTTATCAACGGATAAATATGAAGTGAAGCAATGAGAGCGTCTTTTTCCTGCTTCATTATTGGACATTAAAGGTTTTCAGCTACAGTACGAGGGATCGCCTCTTTTTTCATGTCTATAAAAGACGACGCATCTTCCACCCATTTTATTTCCTCTTCATCGCACATCTATTTTCTTTTTTCTTGCGCAAAACTATACATCTATCGCGATATATTTTTCATTGCTTATTCTTATCCACATTGCTCAAATCAACTATCCTGTACGTATACTCATGATGACTACAACTGTGCTATCAACGACTGAACCTCCACAAAATAGCTCAAGTGGCCTTTCTTTTTTGAATGTTATGCTGAATCACTCACTTGCTTTGTGTGCTTTTACTGTGTAGTTTAAATAACTGACGAACAAAGCCCATGCCTTGGTGGTGTGCGGTGGCGGCTCCCACAGTGTGGTGACGACAGTTTTTTTGTAAGTGAAAACAAGGAAGAGTAAGTGTGGCTTGTCCTAATGCATCCGTCTTTTTTTTGTATGTCTTTGTCCTTTGGTTTTCTCTCTTTTTTGATTACTTAAAACAACAACTACCTTGCCTCTTCTAAAATTTTATTTGTAAAATTTTTACCGAGATTTTTTCAATCAAAACTGGATATATACTGCTCCTTCTTCTCTTTTTTTTCTTTTTTTTTTTTTAGAAAAGTTATTTTATCTGCGTTCACACATGACGACTATAAAGTTAATGGAATGTTTTCAAAAGAAAACGTTCTGCATTTTCCGCACTGTCTTTATCGATCTATTTTGTGAGCGAGCATTGTCAAAAGGAAACAAATTTCGATATTGGCGGTACTTGAATATGATTGCTTTCATTTTTTGTTTCGAACGATCAGGAAAAACCATCCGACCGCCTTCCTTTTTTTGCCATTGACGATCTTGCATGGCCGACCAATCGTCACGTCCGCTACGCCGATCGGCTCGACAAAGAAAACCAGTCAGCTATGGAGATACAGAAGTTTACGAAATAGCGCCCAAGAGCACAACGGCTACAACAAGTACCAGATCCAGCAAGGCGCATGGTTCGAAAGGTTCAAAAGTTACCACACGTACCACGCGGAAGAGAAAAACGGCCGATGTAAACGTCGACACTAACCTTGTAGGCGACTCATTACAAGCAGAATCTACAACAACACGTACAACGCGAAAGAGGAAAGCACCCGATTCGGAAGATTCAAAAGTTACCACAACACGTACAACCCGAAAGAGAAAAGCAGCCGATGCAAACGACGACATTAATCTTGTAGGCAAATCCCCACAAGCAGAATCCTCCATCGGCACGGCTATTGCAGCCAACCCAAGGAGAAGTCGCCGTGTTTGTGCTTCAAAAAAAAATGCCCAACAGAAGGAAGAGCAGGAACAGCCGAAAAAGCCCACGAAACGACAGGGAACTAGAAAGGCGACCGAACCTATTGTCGAAGAACCTGCACAAGTAGTAACATCTACTGACGCAGTCACCTTAAACAGCCCAAGAACACGTCGAAAGGGTCATCGTGACCTCAAGGAGGCCGCTGATAAAAAGAAGCCAAGCCAGCAGAAACCGAAAGATCAGAAACAACCCAATCGAAAGCAGCAACCGAAAAAGCAGAAGGATTTGGAGAGAAACCGGAATCAGCAGCAGGAGGTTTTGGAGAGGAACCAGGATCAGCAACAGGAGAACTTGGAGCGGAACTTGAATCAGCAGCAGGAGGATTTGGAGGATCAATTAGAAGAAGATGATGAAGAGGAGCAGGTGGAAGAAGATGCATCTGAACCGGAAGAGTCAGCGGCGTCGTTCCCGACGCATATTGCTGAATTCTTGTCACGTCAAGGTGTACCTGTGGATACGGGTGCCCATGCTTTGGAAACTGTTGTGGACCTTCGGGATTCAGGTCGTATTACTGCGTTTGATGGAAATCAGTTGATGATTCAAGAAGCACTCCGGTTAAACGAAGCGATGCAGCAAGAAGCAGAAGCTCAATTGGCTTGGATCGATGAACGTCTGAAGATGAATGAAACGTTATCTGTAAGGGAATTCATTGACGTGTCCAAAACATGCGGACTGATCGATCGGGTTAAATTCATTAGAAAACCGTGCGTGAATTCGCAGTACGTGAAACGGTGGCGAACCGAAAACGAGCTGAAATCCATAAAAAATACCCCATCCAATACCAACCCTTTGTTGACCAACAGGGCCAGGTAAAGACTTTTTCTTTGTACAGCGAAATCGAAATGAGGCCTTTTCGGTCGAATTAAGATTTTATTATTAGACTCCCTTTGATTCCCTTGACTTGGAAGAAGATAGCGACGATCAAACAGCTTACCGTACCTCAAAATCACGACCCTGTAAGTCAAGTGCACATGCATGCAATCAACAGAAAAAAATCATTAACGAGGAACCATGCAACCAGGGAACATGAAAGAACGCAAAGCTCTCTTGGGAGCCATTCACACGGAAGCTCGACGTAACATGGCTTTAGAATTTATGGCACGGTAGGTGTCTGTGTACATGACCTTTTTTTATTGTTGAGGATGGATCATCTAACATTGTGCTCGTGTTTCTTGGAATCGTATAGAGGAGATCATCGAAAAATTCTCGATCTGGAGCAAATTGAAGATTCTGTATTAGAAAAATGCGCCGTTAATATGTTTGACTGGCAGCGTATTAGCTCGCTTTACGTAAGTCGGGGTGTTTTCTCTATGACCGTGTCAAACCCTCCTACTCACGCAAATTGAATTGCATGAATAATGTCTTCTAGGTCAAGTCACGTACAGCCACGGAATGTCGAATCCAGTGGACTACGCAAGATCATCCCACTATTAATAAAACTCCGTGGAGCCGAGATGAAACGCAAAAGATGGATGCATTAGTCGAAAAGCATGGATATGAAGGGCAATGGGAAACCATTGCTGTGGAACTGGGAACCAACCGCACTGCTGCGCAGTGCTTTGCTCATTATCAAGCTCAAAAGAACGTGGGCGCCTCCAAAAGGAAATGGACACCAGAAGATGACGAAACCCTGCGAGAAGCGGTGGATGTATTTGGCGAACGCAATTGGCAGCAAGTGGCGGTGCGTGTAGGAGGACGAACAGGACAGCAGTGTCTCCAACGATGGACCAAATGCGTCAATCCTGCGATTCGGCGCCATAGATGGGAAAAAGAAGAAGACGATGCATTGCGAGCGGCGGTCAATGTGTATGGCGTAGGTAACTGGAGAATCATCCAACGTCATATTCCGGGAAGAACCGATATGCAATGTCGTGAACGTTGGGTCAACTGTCTCGATCCAAACCTGGACTTTACGCCATTCAATGAAGAGGTGGGGTTTCCTCGGGGAACATTTGTTCCCATGCTTGAAAATTTCCGTGCACTCATAGAAGGCAATCATATCACATTCATGTAGGAAATACAACGTTTAAAGGAATTATATGCTATTCACGGACGCAAATGGTCGCTTCTTGCCGAATACTTTCCGGGCCATACCGATAATCAAGTGCTGCGCGAATGGAAAGCCATCGAAAGAGGAAGCAGGCGTAAAAAGCAGGGAGACAAGTCTTCGGTATCTTCCGCCGACCCCCAAGATCCACCCGCGTCTCTGTAATGCTACGCACCAGCCGGTTGCAATAGAGCGAAACGCTTTATTTCTGAAGAAAAACAGTACTCTTCATTCGAATGCTGTAAATTTTAAACGATACCCCAGTCGAGACAGACCCATTTTTGCTTTTCCCTTTTATTATGCTCCTTGTTCAAGCGCGTAATGGAACCTGACGTTGGATGACGGCCGCCTTCTTCGCTTTAACATGTAATCGCCCACTCCTTACGCCGGAACCATTCATGAACAAAACGCACTATTTCAAGCATTGATGCTGACTCTCCCTTGAGAACTCTTGAATATTGGCCAACAATAACAAGAAATAGTTTATGGCAGGACCATTGTTATTTCTGGACACTTATCTCCGTGTATGAGCAAAATAAAACCAAGGCGCATCCGACTTTACAAGGTAACGTAATCATTTCTTTTTCTTGTATTGGTTCCCATTCTCATCTGCTGAGTGTAACTAGAAAGCATCTGATATCACTCTCGCCCACGCTCGTCCGAGAAATATCGACCCAAGCAAATCGCCTTTTGGCTTTTCTTTTCATCTCCCCGCCAAGTCGATCCACCTATTCCTTCATCACCACAATAAAATGGAAAGATTCCATTTTTGATTGAATAAGCCTGAGGTAGTCTACTGTATGTGGTATCAAGTCATAATGCAGTGACGGACTATATCTTTTTTCCAGACACTCTAGCAACGCGTACGAGTCGAAATTCCATCGCAGTCAAGCTTTTTTTTTAAAATTCCTAATTCGTAAAAAATTCACGCCCTGAAAGTGCATAACATTATAGGTGCAAACTCGAACTTTAAAATCATCCCGGGAAGCACAAAAATTGATGCCTAAATCGAATTATTTCAACATCGAACCGTATCTATCATGCTTTGCTAAGATTCATTGAATCAAACGCACAACGGCAGCATTTTAATCGATCACAAACGACCCAATCTGTTTGTGATCGCACAGAGGAGCGGAGACGGACATCTCAATTATTTCAAGAGGAGATCACACTAAGTCCTGCAGTTCAGCCAGTTTATGCGAAAACTTTAGCACATCGTAAATGGGAGAAATCGAGCTACAGGTACTGTTACTGCGTTGATGCACGCTTACATATGTGCAGGCATATATTTGACGTAGACCTTCAAGAAGAATTCTTTTGCGGACATGCTCACATGCCTTGGTCATTCACTGCGCTCTCTGTGATCTGTCGCCATTGCAACACTGCGCACTAAAACTGACACCCTGGTGTCGTGAGTAATACATGAGCATTTTATTGTCGCAGCAATATTGAATACACTGGTTTCAGACGAAACAAAACTGATACAAAGGGGCAGGGCAAAGTAGGCGAAGTTTCTAACATACAACAAAAAAAAAAAGAGAGTGCGTAAAGTCTGCATCATGTCGCATCATTTCAACTATAGGCTTTACTGCAAGTTATAGAGTGACTGTGATGCACATGGGTTGCTGATGGCAGCATGAGCGAGGTGGCGCAGCCCCTCTTTGGATCGCTTACGCGAAAGAAGTGTGAGGTGTTGAATTTCGCGAGTTTTGTTGCGAGAATCCGTCCAATGAGGTGCATTCGCGGTCATAAAACGGGGTCACAAATGAAGGTCAGCAAAAGATATAAAAAGAGGGCGTTTTTCCTCATTTTTTTTTTTCTTTTGTGCGCCAGTTCGGAATCAGGGGCTGCTAGGCTGGTGGTTACTGGTAATGATGAACGCTCCGGTTTTTGGTAAAGCATTCGGGGTATGGCGAAAAATCCGAAAACCATCTTCTAATGATAGGATTGGCCATCCTTTGAAGAGATTGTTTTCGTTCCCGTCGGCTCTTCCCTTTGGGCGCCTGACTAGCCATCAGCGCGCTCACTGTGGAAGGGATGTCGGTGGGTTTGCTTTTTAATCGCAACAAAGGTAAATGAAAAAAAAAGGCTTTCTGCCTTTATTATTCTTTTCTCAACTCTTTGTGGGTTGAATAATAAAATAAAAAAAGTGAGCTTAATGTCCTGTGGGCGAACTACGCCACTTCATATAAAAAAGAAAAATAAAATGAAAAACTTCGCTTAGAAGAGATACAACAGCATAGACCTCTTTGTTTTATTTGTACATGAATGCTCTATTCAATAAAGACGTCCAGTTAACTCCTCTTGGCCAAAAACCGTCCTCTTTATTCATTTGGTTTGCCTGCCGCAGCGCACTTTCAACCACGCCGATCCATCCACTTGGCTCAGTTAAAGTCAAGTGGGTTATTGTTTGCTCGTTCCAACTGAGGGAAGCCGCTTTTGGCGAGAAAAACAACCGAATCGTAAACCCGCAAACGTGGCGAGCAATGAGGAAGTATGTTGGAGCCATCAGATCAACAGAAACTACCTTTTATAGGTACGTTTTGCTAAATTGTGAAAAAGTAAGTCGAGAGGAGGGGAGTTTTTGTTGAGAAAGATACAGTCAGCCAAGCTTTCCCACATGGCGGCGGTGCTTATCAGCATGGAGACGAAATGCGACATCTCACGTTGTCATTCGCGATGATGGGACTCGCGTGGTCAGCAATGACATTAACAGAACCAACACGGTGGCAAAACGCGAACTGTGGGGTGGTTTACTGCCCTCCAAAAACTTGCACCTGACTGCAAAACAATTATTCTTAAATCGAATATTGATCTCGGAAACCAAAGTTTGCTTTTCGCTCTGTCATGTAATAGATGGCAGGTTAGTTAGCTTGAGGGATAGATTTTCCCAACACACGATATCACCCATCACAGGCCTTTTTGAAATGATTTACTAATTCACGCTCCCGAGTTAGTAACTGATGCCCAAAACGAATTCCCGAATTCTTTGCTTATCAGGATTCATTAAAATGGATAGAGTATATTCCCCAAAATCGAGTATTCCTTAAATCGAGCAGTGACTTTAAGTGGATGAGCTGATGGAAATGAGAGTTGATTGAGGATGTATCCTTGCTTCACTGCTGACTGGAAGTGATATCATCAACATGTGGAAGCCAACCGAAACTGGGCAAATTTTATTAAGGGGATCCTGCTGCGGCGTTTTGATTCGACCGTGGATCACCTTTTTATTGTCGAGGTCATGGCGTGCTCAAACGTCCATTTGTTTTGCTGTATCAGGCAGCTAATTACTGAATGCATTCGATAACGCATGAGCTTCTCAATATTATAGTATGTTTTCTATCGATCGGCCATGATACTTGCACATAACGAAAAATCTCCTAGACTCTGTTTTTGTCCTGGGAAGAATAGTTTTTCACTGCAGGAGGCAGGGATAAGAAGGTTCACATCTTTTTAACATGCAGAAAAGGAGAGCGCATTTGGATTCGCTATAGCCGTCCTCGTTTGAATTGGTTTATCTGAAAAAATAAAAAGGAAAGGGATGATTTTAATGCTCTATGATGAATCTAGAAAAAAATATACATGATGAAAAAATGACAATAAAGTTTATGAAATAATACAGCAAGATTGGGCAGAAGGTTGGTCGGCTCGTCTGTCGTGGCGGTCGTGGCGGGTATAATGAAGGATTGGTTGAGGATCTACAGCTGTTGAAAGGCCCGGCCGTTCGGACTGCATATGGACTGAGGTGACGGGTGTTTGATGCTGGGTCAGCGTACTGCGGTGGGAAGGTGTGCGCATCAAGGTGTTGGAGGAAGAAAATGGTATGGATTCCTGGGGTAACGTGGGTTGAAATCCACTGTCTCGAGAATAATGTCGTTCGTCTACTGTGAAAGCGGGCGAAGGAGGTTGGATATACGGTACATCGACGACTTGTTCAACCTCCGAGTTGTCCTGACCCGACGGTGACGAAACATTGGGTTCCATCTGCACCAGGTCGGTGGCAGTATCGTGATGGTCATCCCCTGTGTTTTCTACTGTCTGTTTTTCCACGGTAGGCACGCTTATTAAACGATTGGGTTCGTTAAAGCGATTGAAAATCATGGAATGCTTACCTTGAATTCGGTGGCGATGGTGGTGAGTGGGTGTTGTTTTCTTTGTCTTGCTTGTTCTCGCAAAGCTTGAATTTTTTGCCGTCGGGCCATGGCTTTATCGACGGCGTCTTGGGCTTCCTGAATCATTAGTCGTTCTCTTTCTTGTTCTTCCCATTGTCGTCTGGCCACTGCAGGCAGAACATGGGTCGGATTGGGTTGCGGAGCCACACTGTTTCTACGATTGGGCGGTGTCGATCGAGCGTGATTAAAATCCTGCAGATCAATGTAGGGCGCGAGTTCGTTTCCTCCAAGTTTCGAATACCGAAGTCGGCCTTTCAGCACATCCTCTTCCTTGTACTCTGCCAAAAATTTCAGGATTCACAGATAACGAAAAAAAAAAAAAAGGAAATATAGGGTGAGTAGAGAAAGAGGTACGGATGAGACGGATGAGGTGGATGAGGCGGAGATCATTTACCACTCGGCAATAACTGAGATTCGGCTGGACACTGGCGTCGGGATAAATCAAAGACTTGGACAATCTAGATGCAGCCAAAAAAAAAAAGTGTAAGATAATGCAGCGTTCTAATTAAGCATGGCATAACAAGAGAGACGTACATTGTTATCACAAAAACGGATTTCAAATGCAGGACCGCGACGAGTCGTCTTGGCCATGGATCGAATTGATAAATAGAAAAATAAGAAAACCGGGTACGAGATGAAAAAAGAAAGAAAAAGAAACAAAAGAAAGAAAGGCTAGTAAAAAGAATACAGAATATGCCCTCCATTGTCATGGTGTTTCCCCCCTTTGAGTTACTTTCTGGTTGGTTTTTTTTGCCAAATGCACATGGCGTTTGAGTATATATGGAAACGAACGCACAATGATCATCTACCAAAACAGGCAAATGTCAAGCCAGTCTCAAAGGTTTCAAATCATGGTGATACAAAAAAGAATCCATATCTTTTTTTTCAGGGGACTTCACTCTTTGTTGCCTTACCATCGTCGGAAATTAAAATATCGGTGGTGTCGGGCCACACAGCTCGCTCGAGTGGCTTTCACCGACAGCTCAAACTTTAAATTTTTTTTTTCTTTTTGATTGAACTCGTTCGGCCTTAGATCCCCGAAATCTGTACACCTTTCTTCCTTTCTTCTTCCACCTAAAATTAACTCGATGGCTGATCACGAAGAAGCACCTCAGTTGAACATCAACTACGACCACTTGGAAGCCGTTCTTTGCAATACGTCAAATGACGTTCCTCTTGCTGAACGATTCCGCGCTCTTTTCACCCTCAAGAATGTGGCCGACGAAAAGTCCATCAACATTATTGCCAAAGGCAAGCTATTATTATTTCTTGGCGCTTATGTGGTGTCTGGGTGTTTTTGGATATGAATACGCTAACACTTGATGCTATTAGCTTTGAGCGACGATTCGGCATTGTTGAAACACGAATTGACTTATTGTTTGGGTCAAATCGGTAATCCTTGTGCGAATCCCATTCTTGTCAAGGTGCTCGAAGATACACAGGAAGATGAAATGGTCCGCCACGAGGTAAGGCATGAGGGCAACAGTGGGAAAAAATGGTTGATGAGCGATGGTTTTTTCATGGCTGAATGTCAACTCTTGCTGACCGAAAAAAAATTCCAGGCTGCGGAAGCATTGGGTGCCATTGGATCTGCAGAATCGCTTCCCGTGTTGGAAAAATTTTTGAAGGATCCTTCCGAGGCCGTGGTGGAAACCTGCGAACTGGCGATTGACAAGATCAAATACGACAACGATCCAAAGACCCAGGCGGAAAGAGAATCCCACAAGAGCGTGTACAACTCTGTCGACCCGGCCCCACCTACCACCGCAACGCGTTCTGTCCAAGAACTTGGTGATCGTCTGTGTGATACCAACTTGTCATTGTTTGAACGATACAGAGCCATGTTTGCTCTCCGTGAAATTGGCACTTCCGAAGCCGTCCTCGCCTTGGCCAAAGGATTGAAGGACAAGAGTGGTAAGGCATCTTTATAGCATTATGGGAACCTGGATTGTATCTCATATTTATTTTTTTCTTGTGTGTGACAGCTTTGTTCCGTCATGAAGTAGCCTATGTGTTTGGTCAATTGCAACATCCGGCCTCGGTACCTGCATTGACCGAGACGTTGATCGACAAGAATGAAGCGCACATGGTGCGTCACGAAGCCGCGGAAGCTTTGGGATCCATTGCTACACCCGAAGTTTTGGAAACATTGCAAAAGTTCAAGGAAGATAATGCACGCGTGGTCCGTGAAAGCTGTGTGGTTGCTTTGGACATGTACGAATATGAAACAAGGTAAGCATCTGTGAAAGAGCGAAAGTGGGATAATCGAAAAGTGTCATCGATACTCATTGCCTGCTTACTCAATTAGTGGTGATTTCCAATATGCAAATGGGTTGGAGAAGGAACCGCAGAACATGCATTCCTTAAAGTTAGCATAGAAAAACCTCGGGCTACTTTCCACCCAAAGCGATCCAGTAATTGATTTATTTTCTGTACTGTACATCACCCGCAGCCTTTCATTGTTTAGAGAAACTTTCATCTATTTAGAAAAAAGAAAAAAAAAAAGAAAAGGCAGAGGGAAATCTAGAAGCATCATCCACCTCCCTTTTGAATCACATTGTACTTTATTTACTATTGTTTTCTAACTCACTCCCTTTCTCTGCCTCCCCCTCCCAACCCCCCAACTCTCACCTCATGTTATATTTACAGTTTATTGTAAAAGGACGACACATATAAACGCTGTATAAACCAAAAATTGACATGCGAAAAAATGAAGCATCATCAGAAAAGTGAAGATGCATGTAATTACAAAAAGAAAGGGAATCCTTCGCGAGCCAATCAACGTCAAGTGATTATAAAATGGTGTCGCTTGATTAAACTGATCGACTTTTTGCATTTTATGGAACTTGTGGCAATCCTTTCATTTGTTGCACAAAAATCCATTAGCGTGGACTCCTAACAAGTTCTTTTCTTTTTTCTTTTTTTCTCTCTTTATCGTTTCCTCTTTTCTTTTTTTTTTTCATTAAAGTACAGTGAACAATACTGGATAAAATGACATTATGCGTTCAATCGGCACCCGGATCACCGGACGAATGGAGTCCTCGTTCCAAAGCGAATTCCACCTCTTCACGAGCGCATTCGTCCACATCGGCATCGAGCCGGTCATTTAGCGCGGCAGGCTACGACGCTATTGCCCGCACCTATTATCACGAGTTGCGCACTTACCTGGCTTCTTTTCTCGCTAAAGGTACAGGGAAAAAACCCCATGGATCGATATATTAAAAAAAAAGCTTGACTTACCAATTTGATGTTGTCGGTGTTCCTTTTTTTGGGTTTCACAGAGGCCGCGGAAGGACCGCATCCTCAACGAGTGGCTGCACGTCAAAAATTAGCTCGATTGCATAATCACCAGTTTCACGAATTAGCCATGGACGTCTATGACGAATTGATGAGGCGAAAAATGGATGATAAACAAGGTAACCCCAATTTGCTAGAGTGACAAGTACTGGATGAAAAAAAAAAAAAAAGTCAATCAACCCATTAAAAACAAGAAAAAGGAAAAAAAGGGTCGATCCTCGAACGCTAACCAAAAGACGCCCTTTTTTATTGTCAATCCACAGTCCCTTTCTTGGCTGTGCGTGAAGAATTCCATCCCAAACGAAATCAAGCAAGACAAAAATTAGCCACGCTGCCAGTGTTCCGATTCAAAGATCTGGCCAGTGACGTGTTTTATGCTCTGACGCGTCGTTATCCGCAAATCACCGATGCAGAGGCAAGTAGCACACATCAGAATTTTAGAATACAATAGGAGTGGCCTTGCTCATTGGTTGCTTTGCAAAAAACAGGATCACGAGTGGCAACCATTACCCCCGTTACCTACGAGCAGTGTGTCGTCTCCGCAACCGCAACGGTCACCACCTGCGCCACCGGCCATGAATACGAGTCAAGCCACCAATATCGTTCCTGCCAAAGGCACATTCAACCTGGAACCTGTTGATGTCTCGGGGTCCGACGATGAAACCATGAGCGATAACAGTCCCTTGGGAAATTACATCACACAAAGAAAGAACAGTGCCATTGGCAATGAATCCAGTCGCACTTCGTATTCCGCCAAACTTCCTCCCATGCCAAGACCCTCGGTGAGCTCTCCTACCACAGCCAAAGAAGGCGACGATACACTTGACAGCCTCATGGCTGATTTGGGCAACATGGTCGCACAGCATCCAAGTCCCTCCAAACCAGAAAAGTCGTCTTACACAGATATGCACAAAGCGGTAAACAAAAAATTCATACAATGGTTATGCATCCGTCGAAATATTCATCTGCCTCTTTTTTCTTTTTCTCAGCCTCAGCGGATAGAAGCGGGAACCGACGGTGCATGGGCTGATTATGAGCATCGAATCGCGGTGTTAACGCGTCGCGTGCACGAACTCGAGACAGAAGTGGCGGTAGGTTTGACATGGACAATAGGGAAGGAGATCGAAATGATCGGTGACACTCAAAACCATGCGGTACAGCCTAGTAACCAATCACAATCCACGATCCGTCCCACCGAACTAGACCGGTTAAAAAAAGTAGGTCCAATGCATCGTCATCCAGGGGATATGACAGAAAATAACCGACTTGTCATGAATATGTAGATAGAAGAAGAGTATCACCGACTTCAAAACGAAAACCGGGGACATCAGCGCGTAAGTTTTGAAGGAAAAATGGACAAGACAGACTTGAGCAACAAGCATCGATCCATCTGCTACCGTTTTTACGGAAAAAACTCACTGAATATGTCTTCTGTTAGCTTATGCGTGAAGTGAAAGACGAAACGTCGGAGCTGCTGAAGGAGCTGAAAGTACTGGCCTCTGAAAACGACGAATTACGTGCCGAAAAAGAACGAGCCGACGCCCGGATTCGGTATCTGGCCGAAGAGGTATACTTAAAACTCTTATAAATGCATGATTCGGTTCGATTAACCCAAGCATCTTTATGGATATACAAATAATAATAATAATAATAAAAGGCAAGAAAATGGGAGGATAAATATGAAAAGGCACGATTGGAATTAAGGAACCTCAAAGGTAAAAAAGTGGGATCGGCAAGTGGCAGTAACAATGGATATCAACTTAGCTGGTTTACTAGCCTCCTCGACGTATGGTGCACCCAAATGTGATCTTTCTCAAACGGGATTCATCCAACCAACAAAAGAAGGCGTCATTCAGCATGCTCACATCATTGCGTACCAAGCTGCCATAGACGAATTATTACAGGTAGCAAGGTAAAACACTCTCTCTTGTGGAATGTGAACTACTGTAATTGTCGCAGGAAAAAATGGTCAGAGAGCTAATGCATGATACAGGTCCAGTGTTTCCGGTAAAGTCTTGTTGGTGGTGCAAAACGTTATTCCGATTTGCAAATCGATGACCGAGGAGACAGAGGCCTTTGAAGCCAAGGCGGATGTTCCTTTGACTATTCAGACTGAACTTCCCGAACTCAAAACCCGATTTACGAATGCTTTGAAACAGCTCATCTCGGCCACGGAACTGCATGCACGAAGCATGGGACTCAGTCCCGTGTGCCTACTGGACGCTGCAGCTAGCCATTTAACGGCTGCCGTAGTCGATCTTGTCAAGCTTGTCGGGATGGCTCCGAGCACTGACGAAGAAGAAAAACAGGAAGTCCAGAATGACGCAAAAAAGACAGAATCAACGGAGAAAAACGTGGATGAACCGGCGAAAACTAGTACGGAACCCGTGGCGAGAAAGAATGGAATCTTGCCGCCCGATGAACTTGTAGTAAGAAAAAATCGAGTGTTTTGATTCATCATCAATCATTCTCATTGTTGGTTTCCTTTTAAAGGCCTACTTGCGCAGTGAAACAGGAAAAGTGGTGCAGAATATCCAAGGTTTACTAGCGGCATTACGGTCGACGCATGGACCCAATAACGAAGCGTATTCCATTATCAGCAAGATCATCCATAGTGTAATGAATGTCAATACGAAAGCGCAAGATACGTTCAATTCATCTTTGGGCATGACGTACCGTACCCAAGGAGATTTAATATTAATGGATCTTCAAGCGTCCAGTGAAAAGTTGTTACGGCTGCGGGATACCTCATTTGTGAAACCCGACACGGCCTCATCCACTGCAAAACGAGACTTGGCAAAAGAAGCTTACGAAGTTGCCAAATACATCAAAGAACTCATTCATATTTTCAAATAAAAAAAAGGTCATTTATATTCATTACCCTTTTCGTTGGCATGAACTACTTGAAGCCAGCTTTACAAGTGGCACTGTCATACCGTACTGTGCCGTTCCAAGGCGATGGACAACATCTTACCTAGAATATCAAGAAAATCGGCGCTGACGATCGACCTGAAATCCACGCCATATCATATGACGATGTTTCCATCTTAACGTGATTGGAGACTTCTGCTTGGAGCAAGGTAAAATAAAAATGAGGATATCGTCTTTAGTATTATTTAGGCATTCGAAAAAAAAGGAGTGGGATCTAATAGACTAGTAAGAAATGCACTACTTTTTTGTAGGAAAATTAGATAAGTGTGTACCTGTAAGAAAAAAAAAAAGAACTCTATAAATACTTTGTACAAGTTATACAATTAAAAATAGAACGATGAAAACAAAAAAGAAAAATTTGTAAAAATAGCAAAAGATAAGCAAAAAATGATGCATTATAAAGTGATCACATTGGGATCGCCATTCTGGTGGTACAAAAAAAATCAAGAATGAAAAGGTCAGTTGTCAAATTCCAGAATCCACACGTCAGTTGATTGGAAAAAAAAAGGTACTTACAAAGGGATGGCGCCAACCGCATTGGAACTCGGATTTTTTATAGGAACGATCATCACTGGTGGAAGTATTGAATCCAATGTGATACATTAGCAATGTTTTGCTGGTGACTAATGACTGGCTGCATTCGGCGCATTCCGGCAGTTCGCCGAGCAGGCATTTTTGAATAATAATATCCGGCGGCATGTCCTCGTATTTGAGCAGTAAGCGAGATACGACCCGAGCAATTTTAGGTTTAAGGAAAAGACCACTATTCAGAGCGTTAGCTACATCCTTTTTTTTTCTAATTATCGGTTCATCACCGGTTGTTGGATCCTTACCTGCCACCTGTGCCAACAAAGACACCGCAATGATCAGGAACACGCTGATTGGCATTGTATACGACGGTTTCGATTTGTTTCCACTCTTTGGATCCACACACGGGGAAATCATCTTCTACGAGCGTCACGTAAGTGCTGGGAAAATTGTCCGTCACCAAGTTGAGTGCTTTCGACACGTGCAATCGCTGATTCATCTGGCTGCCTTCTTCGCGCACCCATTTCAGATACTGCTGTCCCTTTGGATCGTTGGCAAACCGATCCCTGGCCATATCAAATTGTTCGTGATGCGTAAAATGGGTATACACGATGGTCTGGATTCGACTGTACAACGATCCCGCGGGAGGATCGACGGGCCAGTTGGCGAGATAAGATTCCAACGTTTGGCTCAGGAACGGCGGGTTGCCACGACGCGGGGCTGTCATGACGATAAACGTGAACATGTAGCGATCGTCGGAAATGGCGTTCAATGCCGAAGGCTCGACAAACGTCTGCTGCGTATAGTACATGTTGCAGAGCATAAGCACGGGCAAGGTCAGCAGAAGCACCACACTGCCCTTCTTGACCGCCGACCATAAGATGCGCCACAGTGGCATGCGTCGATACCGTTCCAAGGTCAACAACTCATTCACATCCTTCACGTCCGGCACTTCTTCTCGTTTCTGTCGCGTCAAACCCACTTGCACCATCAGTGTGACCAAGCCACCGGTAAGAATTCCGGACAATGACCACCAAAAGATATTCTTGACAGCAAAATTGACCAACAACATCAACAACTGAAGCGTCACCTTTCGCACTGTCAACTTGTGATTCGAATCCTCCATGCCGTAAATCAACATGTATTTATCGTCAATACTTAGTGACTGTACCACCAACAATGCGAATAAAAAAGGGGCTAATCCTGTTGGATAGAAAAAAAAAGAGACAATGAATAAACCGTGCAAAAACCATTATCCAACAAAAATAGTCACGGCAAACCACTTACCTTGGTTACATTCGTGGACGGAATCACTGAAAAAGAGGACGGGGACCGCCCAGCCAGTGGATTTCCAAAATACATAACCAATGATCTGGCGGAGCGTGCACACGGCAAAAATGACGCCAGTGAACGTTTGGACAAATCGACGAGTACCTCCCAGCATATGGGTGAGCGATTCTTCAAAGAGACCGAGGATAAGCACGTTCCATCCGAAGAACAAGATGGAGTGAAGTGACCAGTTGAAGAGAAAGGGTGATAGTAACAAGTTGAAAACCTCGAAGCGATGAAAGACGAGGGATGGCGAGGAACACGAGAGATGAAGCCAGTTGAAGTAATTAAGCGTGGATATAAGAATAGATAGACAGATTACATAGCGTGTGGTGATGGGTAACGGCCAAAGGCATAGTAACTTTTGTGATTTGGATTTTTCACTGTTGCCGGGGGCAGGATTTGGAGAAAGCGTTGACTTGGTGGTAGTGTTGGTGGTGGTGGTGGCGACAGACGGAGGATAGGTAAACGAAGGTTGTCTCGGACGGTAGTGACGTAAAGAGTATTTGGTGCTTTTTCGAGTGGAATGCTTCAATGAGCTAAAGCTGTGTCGGGTGGTTTGGGCAAGACAAGGCGAATTGATGGTTAATGGTACGGCGAGGGTTTTCATGACGGGTGCAGACGTGGCCGTAACAGTCATATTAGTAGGGGTCGCCGTCGTTACATGGTGAAGTGTGGTGATGTTTGGGACCGGATCAGACGAACGAGGTACCACCGGTACGGATGATTCCGTGCTGGCTTCTTCTGATCGTTTGAATGCAGACGAGGTCCGGGTTTGGTTCGTCCGTGATATCTCTTGTACCAATTTCACTGAACCAAACATTTTTAACAAAGAATCCCGCATTCTCTGTCCCAGAAATGGAATATATGATCAAACTTTTTTTTTCGAAAAAGAAATAGGGGAGACGAGGAGGAAAAAGAAAAATCTTTCTGATCAGAGTTGGAAATAACAAAAGGGCAAAAAAGAAAAAAAAAAGAAAAAGAAGGAGACCAAGGGAGACCAAGGGGAGAATCAAGAAAGAACAAGGAAAAAAAGCTTCAAACACACACTCTCAAAAAGAAACTCAACGCACTACGCACAACAACACACCCACTTAATTAAAAGGAAAGGTATACAAAAAAAAAAAAAGTAAAAAAGAGCGGGAAACAAAGAAGGGATATTCTGAGCAAGCGGAGACTCGTTGTTCTTACGTAGGGCAAGAGGAGGAGGTGGAAAAAAACTGAGCAATAATAACAAAAAAAAAAGGTGGGGTTTCAGTCGAATCAAGAAAAAAAAAATTTTCTATCTCGCTGTTACCAATGAAAATGCGAAAATGAAACCAGTGGTTATGAAATAGTTCTCGGCAGTTGCCAAGAGTAACGCGCGTTAAACTGAGCTAACTATTAAGATCAATGAAAGCAAGGAGCAATAGCCACACCCAAAGATGAAAGCAAAGGACTGGTCAAATCGGCATGTCCTTCCATAACCTGATGCGACTTGCTTGAAATGGACTTGCCTCGTCTTTTTTTTTTCTTGTGCCACCTGTATTCTTTTTTTGATAAAAAAAAATATTGGTGTCATCATTTTCAACGCCAATAAAGTGTATCGACGTGTCTTTTTTGGAGTTTGCCCAGTGAATATTGACAGCATTTAATTTCTTATTTGATTTTTCTTCTTTTAGTTGGCTTTTTTTTACCATTTATCCATGGTAGTTCCATGCTCCCAACCGGGTTGGGTTGAACCCTGTTGGGCCATCTATTTTGATTTGAATATATAGTGTCGTAATGGCCGGTTCCATAAAGAGAAATGGATGGGTTTTCGACTTTGATTGTGCAACGCAGCGGTCATGAAATTCTCGGATGATCGCCCATGCCAAACAAGGCAACTGTGACGCTCATCCAATAGCTTAAAATATTTTCGGGCAAACAAACTGACGATATTATTAGGCGGCTTGTCTTTGTGTTTGAAGACCTAAAAAAAAAATTTTCGCCAAGAGCAATACATTCTGTGCCCTTTTTTACCACCACTTTGCAGACGATCGGAAAAAGTTGAACAAAAAAAATTTACCTTGGCTTCATCATGTTTTTTTTAGTCTGTGTAACCATCCGTTATTATTTTGGATCGCCCTTGGGTTGAAATATGCCTTTTTAGTTCCATCCATTTCAACCAATGATACCACGGTTGCCTAGAATTATTTTTTCAATGACCCAAGCAACAAAAAGAAAAAAGACGGTGCCTGAACAGTGTATTGCCCGCCAATACAGTCTAAAAAATTTGATCGACAATCCCCGGCTAAAAAAACACAACTACTAGGCAGTATCGTTGGGGTGGCTTTACCATCAGTTTGCAGCAAACCGTTGTGAACGTTTGACATGCTTTGATTTAAAGAATGAAATGAAAAGGACGTAAATCATGCAGAACGTTTCTGTTTTTTTTTTCTTTGTTTCTGTGTGCGTGCATTTGATATAAAGGTAATATAACTTTATTACTTGAGTAAATTTAAAATGCATAAAGTGTTGCGTAGGCAAAACTTTTCATGAATGATCACAGATTGGCCTCATCAGACCTCAAAAAAGGTTACACTGAGAATTACAATCCACTTGTCATCCCTGTTTTTCTGTTCTGTAACCATGGAGAAGAAATCCAAGGCTTCCATGTCCATTGTGGGAATGATGCCATGTATGACAAAAACTTATTACGCTATGAGCTTTGTTATTCGCTCACCATGTATCAAGCACTGTATGCATACTGGCTCTGTACAAGCATTTATTGCTCACATTACAGGTTTCTGTCTGGCAAATTCGAATACAGTCATGTACCGCAGTTTACAAGCTTCTATATACAGTAACAGCGACCGCGATGCCTGAATGGCCGTTGATGATATATTTGATGTCAGGTTGTCTTTTTCGATTCGGACAAGCAACATGGTTGCGTTATACAAAGGCAAGGCGAAAAGATGAGATGCTTTACCGTGAAAATGGGTATCATACTGATGAATTGTTATGGTGAGTCTCTCTTCCCTATATAAGCAATCAAAATTTATTCATAAAAAGCAGCATGTCAGATGATATATTAGGCTGTTCGCCAAGACGGAAGCAGCAAAGAGGCTAGACTCACCGGAAGCCGAGACCATCAGGCAACATGTGGTTCTAAAATCTAAAAAAGCCTTCAAAACAAGCGGGCAATGTGACCTGATACCCATTCATAAAACAAAAGAGCCGAGTATCATTACATCAAACCTTTCAATGCCATGCGCCATACAAAGGCAAACCTTAAATTTTGCCACAGAATCAAATAATAAAAATTTTCTCTCTATCATTAAGTTTGCTCTGTATTCGATGCTAATAGCACGTTAATATGTTTCAAAGTGAAGATGAATTGCCATAATATGGTTTTTTTTATCGAATGAATGCATTTGTGAATTGAATAAAACTACTGTATTTAATGAAAAAGCGTACAGAAAGAAGAACGAAAAAAGGACAACTAATCGAGCGACAATGGTCGATCGACCGCTGATGTTGGTACGGTGGATTTGATGCTGATGTAAAGTACTATTTTTAAGGAAAAAAAAAAGTCGATAAGAGGGTATTTGCCCATTGATGATTATTTTCTACATGTTGATGGGTATTGCTTACAGTGTGGTTTTAATCCTTTCTCGAAATTTCGCCAACAGATGGAGGCGTTCACGATGGTTAAAACAATCAGGCTGAGGGATACACTGGCTGTAATAAGATAGATCATGAACACGGTGAAAGCCCCCATTTCTCGGTTCGTCGCCTTTATTGCTTACCAAAAAATGTCAGGAATTCTTTAAAATAGCGGTAGTTGGCTTCTTCGCCGGGGTCATAGATACGGGCGAGCTTGAACACAAAATAGGCAATACCGGCCACCAGGCCAATGAAGAAGAGGATCATAAGGTTTTTTGATTCATGCCGTACCTAGGATAGTCTCGTTGATTAAGACTTGAGATGGCCAGTAAGTGGAGCCGCGGATGGTGATACTTACAGCATAAACGGCGGAGACAAGGACCAAGCATGTCACTGGAAGCGCGATAATCGTGAGAGGATATTCCATGTCACCCAGTTGAAGTACCAAGACCAGATATTGGATCGAATAACCAAGAAAGAAAAAAATGTCCAACTTGAGAATCATGACAAAGATTTGATACCAACGATACATATTGCGGATTTCGGGATCAGCCCCAATCTTTTTGTAGATTCGCCATCTTTTTTATATATAAGCATCAGTGTCAATCCGTCAATGATTTATATCCTCCCTGTTCACTCTGTGCCTTAGATTATGAGCATTTACTGACTTACCCAAATTCTTGATACAGTCGCGCAGCAAGATAAATATAAATGACCTCACAGATGGCGATGACGACAGCGTTGGCGATCAATATCTGACGAATAAAGTGCTTGAGTGACGCTGCTACGGGTATGTTATTCAATATAGGCTCCTTGAGAGCACGATCCATTTGCCGGAATTGCACCATGGCATAGGTGAAACAACATAGATTAAATAGAGTGAACGCGATAATTTGAATCGTGTTTTGATTTCGCACCTAGAAACGCAAATAAATTACAAAACACAGAATCATCCGTGCAAAACATGATTTTAAACGATTTACCGCATCCCAGCCCAGAAACACTTGAAATGCTTGAGAGAAAATAAAGATCATCAAATACACGGGAATGCCAAGGCCCAGCTTTTCCTTGGAAAACCTACATAAAGGTTGCTTACTATGAGCTGTTTCTTTTGCTTGTGTATATATGTGTATGTTTTGGTTGAGTTGGGGTGAGGTGGGCGCGGGAGTGACTATAAAACGAACCTGCTATAGTAAAACTTTTTAAAGATGATGGCTTCCAGCGCAATCACAACTAGGGCTTCAAAAATGGAAAGCACCACCAGGTAGATTGAATTCCGTGATTTGGACAAAAACTAATCACAGCTACAAGTAAACAATTGCCATGGCAGTCAACTTGAAAAGGGGAGAAATTCGTGAACTCACGTCAACAAACGACTGCTGGCGATGAACACCGGGTTTGGTTTCCAAGTCATTGTGAAGAGGTGTTGCCATGACAAGTTAATTCAAGGGAATGGCCCACTTCTTCTACACAGGCCCAACCAGGGCAAAATAACAATGGAGCAAAAAAAAAAAGAAGTATAAGAGAATCCAGAGCCAAAAAAAAATGAATAATGTTTATTCGGTGCTGTAACAAGTTACAAATATGGCAATGTGATCCTGGATAACGTTTTGCACAAGCAAATCTCTATGACGAGAAAAAAAAAAAGCAAGCATCAACAGCAACGTTATTACTGAGCGAAAAAAGGGCCTACCATTATTTTGTGGCAATGTTAGTTGTAGTGAAATGAGGATCGTCTTTTTTAATAGCAAAAATGAAGGCGTAAACAACGTTTTTGGGCTGGGTCCGCGTGACTGCAGAGGGTGCACAAAGATGTGTGAACCAAGGTTGAATAGGGGATTGACAAATGCATAAACTGCACCATGCCAATGCCTCCGCATTTTTTGTTCTCAGCAAGCATTTTAACGACCGCTCAAGCCCATGGATAGGTTTGTTTGTTTATGGCTTTTCACTTTTTTTTGTTTCAATCAAGAAGCAGCAAACAAACAAAATCTTATCGATCAAACAGACAAATATCCTGGGAATGGCACGATCTGGGTTTCTTGTCACGGACTGCTGCAGTTGTGCAAAAAGAACGAAAATGATCCCATTTGTCCGCTTGAACTCTTTTTATTGATAGTGTCAAGCATTAACCACAAGAACAGCGGACAGCGGACAGTTTCTCCTGAAAAAATTATACTCTTGTGACACAATTAGAGCGCTCAAAAAAATTTGAATGGAAATCATGCCAATTTTACATTTGGGATTCTTATCTTCTGAATACTGAATTCGGAAATGGCGGAAGGACAGAATGAAGGATCCGAAGTCAACTTTGCAGGATGCGATGATGGTCCTTTTTTTTTTTTTTTTGTTTGGAAAAGAACAAAAAAAATTATAAATACAAGATGCTGAAGCGATCTTGTTTTCAGTTCTTTTTTTTCTTTTTTCTTTTGTTCCTTTCAACTGTGTTCTTATCCTTGTACATATTGATATATATATTCTAATACAAATATATATACATATATATATCCGATATTTTATCATCGTGTTTCTCTGTTTTTCTCCAAGTAACAGAAAGGAACCGATCTATTGATAAAAACATGGCGGCTGCTGTATTGCATGACAGCAGTCATCACAAGCAGCCATGTACGTCGGCTACTTGCTGTTCGCCATCCCGGCTTTGGCGAGCAGTGCAAACGTACATTAGTACGGACGCCAAGCAAGACCTCGTCCAGTTGTGTCAAGACGAAAATCGAGGACCGCATGTTCTTCGTGTCCTATTGACTTCCCGTCTAAACAATGATGCATCCTTGTATCCAGCCTCTCACAAGCATCGTGTCATCCAGTTTGACGCTTCCGTGCGTCCCAAGGCGGTAGCGTTATTTGGTAAATCGGCCACGGATCTCAACGCGCTACAACTGGCGATTTTTTACCGTCGTGAAAACCTGGCCATCTGGTTGCTCAAGTATTTACGCCCACGGTGTTCGTCCGCGGAGTTCAAAATGTTTCTTCACCATGTGTGGGGGCACAAAAATACGTCGTTGCATCTCGCTTGTTTCTTTGGGATGCATCGTCTTGTACAGCTTTTACTCGATATGGGAATGGCCCCATCCATCAAAAATGCGCGACACCTCACACCTGCTGATTGTTGCATGAATAACCAGGAATGTTTGGCCCTTCTCCAAAAGTCCCAGGCACCCACTGTCGTCGTGCCAAAGCGTCCACTGTCAACCTCACCCGCGGTTACCGTGTCTGCACCCAAATCGCCGGTCAAGTCCACCCCCATGACGCGCCCTGTTTTAGGAACAAAATTGCTGGATCCCTCCAACGACCTTGTTTCTCCACCATCTGGCAATGTTCCGTCGTCATCCTCTGTCACGGCCTTGTCATCCTCTCCAAAGGATAAAAAATCTGATGCGAATTCTTCATCCCATGATATAGCCACCAGGTCTCCCATTGCTGTTGCGGCTGCTGCTGCTGCTCCTGCTCCTGCTACTGTACCTGCTGCTGTTTCTGTAGTCAAGAATGAGCATCCCACGCTACCTGATCACCCTGTGTCATCCGTGGTACCCGCACCATCCGTGGTTGCTGTTCCGAATAGTGCTGCTGCTGCTGCTGTTCTTGCTGTTGCTGTTCGTGAACCTTCCGCTGTTGCTGCTAATCCTGTTGTTGTGAATGAAGTTGCTTCTGACCCCGCTGCTGCTGCTCCCGTCCTTGCTGCCGCTTCTTCAGACTCTGGTGCTGCTGGTACTGTTTCTGGTGCTACTCTTGTTGCTACTGCTGCTGCTCACTCAACACTGCATGGTACCACGAATGCTGTTGCTGCTGACAGTATTGGTGCTTGCAATATCAATGAGCCTCCGGGGACGGATCGCCTTGCCGCAGTTTGTCATGACAACTATCGGTCGGACGATCTCAAAGGGGACCATCAGGGTCACCCAATTCCAGATATGCGTCAAGGAACCCTTCTGCCGGCCATCCACGGTTTAAAGAAACCTCCCGATATTGGTGTCGCAACTACTCGAAACAGTGGGAGCATGGACGCTGCCTACCATTGTTTGTGGAGTGGTACGAGTGACAGATGGCATCCGGTGCCTTGGTCATTCCATAATGTATCCTTGACGACGACGATCCTCGCGGCTTGATGAAAAAGAATCGCGCCCACGTCATTCGTTTGTTATACGTTATCAAGATTACTTGATATATGGGTCCAAACCACTCGTTTTTTTCACCAAACCTCTCTTACGCGCGCGTATCCTCTATCTATTGTTTCTGAAAAAACCATTGTTCCCTCGTTTCACCTCTTTTTTATCTTTTTCTGCCTATATTCGCTTCTTTATATTCTTTTCTCTTTTTCTTTTCTTCCATGTATTTTCAATTTTTACGCTTCTTTTCTTTTTTTATCCTTTTCTTTGTTCTTTGCATAACAATGTGCTTTGCTTAGTTACTGTTTATATACCGTTTTCCCCCCCTTTTCTGAACTGCTGTTAAAACCTCACCCTTGTTCCTCTTTTCTTCTTCTTCCTATACATATGCTTTTCGAAGAAAAAATACTTATGATACTCTTCTTTTTTTATATCCCCTTGCTTGTTGAAACAATATTGTAACATATTCTTTTTGATATGTATACCTTTTATCTTTACTTTTTCTGAATAAAAACACGCTTCGCTCTGTAAAAAAAAAAAAAAAAAAAAAAAAAAAAAAAAAAAAAAATATCAACGTTGTTTATTGCGGAATTTGGTTTTTTGGTGATGGTCTTGCGTTCAACGCCCAAAATGTTGGTTGACGAGCTTTTTCGAAAGGAAGAATCGATGGGAAAAAAAAGAAGTCATAGCGAGGTAATAATATGAATAAGAAAAGAAAACTTACATGATATTAATAGAAGTGAACTGGTTATATAAAAATAAGGGGGATGAGAGAAAAGTGCTCAGGGAATAGATGGGAAAAGGAAAATAGATGTGGGAACCTTTTTTTTGGGAAACTAATATGGGATTCGTAGATAGATTACAGGAAAAAATGCGTGTGTATCCGACTGTAGTCGTGAACAAGCATTTCTCGCAATTTGTAAGCGTTCAGTTCTTCTTTGATTTGTTGGGCCAAGAAGGGTGTGAGCCGGTTACAAACAGCATGGGGATCCGATCCACGATCGTATTCCTGCTGACCAAAGGTTTCTTTGACACCGACATCCTTGGCAAATCGCACCTTGAGCTTTTTACCAAACAATCGACGTTGCATCGAAGGTGACAGACGTCGATACTGCTGTTGGATTTGATACAGTGGTTGAAGGTCATCCATCATACTACTTCTGATCTTGATGGCCCGGTGGCCTGCCTGCTCCTCGTCACTCAAATTGCAGCAAGTCGTACTGGCCGAACCTGTATCATCGGAAATGAATTGTTTTGAGTAAATACATACGCATGGACAGTGATCTTGCAGGAGATGTTTTTTTTTTTTTTTTTTTTTTTTTTTTTTGGGAGTTAACTTACGTTTGAGGATGCTTTTCGGGGCGGGAGTGATTTCTTGATGATTGCGTTGGGCGGTAGAGGATGGCGTGGTCCGTCGAGATGCAGCCGCTGTGACCTGGGCCCTATTAGGCGAAATGGACGAAGTGGAAATCGAACGATACACCGGTTTAGGAGTAGAGGGACAGGATAGTTTTTCTTTTTTTCTATGCACCACCGATGAGGAGACGGATAACTTGTTTCTAATGCGCTCCGTTAGCGAGCTTTTGGAAGCCGCCATCCTCTTAGGCGGAGCACTCAGCGATATATCGGGAACCACTGTATTGGTTCGCTTCCCCGTGAGTGGTTGTGATTTCAGACGATTCAGTGCTATCATGAACCGAGAAGACGAAGACGCTTGAAGACTATGACTAGGCCGAGGTGTAGATGATGAATACGCATCATTTGCCGTGTGTTCTTGCTGTTGTTGTTCTTGTTGCTCTCGTTGTGGTTCCGATGGCTTGAGTTCAGTTTTAGTGCAGACCGGTGTTTGGTGGTTGGTATTCGGTTGGACAGTGGGATCTCCTTTTTGATCTCCTCCTGGCGCGGATGCGTCTGGTGCGTCAGAGGCTGGACTGGACTTTGGTGCTCCTGCGATATCGTGAGAGGTTGCAGCTGATACGCAGGAGTCATCTGCAGTGGTTGAAAAAGAGGCCGATGAAATGGTCGACGAACATGTGGTGGATACGCACGAATCCGCGGCGGCGGCGACGGCGACGGCCGGTAATTTTGTGGTGGCCAAATCCCAATCATCGATCTTGCGATTCAGTTGAGGCGTGTATGGAAACGGTCGGACCACCACGGGTAGGGTGGCTGCGTTTTTATCCATTGAATCAGCGTAACTATTGATCGTTGTCGGTGACAACGACGGTGGTTGATGCGCGTCGACGAGGAGAAGCGATTTGGTACTGGAAGACATTTTCAAGGCGTTTTTGAATCGTGAACGCAGTGATGATTTTCGTTTCTCATGATCGATGGTGTCCAAGATCGAGCATGGTGGTGGATCAAGGTAACTGTTGAGCATCTTGGGAGGCGATCCATCCTGTAATACATCGTAATAATCGCCCACGGCAAATTCATCCAGCGAAGTATCATCATCGCTACTGCCGATACTAATCTCGCTCGTATCCATCGCAGGTTTATCTTGAAATAACATGGAAGAAGGAGCCCCAAGCGGCGTTCCCAGTGTCATATTCTGTTTTATTTTTATCAAGAATGAATACGATAGAAAAATACGCCAGAGCATTTTAAAATAATCTAGTCCATTTCCTTGTTGCCCTACTTTTTTTTCCAATCCTCTTCTTTTTGTACTGAAAGAAAAATGTGTTTCATTACCTCATTCAACAACATGATAATGTGATGGGAGGGACGAAAAAAGTAGCAGAAAAGAAGAAGAAAAGAGAATGAGAGAGAAAGATGGGTGCATTTGGCGGGCAACGGTTGGTCGAGCTAATATATAGGAGACTAGAAAGACAGCTTAGGGGATGTTTTTTTTTTTTCTTTTCTAGTCATTTTATTTTTTTTCTTTAGGTATCGATTTTCCAAAACTGCATGCAGCATGCCGCCATCTTATGTGAACCCTGCATGAAAAACAAAGCCAAAGAAGAGCAAGACCAAAAAAAGGAAATAAAAAGATCCTTACACTATTACCCGTATTGGATCTACCATGCACAATTATCTATAATCACCTTGGCAACAGCTTCTAATCCTGCTTGATCACATTCATCAAAACCTTCCGTCTCTTCACAATCAATATCAAGCACACCCAATAATCGCTAAATCAACAATGCCGTCATGAGTGCTCATTTTTTTAACTTTAGAGACAAAAAGAAAAAAAAGTGTCATACTTACGCCATCTTTCACCAATGGAACCACGATTTCCGAGTTGGAGGCTGAATCGCAAGCGATATGACCTGGGAACTGATGTACATCCTTGATCACCTGGGTGGTTCGAGTGGTCGCTGCAGCACCACATACACCCTTGCTAAATGGAATCTCAGTGCAGGCCACCTGTGGTACAAAGAAACAAAGGTCCATCAATGCTTAATTCCTACTTTTCCTTTTTGTATTAATTTTTTTTTTCTTTGCATTACTTTGCCTTGGAAGGGACCCAAAATTAATTTTTGATCATCGTTAGGATCTACCAGATAAAAGCCCGCCCAGTTAATGGGTTTGGCTTGGAAAAACGCCAACCCACGAAGTTCATGATAAATGATGGCCGCAGCATTGGAAAGATTGGTAACCTGTCATCAACAAGGATGAGTGGACATTGTTGAAAAGAATAGAAAGTCTCTCATTGTGAAGAAATGTACCCAGTAAGATTGATCTTCTGTAATGGCTTTGATTTGCTCAAGCAATTCAGGATAGAATTCGCTTTTGGCGGCTGTGGAACTGGTAATTCTCGGAATATCCTTCATGGTTCAACTACAGGTCCGGTTTGGTTGAAAATTGAAAGGTTGGCGGCTGAACAAGGGGAGAACGGGTTGAGAAGGGGGGTTAAGTTGGGATCAAATTCATTTTCGCCTCGCTCTCCCTCGATCACCCCCCCAAAAAAGGTGAAAACAGTGGCCCTTGTGTGACTGGTCTTTGACCCATCACCATCCTAATTCGATGATAAACTTTTAGCGCGTACATCATGTCCTCCGGTACCTTTTACTTGTTTATTTGGGTATCCAATACTGTACCCAACATGCCTCTGCTACGGATGCTCTCAGGGGCTTTTTTTCATTTTAGCACCCTTCATCACCGCCAGAACATCTTCAATGCCGTCGATTGCATATCCTGTATTTTCTCCATCTATGCATAAGCAAGACTTTAATACAACAAACATCTATTGCATTTCATACTGTTTACAGTAACACGTAACCGAGTACGCATAGGTACGCTTATGGAGATCCCATACATCGTACATCTCATATTTTCTGCATTCGTTTTTATGAGGACCCGACTTCCGTGTCTGAGGATTTTACAATATTCCCATTCGGTCGAAGGGCTTGGCCTAGCTACATTTTTTAGCCTTGCATAACCTGGTACATTTATGAAAAAAAAAGGCTGCAGGATGTTTGTACAGCCAGTTCTCGGACCTGCGCCGAAATCATCGTCTTTGCAACGATTGTATGCAAACTTGGCTTCGGCGTTTGTCACTTTGATTCAACGGTAGAGAATCATTCATAAAATTGTCAAAAGTTGTTTGGAAATTCCAAACTTCCCACCACTCTGAAAAATAAAAATACGAAATAACAACAGATGCAACCGATTCAAAAAGAAAAATGTTTGTTGTAGAACGCGGTTAAGGAAAATTTGACTGCTGTAATGAGCCGTGATCGCGGATAAAAGGGTGAATAGGCAGGATTATAAATAATGATATGATTTTTGTTTATACAGAATAAACAGCGTTTTTGTCACTGGTATGAGCCACATGGAAAAAAAAGGGGGAGAGAAAGAGAGTATAAACACTGTAGCCAAGCAAGTTTGTAGAAATAATGCGGGAATAAAGGATTATTAGAATGCAGATTCATGAAGATATGTAGTGCTGTTGGCCAGAAAATGGCTGCTGGCCGAGATGCTTTGTCGGGAATCTTCTCCAAAGGAATAACGTCTTTGGAATGATAAACGGGATTCATTGGGTGTAAAAGAGGTATGCATGGAAATGGAACGCTGGGGTAAAGACCGCGGGGACGGGAGATGGAGTGGATCGTGGTTCCCGCGAACGGCGTCGTGAGATCGATAATTTGAATGAAGTGTCGCTGAACGTCGCAATTGCTGCAGTTCACTCGGAGAAAGCGGATAAGGTCCACCGGATGGTCGTCGTTCGGACAACGGTTCAGCTTCGTCTCCCATCAACATTTGAAGATCAGCTGTTTCCAACATTTGATGAACTTCCTGCGCGTCCATGCGTATAACACACAATAATGGGAATAGCCCTCTTTCGCCCGTCATAATATTATCGCCTGCAAAATGTTTGGTTACTTTTTTCATTTTTTATAATTTGCAAACAAAACATCATACCTAATGCCCAGCCATCGTCAAAGTAATAATGGACTTGTACAATATCATTTTGAGCCAAGGTGATTTCATCCGCATGTTGTGGTTCCTGTGCATACACCGCACGATAGAATGCTTCCAAATAACTGTGCACTTTGGATACCCCACTTTCATCGTTGGCGAGTTCTTCCGGATGGGGATGCGCTGGTTCAACAGAATCGGCGAAAATGGATTTCTTCTCTTTCAGGGCAACGGCCGCCCATGACATGGTCGGTTCCGCTGGACCATCAGTGTCAACCGTCGTATTCCGCCTGACTGGATTCGTGCCTTTGTTCTCAACTTCAGTATTGACGATCTCTTCTTCTTCTTCTTGGGAAAAGAGCGATGGATGGCCGGTATGGGCTTGTTCGTATGAGCCGTGATGGATTCCTTTTCGCCGATACCAGCAACCGCCTGCGATGGCTACCGCCAATGCACCCCCCACACCCACCACAATGCCAACAATGTTCTTGGTAGCGAGTTTTGTCCCGTGTGCGCATCCAGCAAGTCGTTGACAGCACGCAATATCGTTGCGTTGATCGCAATAGGCACAAAGCGCTTGCTCACTGTCGCCGAAACCTAAGAATAGAAACCACACAAAATCAGAAGTGAGTCCAAAAATATCCCTGCCGTTTCAATCATTGGCTAACTCGGTGGGGCCCACCAAGAGGGGGGGCGGGGGGATCACATAATACCACCACTTACCACAGTTCCGAGGTTCGTTCACGCTTCCAAGGATGCAATCAGTGTCCTTGGCACCGCTCGTTAAAGCGTTTACTTGGCAACGTTCCAAGACGTTGGCGAACCGACTTGCATTTTTGGGCTGAAACGGGTGACTGCATCCAGGTCCGGTATGGGCTAGTGCTTCGACAGCGGTCGCAAAGTCATCACACGTAGATTGACAAAGAGGCCGCGGCAATATGTTTCTTTCAAAGTTGCAAGGAAGCGACGACGGTCCATCGCTCACAATAGCGGCACAGGTCACCGTGATCGCATACCGCGGATAAAGGGCCGTCGTATTGCAGCCAAGAAAATCACGGGAAAATGCCAAAGAGTGTACGTATTGGTAAAAAGCGTCGTCAAAGGCCTCCACAGTACTAATGTTGGCGAGCCACGGTAACATGACAAAGTCAGGATGATTTATGCTTATATGATAATCGGTAAATGCAGGACAAGCCTTGGATTGGGCTAGCGACAGACATTGTTGGGCCAGGATGGCTTCCACTGCGCACAACAGGATCCACAGTCCATGTCGAACAAAGAGGCCGGAGTTGCTGCTGCTTAAATAGAACATGAATTTTTTTTTGTATATAAAATATGTATAACTGGTGGTATTAAAGCAAATCGTTTGACATGGCGACAGAAGACAAGGAAAGTAAAAAAAAAAAAAAAAAAAGAGCGGTTGCTTTGCGGACACCATGGGAACACAAGGAAATCCTTGAAACCCTAATTCGCTAAGGACACTTTTTTTGTGATCCATTTCTTTCGATCGTTTTGTCCTCTTTTTACTTTTTCCATTGTTACATGTGGGGTAAGCCCACATTTGTACTTTTTTCTATTTATTTATGAAGGATATGAAAGCCAATGGCACAATTAGTTGTATTTTATTCCGTGATTTATGGCATGAATTGGTAGGTTTCTGGTAGGAGGTATGTAGGGTGAAATGCTTAGCTCTGATAATGATACAATAAACGATTTCGACTGTCGCGTTTCAGATAATCCCTACAAAACGAATCCAAATGATGTGAACAATGACTCCAATAGAAGTGTAAAAACAACAGCAGAGGCTTTCTTTCACAACTTACTTTACTATGAGATCCTCGATGCGTGCCCTGATTTCCGCAGTCTGGGAAAGATAAAAAATAATAATGTTAATGGCAGATCAGTGAGCCCACTTTGATGCCGTGCGCGATCGCCTGAAGCTATTTTTACCTCGACCGAGTATTGGAACTCCGTTTTCAACTTGTCGGTCAAGTTAGCGTGGGTCATGCTCTTGGCTTGCTTCAAGGTACGGACAATAAACGCGTCAATCTAATAAATAACCAAGTCAGTAAAATCAGGTCGGGGACCTGCTTATCACAGGAAGAATAGATTTACCTGGTGCTGCCGGTTGAGTAATATGGGAGAATGAAGTCGTTTTTGGTCAGCCAACAAATGCTGCTGATGAATAGCGCTGAACTTGATGCGGGAGATGGGACTTGTAAAATGAAGATTGTAATGAAATAAATCGGTGGGGCGAATAGTCAATCCACGCGGCTCTTTTTTAAGGACTTTGAATTGCGTACATGCCAGTGACTGTAGCACCCACTTCAACTCGTCCGGATCTACCATCTTGCTCGTTGAGTCACTCGGTGGTTTGCGGGGGGGGTTATAGGCCAACCACAAAGCGAAAATCTACCTAGCTGTGTCTTTTCGGCAATATCGGTAAATGAGAGTGTAGCATGTCGTCTATCGTTGAATAATAAGAGAATGACGGCTTGGAATAAAGTCACCAAGAGCTCTTTGGTGCCATTGGGGAAATTGGCCTGAAGAACACACGTGGTAAGCGAGTTTGTCCATGTTAATCTTCGTCCTTTGGACCGCGTAGTCCTGTTATTAGCGTTGTAAAACTTTTCAAATGATGCTTGATATGATAACAGCTACATATGGACATTTCCAAGTAAGAAAGGTGGTGGACATTTTTGGTCTCTTTTTTTTTTTTTCTGTACGTACCTGAGGCGGCACCACGATGTTGAAATGGGGTGCTGTGGGCCATATGCTTTGAGTCAATATATAGACTTTGAACTGATCATTTTTTCGTAAACGATAACTTGATTTCTAAAATACAGAAGTCAGTAGACTAGAATTACGGCTTTCACGCATGAATGACTTTCTTACTTTGTACTCAGAACTTAATGTGACCGAATCCGCAATGTCCCGGAACATCGCTTCCATATCCTCGGTGAAATCCGGTCCGCATTCTATGCAAGAAATTAGCCTTCTGTATAAAAGACAAGGCGTCATCTAATATCCATGCTTCACCTTCTTTTAGCTTGTTCAAGATGTGCTTTTCGACAGCGTTCAGCGGATTTTGATTCGTCAAGAGTCGTTTGGCCAGAAACTGTTTGTAGAATACTTCAAATGCATCTTTTCCTACGATGATCTTTAGTAAAAATTGATCTTCATCGAAAAGTCAACCACTTATTTACCTTGGACATATCGAAAGATCACTAATACGTTATCGAGTATCGATTGAAGTTCCACCTGGCTGGCTTTCTATGGAAAAGACAATGCGTGATTTTTTTGCGGTCTCATCGGTTCAGGGCAATGACAATGACTTACCACGGCGTGTGTTCGTAATTTATTGTCGATGTACGCTGCGATCAAATAAGCCGAACTTGTGCCTGTATTGTTGACAAAACTTTCAAAGCTTTCGGTGAGTCCGTGGACAAACAATGGATCAAGGTCGAATACAGAAGCCACGATTTCTTCCATACGCGCTTTGTAACGCATCAAATCATCCATGAGATTGGCATTCTCGACTTTCTCCATGATGGCCGTTCCATGTCGCTAACAAGTTGCACTCGTTGAGTAGACGATCTCATTTTTATATGGTTGATAAATTTTTTACCTTGACATGATCGATAAAAGCTTGCCGCAAGTCGACCATCTCCTTACTGTTTCTCAGTAAATCATAAAGCATTCTAAGCGGGATTTTCTCGTCATTCTCCATCATGGCATCGAAACCTGCGATGCTTTGTATGAGAACATAGTGTGTCAAATTCTGTCCAAAGTTTTACCCGACTGACCAGTATCAAGAATGACTTTGACACGCGTGTACACCAGTTGTTCCAAAACGGCGCTCACTAACGGTCCTCTTGTTGTCTCCAAAAGATAGGCCTGCGATCGGTCGAGACTTTCTTCCTCCCGACGTTTCGCGACGTGGCTCAAGTAATCAGGAGCCGACATGGTTTGCAACAATTCGGTAGCTTCCTTGCGGTAATATTTGGATGTTTCTTCTATCAGTCGCGATTCGAATATGGAATGATACAAGCCAAGTTCATGCAACATGGCCAATAACGATTTGATCAGTGGACGGTCAATGGTATATCCATTTCTGTTTTTCGAATGAGTTTTTTTTTTAGGGCCCTTCGCATGATTGATTTGCTTGTTTACCTTTCCCTGGTGATAAGATAGGTAATATTGGCCACGACGCGTTCTCGCACAGCCATGTTGGCCATCACATGATCACAGAAAAGTGTTTCGCCCAGATGGCTGCAAACGTATAACTGTGATGAGCAACCCTTTGGTGAGTGATTAAGCGATCTCAAAGGTACCTACATGATTGACGAAAAACTCGTGCATCGCATAACGTACAAGCGGTCCACTTCGCTAAAAATGTTCCGGACCATTGCCTAGATATTGTAAGCTTCACCATACAGTTTACATTTGGTTGACTCCTTGTAGATATCTCCATCGTGCATACCAATTGACGTGTGAGCTTCGTCCAACTCGAAAGGATATATTTAAGAAAGTTGCCTTTGAGAGGCGCTAATCTGTCAATTTCCACATCAACAAAAGAGATCAGAACTCAAGCAAGTTGAGTTTTGTCACGGTATGAAGCATTGCCTACCCTGCCAGAGTGGAGGTCAGTTCCTTGATATAAACAAGTAATTCTTGATGGATCAACTGGTATAAGGGCTGGGCTTGGCCGAGACAGCACACATTCCTGCAGAGCTAGCAGTGACAACAAGAGAATCATTGGTTGAAAACAAGCTCGTGTGATGATTTTTCTCGGGTTCACGATTACCTCGAACAGGATCTGAGAATTAGTTTCTGTCACCTGGCCGCGTAAAATGGCTTTCAGGGCGGGTTGATGCACCTTCCATGCTTCTGCTAGTAATTCTTTTCCGTCTTCTTCAGTCTCAGGTTCCACTACGGTGTGCATCAGAACTGTTAGAAAGCATACATAGAGGTGCGATCTGTGGATGAAGCATACCATGTAAATTGGCGATCATGAGCTGTGTAGGTGCTTCGGGGGCTTGCCAGTGAGTGTTGGTATAAAACTGAAGTTCAGGGCCATTTTTCTTCAGTTTCTGGTATACGTCGGCCAATGCGAGCTGGCCATTGGAAGAAGCACTGTCAACATTGTGTTTCCTTTTCTTTAGTAATCGGTGTGAAGGCATGGAAGCCGGCATGCGTTTGAGATCGTCCGTCATGCCTTCGCTGATCTTCCAGGTATACGTCAAAGCTGGTTTATGTGTCAGTCAGTGAACTTGATAGCGATGATAAACCGATAGTTTATACCTTCGGCATTCATTGCCATACTCCGTACATGTCGATGCTGAATTGAATCGGTGCAACAAAGAAACCAAAATAATGCCGGGTTCTTAATTTGGACACACGCGGGAGTTTTCAACAACCTTTGACAAGTGGGACAAAGAAAAAAAAAATACGCGTTTTTTTATTTTCACTTCATCAAAGGGAAAAATAATTTTGTACAAAATGGAGAGAAATAACCTTTCAAATGGAAGAAAAAAAAAATGTATAAACAATGCTAAATGATATAATTTACAAAAAAGCGCCATGATCATCATCATGATGAACACCAAGGATGATGGTTTTCAGCTGATGAGGGGAGGATTCAACGCGCCAAGCTTCTGACAATGGCAGAAAGATAAAAAGAATGATTTCGTGATGTTGACTTGTCACTGGGCAAGTGGATGAGGACAGATAAGCACGCACACACGTCGGCTGAGGAAAGAAAAACGGATGAGATGGCAAAAAAGGAGAAAGATAGAAAAAGACGCAAACCAGAAAGACCATTTCAAATCTATACATGAGCTGTTGGTTTCACTTCAATATTGGCGGTGGTCGTCGTGTCATGAAGCCCCGATCTTGGTTCACGTCCCCGTTCGGAACATCCATAATTCACTTGAGCAAAGGCAGCCGCGGTCATTTTGGGCGGTGGGTCGTGCGTCACCTGGTGTGGCATGGACCCAAAAGGATGATCTTCGTTCAAAGGAATCGTAGATGCCGAGCTCGCCACATCGCTCATATCTTCATCATCCATGCCTAAACCTTCAGGTGCTTCCATAAAATCCACCGATTCAGACGCAGTATATGCTGACGCATCCTTCATAGTGGGATCCACATTAGGTACGGTTTCGAACTGTTCTTTTTGAGGGTGAGGATGGGATGGCGCGGGAGAACCGGTTTCATTGGCATGTGTGGTATCATCTGTCGGTGTTTTGTGATCAGATAGAGAAAGAGGCATCGGTTGCGTCTCTTGGTGTACATTATCGAGCCACGAATCCATTCTACTCGCCTTGTCCATCGGCTTTGTGTTTTGCGTATTAGCCAACGAAAGTTTCGACTGTCCGTGAGGAGATCCGTCGTCTGCACCGTGCGTCCCATCCTCTGCAGGAGAAGGACAAGGAGGAACCGCTGCGACTGGCGACTCATGAGAGTCCATGACATCATCTTGCTTTTCGGTAACGAGCGGTGTGGTTTCGGTAGTAGATTCCTTTCCCACGACTGGTAAACTGTTGACCTTGGCTTCGGTTTCGACAAGAGGCTCTGACTTGATATCTTCATTTACGGAGGGACCGACGACATGCTCGTCCTCTGTGGCAACAGAGGCTGGGTCATGTGGAGCAGGTTTCTGTCGATTGAATTTTTGCATCCACATTTTCTTGGAAGGAAGCATGGGCAGGGCCGTCTTTTTTGCGCGAGAAACAGAAGATTTACCCGGTTTGCCTGAAGCGCCCGATTCCGAGCCCGATAAGCTGGATAGAGAAGACGAAGAAAAGGAGGAAGAAGACGGTTCGTCCGGTTGCTGGCCATCTTTGTGTCGTGGACCGCCGGTCATTGAAGCTACCGACGGTTCTTCACCAATGTCAATATCGGTTTCGCCATCAGCCTCCATGTCATCGACGTTGTGCGTTTCCAAAGGGGCATTCCCACGGATCCCCGGGCTGGCGGAACGAGGCGAGGTGGAAGTGACATCGATATCCATATTTTCTTCTATCGGGGAAGGCAACATGGCCTGCACATCATGTCGCATTTTATCAACAGCAATTTGGCGAGATGGTATCACGTCGGGGCTAACTCGTTCTGGTGAATGCCGTTTGGAAGGCGGTAGTGCGGAAGAGAAAGGCCGTTTACGTTCTAGAGTAACGTCATGGTGTTCCACAGAAGAGGGACTGGTGATGGAAGACGGGCTGTCGTGGTAGATGGCTTCATGAATCATTGTTCTATCGTTGTCTTGATCGACTTCACGTTTCCACCGTTCAAGGAAACAAGCCTTTTTATTTGAGCATGCACACGTACCAAAAGTGGTTTCCCAACATTGGAGCATGCGCTGCAGGGTTTGTCGATTCTTGCGCATGCCTTGTTCGTCAATGACGTGATGATGGCCGTGACCGTCGGAAGCGACTTGTTCTTGATACTTTTTCCACGCAACATGGCCATGCTGCCAGTTCCAGCCAATAGTAATTTCATCTCCAGGTTGGATAGGTTGACGTGAGAAAAGACCTAAATGAATAGTGTCTTCACGAGAGTAAGGTAAAACGATATTTTTCACTTCGGCATTCGGAAAGCATGAGCGACGAATGTGACGGACATCGTTGCCTTGATCACGAGCATCGATACACACGTTTAGAAAAGGGTAGAAAAATACTTTGGGAAGGGGCGTGCCGAGAAAACCGTAGAGATTGTCGGGGTCATACTTGTACTCGGACTTTAGCATGACCGTGCCGGTGACTTCCATCAAGTAAGTGTCGGCTTTGATTTCACGAGAAGCGAATAATCCGAGCTGGTCTTGCTGCTGCTGCTGAGGAATGGATTGGACAGCGAGCTTGCTGATGGTGTTGGCCATGGTATTACTGTTCATAGTATTGTACAAGCCACTCATGAGGGAATGGCGTAAAGGGTCGGCTCGATCATTGTGAAAGAGAGGACCGGTCCATCGTGGTAGTTTCATCCACTTGTCTCGAGTTTCCATAATGATTTGTTGTGCATGTCTTCCTTTGATAAGCATAGTGCCGAATGACCCTTTACGTGGACGTGGGGACTTGACTGGTGGTGAGTCCAGGTCGGTGGGAGAAAACCAATCACTGGGCATGTCGACGGGGACATCGTCCAATGAATTCACACTGCTAGGCTTGATACGTTCGAGAGATTTGCTCGATTCTTTTCGCTTTCCCACCAAAGGTGGACGTGAGCCATGTTTGCCCTTTTCAACGACAGGCCGGCGTGAGTTTGAAGGGGAATGATCCATCGGTTTACGACCTTTAGTGGCCGCATCGGGTCGTTGACCAGTGCATTGATCGCAAAAGTACTGTTCTGGAATATTCGTTTGAGTGATATTAACGCAAAATGCGTGTTGCCACACTAGACAGCGTTCGCATTGAATAGTGAATCCGTCGTCATCTGCTGAATTACAGATACAGCGAATAAGGCCTGTATCAATGGGTTCTTCCTCGGATCCGCTTGGGTGACCGACATTATCAACAAGCTTATTAGGCCGCTTGGTTGATTTTGACATCTAAAATCCAATCACAAAATTGAAGAACCAAATGGTCAATGGGAATGCAATGAAAGTAACAAAAAAAGAGAAAATTAGGTACCTTGTGCAATGCAAGCAAATGGACCAAGTTGTGTCGATGCCGCCCCTGGAGCCTCCCAATCACTGAAAATGGCCCAGAATTCCCGTCTCCAGAGCGCCCTTGCAAATTTGCCATCGATAGCACGTCACAGGTTCTGACGCAAATATTCAAAGTCCGGCTTTTTCGAAGAACTCGAATGGAAAGAACTGCGTCTTTCCCGGACAACCGTTCTTCCGTTTCTGATCCGATTCAAATAAAATTGTCCCCAGCGGTCACCTGTTTCACTTTATCTTTGTCTCAACCCTCGCACCCCCTCTCAACATTCAGGTTTACGACAAGGGATGACTAGCTTCATCGAATAATGGTATCAATTATTCGTTTCGTCTGTGAAAAAAAAAGGATGAGTGGTTAAAAGGGCTACGTTTTTTGTTAGTCCGAATATGGCATCTCTGTTGCAATGACCCAATCTTTCCGCAATGATGAAAAAGGCATATTTTGGGTTCATGATAAAGCCCGCTGATAAATGTATAATAAAACAGAAAAGGCATGGTCGAACCTTGTTTTCTCGATATTGATATTGTCTGTATTCGTGTGCGCATGTGTATGCACGATGTATAGTGAACACTGAGTCTTTTCGCATTCAAAAAGGACCCAGATTTCCACAGGATATGCACACATGCAGACCAAAAAAATAAAGGCTGCGCAGAAATAAGGCGGCTTTGGAAAAACCCGCCTTTTGCTTTGTCGGAAATGCTTCGGTTAATGGCGGAGGTTTAATCCGGTTACACTGTGGGGGACGAAAAGATGAAAAAAAAAGGAATGGGAGCTTGCCAGTATTTCCTAGTTGGTTTTTATCGTTTGGAAACAGTAAGGAGTTCTGTGATACTGCATGTTCTGCTGATATGGTTTCGTCTTCTGCTATTTCTGAGCCGTCGGTTTCTTCCATGCACAGTCGAGGGAAATGTGAGTAAGGGCATGTCGTTGGAGAGGAGTGTTGTCTAGGAAATGACCATTGCCTGACATGTTTGTACTCTTGGGTTTAGATGTTGTCGGCGTGTGCACAATGGACCGAAAGGCTCGTTCCAAACCTATGCGCCACATTTTGAACCGATTATTGGCTTATGGCGACTTTGATATTATCATTTTTGGAGACAAAACAATTCTAGACGAAGGTAAAAGGAAAAGAAAAAAATCAAAAAGAGATCAGTGCATTGCAATAAACTCTTCATTCATCTTCTTTGAAACATGGTACCTGACTCTTTTTTTTCATATTTGCTTTGAATTCCTTTTTTCTTTTCCAGAGGTCGAAAACTGGCCAGGGTGTGATTTTCTGATTTGCTTTTTCTCTGGAGGATTTCCTTTGGACAAGGCGATCAAATACACCAAGCTTCGTCGGCCTTACCTTGTGAATAATGTGGCCATGCAGACATTGTTGTGGGATAGACGAGTGGTGCTGGGTATATTGGATGCCATTGGGGTGCCTACACCTCCCCGTCTGGTCGTTTCGCGTGATGGCGGACCAAAAGTGGATGAGGATGCGGCCAAAGAATTCCAGCAATGTTCGGGCCTGGATATTCACCAAGTGCTTGCCAAGTTTATGGGTAACACCACCTCTGTCGAAATTTCGGATGACGGTATCAAGACGGATCATGGATTTATGTCAAAAACATTTATCGAAAAGCCCGTCGACGGAGAAGATCACAACATCAACATTTATTATTCCAAAGAAAAAGGAGGCGGCGGACGACGGCTCTTTCGAAAAGTAAAGAATCCATGTCTTCCCCTCATGAAGAACGAAACGGCGGCCTGATTAAAAAAAAATGTTTCGTATTAGATTGGTAACAAGTCGAGCGAGTTCGACCCTGAACTGGAGAATCCGTCCGGCGATGGTTCGTGGATCTATGAACAACTGATGGAAACCGAGAGCATGGAAGACATCAAACTGTATACGGTGGGATCGACGTTTGTCCATGCGGAAACAAGAAAGTAAGCAAGTTATTGGTTGCGATCAAAAAGTGACATCACTGTTTTATTCACTTTGTGTCCATCCTAGATCGCCTACGGTGGATGGACTTGTGAAGCGAAATACGGATGGAAAAGAGATTCGATACTGTACGAAACTGACGGAAGAGGAGGAAGAGATTGCTCGTAAAGTATCCAATGCATTTGGTCAAACCGTGTGTGGACTTGATTTGTTGCGTGTGCAGGGCAAATCATATGTCATTGATGTCAATGGCTGGAGTTTTGTCAAGGGCAACGATCACTATTACGACAATTGTGCACGACTTTTGGCCGAAGCTTTCCAGCGTTCCATCCAGCGTCGACCCTCGGCTTTGCCGGATATGATCCCTCCCGAAATTGCCCCCGAGAATTCATGGAGACTCAAAGGATTTGTCGCCGTCTTTCGACATGCGGACCGAACCCCGAAGGATAAGTTCAAAGTATCGGTTCAATCGCCGCCCTTTGTCGCTTTGCTTCAAGGCAGTGCACAGGAAGTCGTGTTTCGCCAGAGACATCAGCTGGAGCAAGTCATAGAAGCCATTAATGAAAGTCTTGCCAAATCGCTCGAGGATGAAGCGAAAATGTTGGCTCTCAAAGAAATCATTGAACGCAAGTATGATCTGCCAGGCACCAAGGTGCAGTTGAAACCTCAATACGACAAACAAACCGGTCATTTGAAGAAACTCCAGTTGAACGTGAAATGGGGCGGCGAGGTAAACACAGAACCTGCCAGCGATCACGCCTTCATGCTCAATAGTCATTTGTAGTTCACCCACGCCGGTCTTCATCAATCTCGAGATCTGGGCGAAAATTTGCGAAAAGACATGAACATACTCAACCGCAATGTGATGGACGACGTGAAAATCTATAGTAGCTCCGAACGAAGAGTACGAGCCACAGGTAACGAAAAGATAATACAGAAAGAGAAGAGAACCGCAAACGGAGCAGCTGCTAATCCAAAACGATCTATATTAGCGGATGTTTTTGCACGTTGGTTCCTGGGGCAACCGGAATCGATTGAGGGGGTGATTTCCGAGAGCAAATACCTATTAGATGACAGTAATGCCGCGAAAGAACAAGGTGATGCGGTCAAAGAACAGCTTCGAGAACTGGTGCGACCCGGCAACGACATTCCTGACATTGTGCTCACCAAGATGGGCTGGGCCAAAGAACTGGGACAACCGCATGCTATTCTTTCCGAGATATCCATCATCATGACGCGTTTGCAACGACTCATGTATCTCAATTGGTCGACAAAGAACGTCAATGAATTACAACGACGCTGGTGCTGTCATGAATCGCCTCTTTTGTTCCGAGAAAGGTGGCAAAAGATGTTTAAGCATTTCTGTGCTGCCAATGGTGATGACGGCAGTGAAACGTCCGACAGTAAACCATCGCCATCGAAGGAATGGTTTGCGGACCCAGCCTGGATTCCTCAGCTCTATGATTCGCTCAAATACGATGCCTTGCACAATCGAGCCTTTCTTCAAGCCATCTTTAGTGACCCGGAGACCAACGCGGCCGACGCAGAGAGCTACACGCAACGGTCATCGTCAGAAACGAGTACGCCTTCGTGGGATGACCTTCGACTGTTATATCGCTACGTCAAAATTATGTTTGATTTTATCGCTCCTGAAGAATTTGGCATCTCTGATACCGAAAAGACTGATATTGGCATGTTGATCGGCTTGCCGCTGCTGAAAAGCATTCTCAAGGACCTCGATGACATGAAGTCGGCCGAAAATGCTAAAACACGCCTTTACTTTACGAAAGGTAGGATGCATTGTGCTCTCTTTTTCTGCATGAACACCTTCAAATCGCTCACGGTTGCCTATTTAGAGTCGCACGTTCATGCTCTTTTAAATCTGGTGTACTTGTCGGGTGTTCCCACCAAAGTACCGCGCAATTCGTTACCAGAACTTGACTGTAAGTGAAAGAAACTGAGTGAACGGAATAATATGAAGTGTTGCTTATCCAAGACTATCCTAGTCTTGACCCAGATTACATTTGAGCTATATGAGCGCAATCGTCATCAGGACGATGACAAAGAGTACTCGCTACGTATTGCTTTCAGTCCCGGCGCTCACTATGACAGTGTACTGGACTTGCAAATGGATGCCGAGCATTGCTTAAAGGTGGCACCACGAAAGTAAGTAACTCTGTCCTACATATCAACCTGTCCCATCCGTCGCATCAAAAAGTTGCTCACAGGAATTATGAATAGAAACTTGATACCTCATCTGTCCTTGGAAGAAGTATTGGGATATCACAAAGGTTATCTCAACATCCCCAACCTGGAAACCATTGAACGACATATTGAAGAAAGAAAACTACATTACGCTCAAGAAGATAACCACTAGACATGCATTGGCTTTTTGCACACAAACAACTGATTGGAAGAAAAAACCCCTTTTTTATTATAATTAAACCTGCCGCAGAAAGTTTTTGTAACCGCGTTGAGGAGTGATGGACGATTTTTTTAACGGTTAGCTGAAAAAATAAAGAAAGTGGGCGCAAATTAGAAAACAAGGACTTTTTTTATGAACCAAATCACCCACAAAGAATACTTACACTTGGCAACACGCTCGAGTTCGTCCTTCTTCTTGATAGCGTACGAGTTGGAAGAACCCTTGGCAGCGTTGATCAACTCATCAGCAAGACATTCAGCAATGGTCTTGACATTGCGGAAAGCAGCCTCACGAGTCTAAAATGTACACAAAATCACCACTTAGTATGTCTCACTCCCTCTTTTTTTTCCACTCTGCATTTTGCCTATGATCCCATTTCTACTTACACCAGTGGTCAACAAGGCAATGGACTGGTTGACACGACGGAGAGGGGAGACATCAACGGCCTGACGACGGACAGTACCGGCGGAACCGATACGGGTGGAGTCTTCACGGGGACCAGTGTTGATGATAGCATCAACGAGAACCTGGATGGGGTTTTGGTCGGTCAACAAGTTGATGATCTCGAAAGCGTGCTGGACAATGCGGGCAGCCAACAACTTCTTGCCGTTGTTGCGACCGTGCATCATGAGCGAGTTGGTCAAACGCTCAACAATGGGGCACTACACAGTGTAAAAATATCAATTAGTGTTTGGCCTTCCACTTGTCGATCATTCCCAACCCGACAAAAATAGGTGCTTCGGTTTCTCGTTGGTTTATGATGTTCGTGAAACGATACGCTACCTGAGCCTTGCGGAAACGCTTGACAGCGAAACGACCAGCAGTGTGAGGCAAGTAGACGTGCTGACGGACTTGAATGTAATCTTGAAGGGAGATGTCCTTCACTTCAACATCCTCGTACGACCACTTGTTGAAAAGCTTGCGAGAGCCATCGGCGCTGGCCAAAACGTCAGCGGGCAGATTCAAAGCAACCATGATAGCCTAATGGGAAAAAAATAGAAAATGTCGACAATGGAGTTGAAAGGCGAATGGCGGACAAATGGATAAAGGAAAAGAAATAGGAGAGAAGGGTGACAGAAGGAAAGAAACAGATAACGTTAGTACTGATGCAATGGATGGATGGATGCAACTACGGGATGGATAGCTCACACCCCATGGCTATCATCTTCATTACCTTGTTTGATGTGGAAAGGAGGAACGGAAGCGTCCACAGGCGGACTCCGCTTGTATGGCTGCTGTCGGACGCTGAGCGGGCTGGACGGACTCGCCCGCGGATTTGCCCACTCAACACATAGTGACTGCATTTTCGAAATTTCAGCCTATGAAAAACTCGGTATCATCGACAAAAGGTGCGCCGTGTAAGGTGCCAGTCTTTTCGATACAGCTTCCGTTTACAATAATGACTTTTCTTTCTATGACCCTGACCCTGACAATCACTTTACTAATAAATACACACAATGAAGTAATGCGATGGAGCTATCGATAATGGCATTGTATCGACCCCGATTCATATCTCCAGTAGTTGTTCGACCGATATCTGAGTAACAAGCTTTCAGTGTTTATACGAATATGCTCGCTCTTTCTCTTGCTGCAGTATGCTTGAAGCCAACAATTTTTTTTAACAGCTCAACATTGATGTGAGAATTTAATGGTGACTTATTCTTATGTATCGGTCAACCATCGTCCACCATCATGCACTTGATGCAAAGTGTCACAATTTTAACTTGACGTTCCAAACCACAACTGGCATGGAAACATGATTGATAAGGTCTCTATGACTATCCATTTTTTCACCATAAAGAGACGAAGACGTGTTTACTGCAATGCTTTCAGTAATTTGGGTACATACTTGGCAGCAGTGAAAGTGACGGGAGATCATTGGCGAGCGAAAATAACACCTTATTATCTTTCGTCCAATCTCGGAGATTACCGACAAAAGTGCGTGTGTGCAGGTGCCTTATTGGATTTTATCAAGCATTATATTCTTCAGTTGAAAATTAAGCTTTTATGAATCTTCAAGTCGCATGAGCCCCATACTGTAACACGGTAAAAAGAGCAAAAACGACGAATACGCTCTATTATGTGCGTAGAGGGCAGTCTCAATGATGAAGAAGGGGGAATGAGAGAGTTGGGTGTAATGGTTCAGCAAGTGATAAATCACTAGAAATGTAGTTACGCCAAAACCGCGGAGTGTTCCGAATTCGTGGTGCAACAAACGGGATTTTTTCTGATCTGGCGCGCAGATGAAGTGAAATAACCTCATTTCGGTGCACCTGTTATCCACTCATGATTGGCCAATGAGATTATTGAGATGACGGAGGTTGTTTGTGACTGCGTTCTTGCTGACAATTGCTTGCAAAGTCAATTGTCAATGTTGACAAATCCAAGGCGGGAATTGAATTAAGCTGGAAAAAAATAAACAACGTATAAAAGCGCGGTGGAGCGCGATTTTGTTGAAAGAAATTCATCGAAACTCTAAGAATGGCTGCCAAGGTTTACATTATCATCTACACTCTCTATCACCACATCTACACCCTTGCTTTGGAAGCCCAAAAGGGTCTCGAAGCTGCCGGTGTTGAAGTCAAGCTCTTCCAAGGTAGGCCCGAACCCCATTTGATGCCGTCCCTGTGATTCCCATATTAATCGTTTTTGATCTATTCTAGTGCCTGAGACTCTTCCCGAAGAAGTGCTCACCAAGATGCACGCTCCTGCTAAGCCCGATATTCCCGTCATCACCACTGAGGAATTGAAGGAAGCCGATGGTTTCTTGTTCGGTTTCGGTACTCGTTTCGGTACCATGCCTGCTCAGATGAAGTCTTTCTTCGATGCCACTGGCGCTCTTTGGGCCTCCGGTGCTCTTGCTGGCAAGTTTGCCGGTCTTTTCTTCTCGACCGCCTCCCAACACGGTGGCCAGGAAACCACTGCTTTCACCACCATTCCTTACTTGGCTCACCATGGTATCATCTACGTTCCCCTCGGTTTCGCCAACACCCATCTCTTTGACAACTCGGAAGTCGTGGGCGGTTCCGCTTGGGGTGCCGGTACCGTTGCTAACGGTGACGGTTCCCGCCAAGTCTCGGACAAGGAAAAATCCGTCGCTTTCACTCAAGGTGAAAACTTTGGCAAAACCGTTGCTACCTTTGTTGCTGGCAAGCAATAAAATCTCTTCTCGTCCTTTAATTTATTTAATTACACAATCCACATCCACCGTCCATTCATACACTCATCCAGTGTCTCCAGCCTTCATAGACTTTTTAGATTTAAAATAAACAAATAGAAACCATTTTCTACAATTTAACCACTGGTTGTCATGATGATTCGATGCTCGCTACAAGGTCTGGGAATTATATCATTAGCTTTCTATCTATTACCTAGCGATGTTGTCTCTCTGTACCTCTGGTGTCCTGGAATCACGCTCTACTTCAGGATGGATGGGTGACCCACGACTGTGCGTTGAAATGTCTTTTCTAATGATGCTTGGCTTATATCATCGATCTCATGAACATGATTTGATCAACGGGTTAATGACAGCATACTTATTTTTTCGCGTTACTCAAGCAGCGATAACTCATTTCTCAAAACACGTGGTGCGGCCCTTCTTAAATCGGTAGCTGACGAACATTTCTCCCAGACAATCAACGTCCTGTTTACTGAATTGAAAAAACTAAAATGCATACAATTGCTTCCTCTTCTTTCTCTGATTTGATTCTGTTTTGTCTGTTTTCTTCGAACAGAGATATTCAGATGAATTACATAAACATTGTCGCTGTTTATATCGCTTTGTCTTTCGGTTTTGGATATGATATTGAATTGCTATTGAGATTATTGAAGTCACAAAGATCATGGAGGTTATTTTGTGGTTATGGTTTTTTTTTTTTTAAAAAAAAAAAAAAAAAAAAAAAGTTACATCAGGAGAGGGCAAGCTTAATGATTACAATTTCGGTTGATGGAGTGCTCCAGGCGACCAATGTCATCAATGGAAGGGACAGACAACGTATGGTCAGTGTGAAGCATTAGCAAAGGCTGGGTCACAGGCGGTGGCGCGGCAGGGTATGGAAGATGGGGAGATAACACGTTATCATGGCATGCATCTGCTGATGCACCGGTAGAACCAGGTGCTGGAAAGAATGCCGTATGACTTGGCATGGTCTGAGTCGCAGCAGTAAGGGCAGCTGTAAATTGGGTATGGATAGGTGGATTAGAACGTGGGATATGTGAATCAGAATGAAGGTTGTGAGGTTCAGAATAGGTTCGGTGAGGCTTGATGTGCGTGGTGTCAGGAGCATCAGCATTGTCGGTGTGGATATCGGGATGAGGGTTAAGAAAGCCGGAAGGAGGATTCAACGAGGAATTGTTGTAGTTAGGTATACCAGTTTCCCGGGGAGGGGGGATAGAAAGGCCCGGATCTGCTTTGCGGCGGCAATATTGACAGTAAAGAATAGCAAATTCGGCCTGACGCAAAGTCTCGATAGCTTTGGGACTACGTCGCACACGAAGATAGGTGATGGCACGCTGGGCTGAGAAACATAATCGTCTTTCCAGTAACCAGCAGCAAGCGAACAAGCCAGCTCGTCCCACGCCTAACAATAAAAAAAATCAGATGAGCTTATTTTTCTCTACACAAAGAAATGCAGTCATGACAAGGAAACGCACCACCGCGGCAATGTGTGAGGACATTTTCTCCCTTGTTGATTTTCGCGTTCACCAACTGAATGACCGCGTCCATCTCTTCAATGGAATTGGGACAACCACCTTCGATCATGGGTAATCGAACGATTTGTAGATTGTTTCTTCGTGCGGCTTCCACATACTTCGGCCAAGAAGCACCCAGATATTCCAATTCTTCGTCGTTTAAACAACTAATGCAAAAAGAGTCGTATCACCGTTCTTGGCTAATTTTTTGGAGGGTTTCACAAAAAACGAGATCCACAAGTAAAATCAAAGAAAGAAAGGAAAAAAAAGAAAAAAGCCCCATGGTTTTACCACACGAGCATCGTGATTCCAAAGTTTCGCATACGATTGAAATCGAGTTCCAGGTCACGATTGATGGCGGCTCGACCTCTAACGGGACCCGATAATCGGACCTTTTTGCCGGGACAAGAACTAAGAGCCAAATTGCCTAGATTCCGCCGTGACAACGACGACGAGTCGTCATGTTGCCTCTTCTCCAGCTGACACCGTAACTGATCCTCCACCCCGCGATTGCTCATCAGGTCGAACAAATCGTACCTCTCCGGCATATCCGCAGAACACAGTAATGGCAGCTGATCAGGAGCAATGATCCAACTAATGCTGCACAACACCGACGGTATCAGTCCAACTGCTCGATTCGGAAATTTTTTTTCCAACCATAATTCCAGACAACCAATGCCTGTCTCGTATTAAACCACTTACTTTATAGGATGGCTGATGGAGGTCTTTGGTACCGATGGTCGAACGACACCTGGGTAGTCGTCGGATCGCATGCTGGCAGAAGACGCTGAATGATTGACATAGGAAAACGAATCGGTCGATGACATTGATAAATGCAAAAGTAATAAAACAATGGCAATGAATGACAGGGAAAAATTAAGCAGAGAATAAAACAGTGTGGAAGGAAACGAACGAGGAACGACAAAGGGAAATGGGCGCAGGCTATTTCTTGGTGAGCGTTCGTTGCCCAAAAGGCACTCTGTGACTGTAAATTCAAGCAGAAATGAACAAATGAAATCAAAGCAACTGTTTTGCCCCACCAAGTATGCTTCACCTATCCATCATCGCCGATGATCGATTCAGTTCTCGATATGGCAAGTGCAATGCCCATACCGTTTTGAGAAGAATCATTTCTTTATTTTTTCTTCTGTGCCCGTCATTGTCCATGTCGTCATGATCGACTAGGTCCAATAACGGTGATTTATTTAGCCGACAGAATGATCCAATGGGCTGCGGATCACGCGCAGGAAAAAAAAAACCAGGTGCATTATTCCTACTTTGCGGTTTCCCCTCCTCGCTCCAAGAGAAAAAGAAAAAAAAAAAGAGCTTAATCTCTCTCCATGTGATAATTCTGCAATGGACTGTCATTATTGTCGTACCTACAATCGAAAGTTTTATTGCTGTCATTGTCTGACAGACAAGTACGTAGGCATAAAATGAACCGGAGCGTCGTCGCCTGAGCGGGCAAAGTGGAAAGCGGACACTTTGGTTGACAGTCGTTCTTTTTTGTAGATTGCGTGATCACAAGGCTGAATTAACTTCGATTACTGCGGAAAAAAGTAAAGCCATTGAAGGCGCACAACAATGGTTGGCGAATACCACCGATCGACATCATCTGCAGGTGGAAAAGCATCGTCGGGCTAGAAACCTGGACCATTTAACCTCTCAAAGGCGGAGTCTCAGGCAAGAGTGCGAAGAAAGTAAGCCTTTTCATCCAAAATGGATTCGTGTCTTGCAAAATCGTCGGTAGACTGCCTTATAAAATGGTCTATCCGCGATGCGGTGAACATTAAAAAAAGGAGGGCAAAAAATGTTCATCCCTTTTATTATTTTTGACTAGTGACATGCAAAATCGATGCATTGCGGGCACGGATAAAGCAACGTCAAATGGCAGTCAGCAGTGGCGATGAGCGATTAAAAGTGGGCATATCAGATCAAGCGGATTGGTCAAAGGAATTGCATCGGCTGACCACTCAATGGTACCGTATTCATAAATCCACCGTTGCCACCCGACGTGTTCTGGTCAACGAAGTCGTATCCTTATTCGATGTGAAACAAGGCCGGATCGAAGATGACGAAGGGGAACAGACGGCCATGTATCATTCAATATGTAACTTGAAGTTGCCCTCAAGACCCGTGGACCTGACACGTAATGCCAATGTATATTTTGTTACAGAACCGGTTTCCTTACGTTGCTTATTTTGTATAGGATGCGCCAAAGAACCAATCAATGCAGCGGTTGAACTGATTGTACATGCATTACTGCTTTTCGTACGTTACCTAGGCATCAAGCTGCCATTTCGATTATTCTATCAACAAGCCCATCTCTATGTACGTCCATCGACCATCTGGAAATACGCAAAAGAGTAAGCTTTTTGACATCTTCTGGTATGAGTGGCCCACATTGACATCACCCCCTGCTTCTTTTAGAAAAATGCCCCTGTTCCTCGATGATGACCGGGATTACCGGAAATTCATTCTGGGTGTAGCAATGCTGAATTATAACCTTGCGTATCTGTGTCATCTCCAGGGAGTCGTTGTATCCATGGAACAGTTGGCCGATACCCTATCGCTCCTCTCCCTTTGTTGCCGAGCACCTCGATTGGGCATGTAAGTGTGGATACCCTGTTCTTCTTTCTATTCCTAGCAACTTATCAGCAATTGTATACAGAAAATCGCATGCCACCCTCCATCGTGGTGTGCGCGATCTCGACTGCCCTTTGGATTTTCAACAGGTCGTTAAAATAACAGCATCCAGGTAAGAAGACACCTTTTAAAATTCATGAATCTGAGTCTTAACAAAGGAACCACAGATATTGGTGCGGGTCACCGAAAAAAGATGCATTAAATGCCCATGTCGCGTCCATTTACGACCACTTTTTTAGTAAAAGACGACGATCCAACCACACGCCAACCTTTGACCTCACTGCGTCCCGAGTTGGTGACACGAGCGATGACGATGATGAATATGAAAATGGCGAAGACGACGACGACGACGAACATTGGAATCTGGTGGACAATGTTCCTATCCCCTCCATATCCACCAGCCCTATTTCCACCTACCGACTGTTTCCATCTTTCCAATGAAAAAAAAGGAAAAGAAAAAGACAACTTTGTATAGAAAATAACCAACCATTTCTTTTTGCCTCATTCTTTTTTTATCGTCTTTTTTATCGCCGTCATTTTTTTATATAGTTTACTTTAGGGAATCAAAAAGGGTGTCAATGTATACAGAAGGTTAAGAACAAAGAAAATCGCAAACACAAAAGTAAATTACATTTTCCAAAAAAAAAAAAAAAAAGTAAATACAAATAAAGGAAATAAAGAAAAAAACCAAGACCACCCGACATCCATCACCACTGCTTGTGGTGCAAAGATAGCACAAAGAACGGGCGGATATTTTTACTTTTTCCGGTTCCAGAGCATGGAGTTGGTGGTTCGACGGGGAGCCGGTCGAACCGCCAAGCCTTCGGTGGCCAGTTCTTTGAGCCGTTGAACGGCGCGTTGATCACCGTGATCGGCCGCTTTTTGGTACCAGCTAGTTGCGGCTTCCATATCCTTGTCTCGTCCAATGCCTACTTCGCAAAAGTGGCCGACGGCATACTCGGCCCTTTTGTATCCCTTGGTAGCCGCACGATGCGCCCAGTAATAGGCTTGGTCCTCGGACGGTTCCAGCACTGTGCCGTGGCCCACCAGATACCATGCGGCCAAAGCGTAACATGCCTGCGGATGGTCTTGATCGGCGGCTATGGTATAATAATAGATGGACATGGCAGGGTCCGGTTTCAGTTTGAGATGGCCAAATTCATAACATTCTCCCAGACGATAAGCTGAAGGCGCGTATCCCAACTCCGCCGCGTCGGTGTACAGTGAGTGCGCATACGCTTCATCAATAAATATCACGGCATTGCCCTTCTCATGCAACATGGCCAGTTCATGTAACGCATGCGGGTATTCAGCATTGGCGATTTCCGCCGATCGTTTGAGCCATTTGTGACCATCGCGAAGGTTTTCGGCCATACCCAGTTCGCCATGAATCTCGGCTAAACCTAAACGGTACATGGCGCCAGGATGATTTAATGTCGCCGCTTTCCTATTTTCAGTATCAATCAAAAACTGTTTCTTTGATTTATGTTCAATTCACATGGTCTATCTCTCTCTATGTTTTTGTATGTGTATGTGTATGTGTCTCTCTTTCTTTTGGAACGATAGACCATGTCAATAGGTGCAAACAAAAAGGAAAGACGCTTACTTGTAATATTGCACGGCTTTGGATTTATCCTTGCGAGTGCCCAAGCCATCTTCGTAACATTTACCCACACTGTGAAAAAAAAAGAAAGAAGTGTTTAGAACGCCCGATGAACGGAGTTATGTCATCTGAGATCATCGGTTGATGAGAGAAAAACTCACCACCCAGAAACTGCAGATTGATAGGCACAATTTTGGGATTCAGCACTTACCGATAGGCTGCGTCAGCATGATGATGTTTGGCGGCTTGCACAAATAGAGGAAACGCCTTGTCAAACTGCGATTTATGCGAGCGGTGCAGGATACCCAAAGCGTACAGATTCGCGAGATAGTATTGCGCATCGCCATGTCCACGTAAAGAAAGCTGTTTCAGGATTTTTTGCGCTTCCACAAGGTAGGACCACGCTTCCTCGGTATCTTCGATTCCTTGCGAAGCTTCGACAAGGAATGCGGCAAATTCGGTTTGGATATACACGTCATTGGTTCGTTTGGCGTTCTCGCGGTACATGTTGAGTGTCTTGTTGTAAGCAAGCAGTTCCGCGTTCTGTCCCGGCTTCAGATGCGAATGGTCTAGCAATTGATCACTTCCCGCTGTGAACAGACTGCCAAATGATTGAATACGTCGATGATCAAACGTAGGTGTAGGCGGCATAGAAGAAGCCACCGAAGACGAACTGGAAAAATTGCGACGTCGGATCCGTCCCTGTCCACTGCTATCACTACTGCTGGCGAGCGATGGCGACTGTAGTGAAACCACGGAATGCATGCTTGTTTCGGCCGAAGAAAGTGGTCGTGATGATGCGTCATTATTATTATTACTATTATTACTACTGGTAGTATGTTGATTACTGCTTTGATGACTGTTCGTGTCGGGTTCCGACCGCGACGCAATGCTGGGTGGTTTCGAATGTGATGGTGTAGAAGAACCCTTTAACTTGTTCTTGATGTCTTTGAACATATTAATGCAGAAATAGAAAGTACAATGGTGATGAAGAAAAAATGGGAGAAAGAATTAATATTAAAAAAGAAGAGTAATGAAGAAAAAGAAAAGAGGGAGAGTGAGAGACAAAACGTTATATATGATATGAAAATTGTGGGGAGACAACGGGGGATAAATATGGCTTGGGGGGAGGAGATTGGAAAGGAAATAGAAAAAAAAAACACTTTTCTTCGCCCCGCCAGCATTCGAGGAACATTGGTGGTTTTTTTTTTCAACACCATCGCTAATGTAATTATTCGATGATCGACCCATGACGAGATGGTTACACGAACCATTACAAGAAAAATACATGGTAAACCAAACTTCTTTTTTTTTTCTTTTGAACAAAAATTCAGGAACGACAAAATAGATAGATGGGATGAGGTTGGAAAAGGGCGCAATATGGAAATAGGTTGGCGGACGGAATTCGCGTTGCTACGGCATATTTTAAGAGCCGAAGCAAAAAAAAAAAAAAAAAAAAAGAGAAACGCGGTTAAAATAGGTGTTGCTTTTTTAATCCATGCTTTGCTTCATGGATTGATGATAGTGCTGCTATTTATAAACCATAAAAACCGCTGTATCAATATATCTTGTAATTTCCTTTTTCGGGACCAACCGTAACTGTACATGGCCAAATTGAAAATTCAAATAAATAAAAATAAAGACCAACTTACCGGTAAATGAGAAGCCTCCTTGCTTCGGTTGAAAGCGCGACTCTATACAAAGTGAATGCATTTTTTGGCGTCAAGACATGAATGTTGTGTGTGTAACTATTTTTTCCGAAAAACTTACGCGAAATTTGGGTAGCTTTAAAAGAATCAAGACAAGGACGGCAAAGATAAGCAGTAAGGTGGTGTTGGAATAGGCGCTTTCGTCGCTGTCGCTTCCAATCATGATATTCTCATTTGTTATCAGTCGGTCTTCCGGTGTATAGAGTGAAGACTCGGTAGTTACGGGGTCTCGGAAAGGATTTTTTTGGTCCAGTGCGTCAAGTGTAGGTTCAAGTTTACTAAATGGTGTTTTCATTTCTGAGTTGGGTTGGAAAGATTCGACTACTGTCGTGGTATCGAGTTCCGAATCTGCCTCTTCCGTAACATCGTTGAGGGCATCTTCTGTGGCTTCCTCGGGGGATGAGACATCGAACTCCTCCGTGGCTTCTTCCACAAAAGAGGCACTGGAACCATCCTCCATTTCCTCTTCCCATGATTCATCCATGGCCGCCTCGGACATTGCGATATTGAACCGATCCTCGGTTTCGTTAGTGGTAGTTTGGTCGGTGGATGTGTTGTCTAACGGCTCACTCGTGAAATTTTCATCCGGTTCACCATCCGTCCATTCCTTCTTGTCACTTGTTGATACGTCTGCTAAAGGATCAGCGGAAAAGGATGGTGTTTCTGGAAAATCTTCTGCATCTTCCGTGTGGGTGGCTGCATCATCGACCGTGGAGGAACCTTCCATGTCGGTCGGTTCCGTCGCATCGATGCCGTGGCCTTGTTTAAAGGCTTCCAGTTCCTTTTCAAAGGCCTCCTTCAGAATCGCTGTAGAATCAATGCTGGTATCATCAGCTTCCCCATCCATAAGTTGACCTTGCTTCAACGCTTCCAATTCCTTTTCAAAGGCCTGCTTGAGAATTTCATCCGAATCAATGCTTTTATGAGTATTATTCACTGATACTTCATCTTGTTCAATCGAATCGTCTTCGTTTGCTACTGGATCCGTCGCTGAATCTTCCTCGGCGATTTCGTCCATGTGCAAATCTTCGTTGTCGTCCTCTGTCACGGGTTCGTTTTCATCGACTGTGTCTTCAGTGGCCTCCTCTTCACCGTCGTCCATGGGTTCATCCATATCCAATTCCTCCTCTCCTTCGTCATTGTCATCGTCAGCATCATTGGCGACGTCAGTATCTACATCACTGATATTGCCATCCTCCATTTGATCTTCAATCTCTGTTTCTTCTTCGATAGCATCGGCGGAAATAGGGGTTTCGTCTTCGTCTTTTTGGATCGTGTCCGCCGCATGAATAGCCGCGCTGGCATACACCCCCTCTTGGTCCGGTTCCGTATCCAGGTTCTCGTCGTTGATTTCTTCAACCATGTCACTCTCGTCACTCAGCGCACTGTCGTCATTGTTGTCGTTGCCAGCAAAGTTTTCGGTCAATTCGTTGATGATGTCTTCATTCTCAGCTTGGATCATCTTGTCATTGGTCGGAGATGCGACATCGGGAGGATAAGGCGGCGCAGCGTGAACGGCTGCTACCATAGATAAAGCAAGTAGAATACGCGATCGATGAATCATAATGGAAATGAAATGGCAATGACCAGTGCAAGGTAGAAGAGCGATCTATTCATGGCAGACAACAATATGAAGTCAATGTTACACAGGGTTTAATTGCAGAACGTGGGTTGCGAGTGAGATAAACGATGAGTTGGAAAACTGAGAAACCAAGTTTGAATACCAGGGTTACATTGCCTTTCTTCCTGCACGTGTCAAGCCTACCATCGTCAACCCCGGCAGTATCTAACTGACACATCATGTCAATTGTCATTATGAGCGTTCCAAACATAACAAGATCTATCTTCAGAAAGCGAAGTGTTATAAGCTCTGTCCCAGTTGGCTGTCGTGTGAAATTTTTTAAAATTGGAGGAATAGTGTACTGTCCTTGCAACTGGATGGATACACTCGTTGCAGCATTATCCAATGATGTCTTGATATCTCCACTTTGCATTGTGTATTTTGTACAATCTTGGTAAGCCTTGTCTAACCGTTTGGCTCACATCACTATGGCTATTTGACCCTGAAACCAAACAAGGTTTTTGCATGTATCACAACCAATACGAGACTCCAACCAAACATTTGACTTGCAACTGATGAATTCAGCCATCCAATCCAGTCTCTTTGTTTCTTGTTTTTTATTTTATCGCATTGCCTGCTCCATAGAAATTCACATGTTGAATGTCAAGCTGAGATCGCGTATCGCTTGTGAGAAAGAGCAATTCAATGGTTTTTGCGTGCGCGGTCGCTGTGTGCGAAAAAGTATTGGACGCTATGTTCACGATCGATCTTATGGGAAGAATTTATTGTAAGGTTTTCAACCAATTTCTCATCTTATCGACAAAGCGACTCAAACGCACCTTTGGCTTATTTACACGATCGAAATGTACGACATATGATGATAATGGTGTTTTTCTTGCCATCAACCTTTTTTTCTACATGGTCATGGCTCTGGAAATACGGTACTGAGTGCTAAAAGAACAAATTTGGCATACACGCAAAGGAGATTAATAACGATACTGTACGGGTATACTGTGAATACCATGTTCATTTGAAAGCCGCTTTACTGGTGGTCTTGACATTTGTAACCTGAGCGCAGAATATGGTACAATAAACAGTAATAGGAATACTATTTAGAGCTGACGTCGCACACTCACTGAAGCAAAAGCGAGAAAAAAAAACGACAACTTGAGGCGCCGAAAGTTCCCGGTTTAAAGGAAACCGATAAAAAGGATGGGCCATGGTGTTCAAGTTATATGCATGTATATTTTGAAGTAGCCAAGTGAAGCGAATGCAATGGGCGATGGTGGCCGATTCAGGGTGGGTATCAAAAAAGGTTTTTTTAAGGTTTTGGTTAACAAACATCGAGTTGGGCTATGTGGACAGGATGACTAACGGCACGATTTCATGTGCCACAAGAATAGACATCATTAGCATTGATCGTCCGATAATAGTCAAGCAAGCCCATTTTCAAAAAATGTGGGATTGCCACGCATGTGCGACATTGGCAAATCCCATCTTTTTAAAGTTTGGGTCGCGTTACACAAAGCAGAAGTTTCTTTTTTTCTTTTGCCCCTCAACTGTTTTCTATTTTTCGATACAATAGCCACCGAGTATTTTTGGAGGATAAAACAGTATGATAAAAAAAAAAGGTAATAACTAAATATGATCGAACCTAAATTTACATAGAAACAAGCGTAAAACAAAAAAAATAAGGGACCATGATTTTGCACAGCATGAACACGATATATCACAGGGTGTTAATTGGGAATGAAAATGAAAAAAAAGACAAAATGGTTAACATAGAAAGCAAGAAATCGAGACACACAATGAATGAATGAGGAACATAATGGGAGTGGTAAGAAAAAAAGAAAGGAGCTAAGGATTTTCGCGCAGGGTAGGAGCGGGCGCTGATGTAGGATGGGTTGTCATTGTGGAAGAGGGAGTGGCAGCTACTACCAAGGAAGACGGAGAAGTGACAGACGATGTGGAAGGCGAAGACATGGAAGGTGATAGACGAGCCTCGGTCACTGAAGCATGAGTTGAACCATTGTCTGATGGCTGTTGACCTGATTTTGTTGTTGACGATCCAAGTGGCTGCTGTTGAGATGGTTGCGTTGGAGGATGATGGTTGGTCGAGAACAATCGATTGCTTGTCAGACTGTAATTTACACCACCATAGAGGGCACCAGACATGGTGGGATCGGTCCGTCGGCGATTACGACCTGGTTTATTAAACCTCGCAGGTTCAAAATTTTGCCACACGTATTGTGAACATTTGGATGCATTTGGTAAATCTTGAATCATTTTGGCAATCGTGTTCTTGCGCAAGCCGAAAAAGTCAGGTCCAACAGGATTATGACCATACTCTTGATTCCGAATAGCAAACGCACGTCTATCCCCCATCAACAAAAAAATAAAAAAAATAAAAATGAATGTCTTTGAATTATCTGCTTCTGACATCATGAAGCAGCTCAATGCAAAGGAAAAAAAAGGGGGGGGGGAGTTGTCTTTTTCTTTCTTTCTTACCTAACAATGATGGTCCATACAGTGGTAGGCGTAGGACCGGAATAGGTCATTGGGCAATCGTCAGCAGTCACTTCAAACTATGCATAGCCGAACACCACCCATACAAGGTTCAGTTAGGTCACACCAAATTATAAAGAAAAGGGTGGGTTGAAGGTGTTTTACCTTGGGTTCCCTGCCATTGTCCAATATCCGACAAGTATATTGCGTATCACTTTTCGGATCAGTCATGCTGCGATACCATCTATCATCATCATCACATGGATCAGTGGCCAAGTCCCCACTTTTTGTTGTTGCCCTTTTGGTCCCCAGATGACTTTCAAAAAAAAAAAAGAAATCCAGCATACAGAAACATGCCCTCTTCCGTCCCGCTGTTCGCCCCCCAACCCAACTGACACTTACTTGCGCACCGTATAGTTTACAGGATAGATATAGCGTTGATTATGGTAGGCGGGACGGTCATAGATAATTGTGCCTAAATCGACGACGGTCCATGAATCAATTTCTACGGGCAAAATGTAATTGCCGTTTTCGTCACGATCGACTTCATAAAAGGTACGCACCGCCGTGCTGACTTGCTGAGTTTTGAATTCTGGAGCCGTTGCCACCGGATTTTTTTTGCGTTTCTTATGGCTAGGCGTGTAAATGACGGGTATGGAGGATTCAGTGGCAATGGAAGGGAGGTGGGATCGTGAAGCGCCCAATTCGGTCGGGTCCAAAGTCGGTGTAAAGGCCGACCTTCGTTCGACGGCAAACGAAGGGGAAGGCAACGGTCGGTCAGAGGTCCGATAGGTATGGCGTGCAGGGTCATAAGTTAAAAGACGTCTGTTGTCGGTCCTTGGTCGATGGTGTATTACTGCCATATCTTGTGATTCGGCCGAAGGAAGCGAGTCATTCTCGTCATGGCGGCTCTGGCGCGGAATTTCATCAAGATAAGGTTTGAAGTCTCGGCGTGATTCGGTAACCTGTGATAATGGCGGAGATGAGGAGGGACATGACTGTGGTTTATAGGGTAACCCACCCCCACCCCCACTTGCACCACCCGCATTGTGAGTGGACGGGCCAGGAAAAATTGGTTCAGGACGAAATATCGGTTGATACGATAATCCTGGATGCGGCGGTGGCAAATGCGGTGAAATCATCAGAGGAGGCGACGATCGACGTGGCGGTTCAGGGATCACGTCCACTTCGTTGGACTTTCGCGGATGTTTATCCAAACAATGGCAAGTTACCACATGCGGCGGCGAACCCAACGCATTTCTCAGTGAAGCATAATTTTGCGTCCTTAAAGCATCGTAATATTCATCTCTTGACCATCGCACAGTCTGTACATTATTTTCACACATCAGATGATAACATCATTTCAGTTTTTTTTTTACCGAGGGATGCCCTTTTTTTTTTTTCTGACTTACAGGTTGTAACTCAATATAGACATGACTGTATCGATCAAAATGGCCGTCTTCCGCAGGATTGGATTTACCATATATTGTAATGGAAGTGGCGTCGTCAGAAGGTCGGTCCATAATCCACGACATGAGGCCATGACCTTCCCATACAAATGAGTGACGACCATCACTCATGTTGCCATGAGGTGATTCTTGCAGGTTGGCCGAATAAATCGACAAATCATGGTCACGGCATAATATATCAGGACTAAAAAGAAAAAAAAAATCAAGGCCAGAAAAAAAAGTATCAAAAATGAGGTTTTTGATCTGCATTCCTGTGGATTTGATGGTTGGCAGATCCCATACGGCGGATCATTTTTTTTTTTTTTGTTACCTGGAAGAACAAATTGCCCACAAACAGCTGGATAAGGAAATGGGAATGAATTCAGGTTCATTCTCGGCATGGATCACCAATGGAAACGTCGTTAAGCGTGTGGATAATTGATTTCGAAATGAATAAAAAACTTTGACTGCAGACCAATGGATCCATTAGGAGTCAGTTCATTTGCAATACCAATGATCGACTTGTATGCTATTCAGTGAATATATGATGTGTTACCTTTCACTCGTAGTCTTGACGACGGTGCTGGTGAGGGTGATGACAGATAACTGGTTTCACGGATCGAAGATGGTTGATTGAAACAATTGGATGTCATGGTGATTTTGTCGATCTAAATAATATACATTAAGTGGGTGGGGCAATTAACTTAGGGATAACTAAAAAGGTAGAGGGAGAAAAAAAAGGAAACGAAATGAGTTAAAGACAACGCTAAAGAAGAAAGAAAAAGGAACACCAAAAAAAAGGGCCAAAGACCAAAAAAAAAAAAAAAAAAAAGTTTAAAATGTAATAAAGTGGAAAAGAAATATGACGAGAAAACTCTCACCATATTTTGTTGCTTTTTTCATAAAGGGCCACAGAGTAGGTCAATGTGTTTCATTACTAAACTCCCCCGTTTTTCTGAATATGGTTACGTCTTGTAATCGGTTATTTTTTTTGGGCTCCTCTTCGGTCATACCCATGAGTGGGGACAACAGTTTTACAAAGGAAAAAGTTGGGACTTGGACTGTCACGATTGGACTATCATCATCCCGCTTTTCCAATTTTGGGGGTGACAAACCAAGTCCACTGGACAAGGGGGACAGAGGCGAAAAAAAAAAAAAAGAAAAAACGAAAACCTTAAAAAAGGATGGAATGACTGGTAGAAAGATGGAATGATGTTTAGGTCATCTGTTTTGAATGTTCCTCAGGCTCCTGATTCACAGACGAAACAGGGATCAGCTTCAACTTCCTTTTTCGGGCCGCTCATGCTTATATATTTGATAGCATGCATGTGCAATTGTTTTCGATTTCACAAAATTTGGCACCAAAAAAGCCCACTATGCTTGTTCAACCATTGATTTTCCTGTTTTAAAACAGGTTATTTCTTCTTTTATTGGTCTTTTATTTTCACAAAGTCATGTATAATCGCATGTCCAGAGGAGATGTAAAAAAGTCGCTGATGAGACAGAAGCGTCTTTTTGAGTGATGAAAGACAAGGCCATCTGGTGTGTTTATAGGTGGATTACAGAACAATTAAAATGGGCGACCAAAAAAAAAAGATATAATGACATAAGGTTCACATTAAAGAAAAAAGGAAAAGACAGATATACCAGGGCGTAGTAAGAAAAGAAAAAAGGCATGTGTCCCAGAACGCGGGATCAATGTATTGTCTTTGGTCTTACATCCCTTGAATTTGTTGCATAATCCGATGTTTTCCCAACTGGAAACACGAGCCTATCCAAAAAACGAGCGGATCTCCTTATCAGTTTTCTGTTATTGGGTACATTCCGGCGTGGCAGTTCCGGCATACTCAGACACTCTCACGCTTATATTATCGTTTTGTCATTCTCCTACTGAAAAAGAAAAATTGGCGGCCGACCCATGCAATACTCCGGTCACTGATCGCTCATTCCACCCATCCTTCCTTTACTCCCCTATTGAAAACCGCATATTTATGCAGGTTCGGCCGTTCTGAAAGAAAACACGCGCGTGTCATGTCTAATTTTTGCGTAAACAAATCCCAATCACTCCAAACACAGAGCTGGGCTTTTTTTTTTTTTTTTTTTTTTTTTTTTTTTTTTTTTTTTTGCAGAATGTCATTGTGTTACCCACCGCTAATGTTCCATTAGACCCATCATATTTATCGACGGGCTCCGCTTCATGGCTGATGTGTTGAGCCTAAAAAAAATAAGGGCGTGGACTTCTTCCATTATCAAGGGGCATCAATCAAGTCCGTTGGATGACCCGCCTTTTAGACTGATCGTTTCTTTACTAGACCTTGTACGAGCCATGCTTAACAATGCATGAAAATAGTACTTGTCTTTCTTCCTCTCTTTTGTAGTTGCTTTGGTAACTAAAATCATGACACTTTTTTTTATTTATTTATTTAAATTGAGTCAAAGTCTGACAATGTCAACAAAAGGAAATGATCTATGGGCAATGAGGCATGGAAACTCAACGATCAACGTCCGCGCATGGAGTTTTTTAGATCATCATTCAATGTTTTGCTATTATGGTTGCACGTATCCTCTTTCCTCAAAAGTACATATTTTGGATTTCAAGCCTAGTTAAAGTTGGCTTGTGTTTTATTTTTCTGTACTCAGAATTCGAAGCACGACTTTATTGCCTGTAACTTTCCTTGTGGACAGACCGATGCGAAGTCGACCTTCGAACGCCAGATAGGACCTAATGCTTTTGTTTCTGCTGATTTAAAGAAGCCGATTGAGCATAAATTGGGCTTATATTTATTGATCGATTGTAATACTGGCATTTTATGAAAGATCGAGCTTCATTATCTTTGGTTAACCAGACATCTTGCCCTTATCTTTTTAGTGGCCCGACAATGCGCGAAAAAAAAAAAGCTATATGAAGCTAGGTGTCAATTATCATGACAAATCGGATTACTGGAACGACTTGCTGCGCGTCATTTTTTTAACCCTATTTTCTATAGTTTCTATGCAGAATCTGAGGGTATAATCATGAATTAACTATCCATGACTCGGCACAGTTCCTCTTGGAAAAAATCACGTAATGGGTTGGCAGCTTATAAAAGTTGGTAACCATGAATGGTTTACCTTTAAATGATCATGCATGAATCGGTAGAGTAATAAAGGGTAGAGAAATGATGACCCATTCTAATCAAGTGCCGTCAATTACGCTCAATATACACTTACAACCTCTATTATATTGGTGGAAGCTATTATTACCATCATATATTTGACTAGAATTCGGCGTAAAACCAAGGCTGCCAAAGACAGAAAGATAGATGCCCACAAAGCCAGAAACTGTAACAGACACTTCATCGGTATCTTAAAAATGACGTACGAAGAATTGGATAAACATGCAGATAAGGTAGATCATAAAACGAACGTTCTGCCTTTTCTAAGCGTGTTCCGGAAAATTTTGTCCAACATGCATGCATCCTTCTAGGCGCGTGAAAACATGGCAAAATGTATACAATTTTGAGCATAATATAAATTGGAACACATCCTACGATTCAGCGACGACAAAGAGTAAAAGAAAGCGCTGCAAGTTTTGCAGAGAACAATTTAATCAAGTCATTGAGGTGATTATAACTGATGAAGGAACAGAACGATCTGCGTGGACACCAGGCTCTCGTTGGTCAACATAAGCATGATTGATACGATACGTGAATGAGCCACATAATCCATGAAAAGGGGGCGCCCACTGTAACCTTGAGCTTGCATACATGAACGATTACTGATTCGTTTCGATTTCCAGGGGACCGGTCTGCGGCGGCTGGCATGATGGGGTCTCAAACGCATATAAACAGCTCTCAATAGTAGAGGCCAAGATTGTTCTCTTGAAATTGTAAGCGAGATTCCGCAAGCAATGGAGAATAAGCACTTGACAATATAGTCAACTTTATACCACAGTCATATACTATAAATATAAAACCGTAACGAATAAGCACCGACTCGCTTCTTTCAACAACGTTGTCGACACATGCAATGTTCGTCTGGTGGTGCTTCGAAAAAAAAAAATTATACCATCACCCCCAATACAAAGGAAGTACAAACGCACATGGGAAAAAGGTTCTACAGATATGTTTCTGTCTTGGTTCATTCTTGTCAGTGCCTTGATTTCCGTGGTATTCTTTATTAGTTTATTTTGGCTAATTCGTGAGCTTTCGTTGTTTCGCGAGTCAGGCCACCAAATTTTGAACAAAGAAAATGATTATGCAGGATGAGAATCGGACCGTAAATAAAAGTCCCATTAACAGATTTGTCAAAACGGAACACGGCGCGCAGCCCCTAAAATTTTGATCGAACAAAATCGACTGACGGAGAAAAGAAACACTTCTTCTTCCACTTTTTTAATTTCCACTGTTGAAAAAAGGATTACTATTTCTCCATCCACAATCACTTGCATTCAACATGACTAAAGCAGCATTTCTTGGCGATGCGTGCTCTGAACTTTCCAGTACTTTGAATAACCACAAGGCGAGCACTGTTGGACAAGGTGAGTTTGTGGTTAGTCATTATCCATTTGCACTTGCAGCATGTTGATCGTCTTTTTTCACAGACAAGCAACTTGTGAGCAGAACCAAAAACAGCCTTCTATGCCCCATAGGCGACGAATATGTTCGGTTCACAAAGAGCCTTCCGCAGCATCCATCTAACAAAGGATCTGCCTATGACTATCCCACCCCTGTGTCCTGGTGAGCGAGACTTTTGCGATGAGCAGGATTCCAGTCCCAAATCATTGAGGTATTCGAAGACGCTGGAAGCGCAAAATACAGCACCGCACCGCCATTGAAATTTGGGATCGCAAGCCCTCAGAAACGTGGCATAGCCAGGCCCCGGAAACGTACACGCCTCAAGCATACAGGCACAATTCTATATTCGTGCGATTCGTTGACCGCTGACGAAGATGTAAAGAAAGACAAGCTGATGCTTGCAAAAACCGGTCGCTGGATACCTCTAGTGTACGACACGGGTGATGAAGAGTATGTATTTTTGGCATCCAAGATATCCGCAGCTGTCATGCTGCAACCCGATCCGCCTGTCGGAGTGTGGAAAAGCCCAATGCTGGATACAGATGTTGCGGGCCAGCTCGCCACGCAGACGGACTCCGACTCGTTTATCCATCACATCAAAGCATCCAGGTACGATAAATGCTCCTTTTTTTTCTCCATCATAGTTCTAAAATATCTAACTCTTTTTCCCACATAGTGAAGCAGTCAACTACCTGCCAAGCCCGCCCATACCGAAATAAACGCTGAACATAGCGGGATCCTCAGCAAGGGTTAGCTTATATATCCTCAGGTACGCTACTGCTAAGCTCAACTACTGGCTGGTGCAATCTTTGTCGATGGTGTAAATGCCATCCTCATAAACACTGTTGAGACGTACAGCCGCAAGCCGATAATGGATGCTCACTTTGAACAGCGGCTGCCAAAGTGCGAGCGAATCAATCCAACGATAGTCAGTGCGCCAGCGAAGCTTTGCCGCGATGAAGACTTGCAGGTAGACTGGAATTGATGCCTAGGAGCAGCTATATTAGGTAGAAGAACAGTGACGAATGAAGCGAGCAAGATTCGCGACGAAAAAGCGGCAACGGAGAGCCAAGTTACGTTACGACGCGCCGGTACAT